TGTTGACAATCCAATAACCAGAAGCGTCTAAGAACTTAAAATTAAAATTATCTTGGTATTTTAAAGTAGTACCAAGCAGTTTAAATACCCCACTCAGGATCTTAGAAAGAACTTTTGTGGAAGATTTAACCCCAGCTGCAATGTACCTGAAATCCAAGGTCGGTTTATGGAATTTCGGCAACATATAGGTTGCAGCTTTCGCCGCTCCTACTACCTCCTGATATGTAACTAAATTTGTTCATAAAGTTTGTAGGACAATTGTCATGGATGATTCTAAACATATAATTTGACAGATGGAGTTGTCGTCTAAGATGGAGTGGTAACCATTTCATGTCTCTATAAACATTAAGGCTGCTCTCTGTTTGTGGAACGTTGAGAGCTATTTTGGCTACCTTTTTGTACAGAGTGTCAAGTTCAGCAAGTTTTGTCTTGCCAGCTCTACAATAGATCGTGTCTAAATAATCGAATTGTGGCAACATGAGTGCATTGGCAAACATTTTCCTATATTTAATGGGTAGCAGTGCTTTACTTCTATACATGGCACCAATTCTCTTCATGACCTTCCTAATAATATAATCTACATGGCTTTTGAAGTTTAATTTACTATCTAGAATGAGGCCAAGATATTTTGTCTCTTTGCACTCCTTGATTGTGAAAGTTACCTCATTACATTCAATGGTTAATTCATCATGTTGATCAACAGAATCAAACAATAGGAATTCAGTCTTCTTTTCATTGAGTGATAATTTATTTACACTGAGCCATTTAAAGATTGTCATAAGTTCTATTTTCATGTTTATAAATGTGCTTCTGCAGGTTTGATCAAAGAATAGTGCACCATCATCTGCAAATAGAAAGGGCTTAGATAGGTTACAGGCATAAATGATGTCATTTATGAAGATACTAAATAATATAGGCCCAATGATGCTTCCTTGTGGTACACCACTCAGAACTTCTAAAAATGAACTTATTTTGCCATTGATCCTAGTGCATTGATATCTACAAGATAAGAAGTTCTTAAACCAGGTTAAAGCAATGCCACCAATTCCATAATATGCCAGTTTTTGAAGCAATATTTCATGATTCACTGTGTCAAAGGCCTTCTTAAGATCAAGAAAGATGATTCCTGGTTTATAAGACTTAGATTTACTCATATATATTTCGTCCATCAGATCGTACATCAAATAAGTTGTGGAGTGATTTTTCCGAAAGCCATATTGATGCCGGATGAAAAGTTTGTTCTCTTCCATGTAATCAGTGAGTTGCTTGCCGACAAAGTATTCTATAAGTTTTCCTACAAGTGGAAGGATGGATATTGGCCTGTAATTATTAGGATCATCTTTCATTCCTGCCTTATGGATGGGAGTTACTCTAGCTTTTTTACAAAGGGTTGGTACAACACCTGTATTAAGGCTCAAATTGACAATATGGGTCAGTGGCTCAACTATGTGTGGTACAGCTTGCTTAAGTAAAAATAGAGGCACATCGTCATATGAGGCCTTGTCATTCTTGAGCGTTTCGACATACATTAGGATATCAGTTTCATTTATTTCTTGGAATCTATCAAATGAGATGTTAGAAGTTCTAGGAGGTAAAAAATCAGTAAAATTAACTCTTTCAATATTGGGGGCCTGATTTTGTAATCTTGATCCAACATTTGCAAAATGAAAGTTAAATAGCTCAGGATCATTCTCATTGATAGTTTGACAATTAGTTGTACCAGGGGTCATATTTGATGCCAGTTTGATAGTTTTCCATACCCCTTTAAGATCATTCTTGGCACTTTTAACTTGAAGATCATCGATTACATTAGCCTTTTTGCAGGTTTTAGCTAATTTATTTCTAATATTTCTCTGAATCTTGTAGCAATCCCAGGCCTCATTACACTTTATACATTTGCTACATATACCACATTTATTGCAATTTCCATTGTCTCTCTTATCCTTCTTTTTACGGAATTTCTTTAGAAGAAAATGTGTATGATTAATGGCATTTAAAAGTTCAGTAGAAGGTTTATGTATGAACTTTTCATGCCTTTCTATGGTCTTGCAAGGGAAGAAGGTTGCATATGCCTGTTCAATATGATGACAAAGGCCAGCAGTGATAGCTTCAACATCTGTACTTTCCAATAGTGGACTGTAATCAGAACAGGTATCTAGATAGTCTAAGAATTGTTTAACATTACGTTTACAATGATTTCTAATTTCAACCTTTTCAAATTTAGGAGCTATAGGTACTTTACAATCTATCTCACACATAATAGCTTGATGATCCCCAATACGTTCATCAAGAACAGAAGATTGAACAAAATCTGCATAACAGTTAGTGAATATTACATCAATAGTAGTCTGGGTAAAATTGTCTCCACGTTTAGCAACTCTAGTTATCCCTTGAATGGTTTGAACTAGATTGTAACATCTCAAGGTCATATCTAATTTTTTGTACTGGGTGGATGAGATATTATTCTGGTCAATGTTTATATCCCCAATCCAGATAACCTTTTTCCCGTTCAATTTTTTCATGCAAAAATGAATGTACTCAATAAAGTTATCAACACTGCAATAATTTCCAGAGCGATAGAAGCAGCAAACATTGATCTTGCTATTCTTAAGCTTCACCCATAATGCTTCAATGTTATCAAGCTTACTATCCATAACTAATTCTGTGTAAGCTAGTTTTTTGTTTATCATTAAGCCACAACCACCCCTAGAACTGTTTGGCCTGTCGCATCGCATGATGTTGAAGGAGGAAGGAATATTTATGGTGTCTGTGTCAATAGTATCATTAAGATTCATCTCATTTAGGGAAAGTATGTCTAGCTTATGATCTCGAATGAGTTGAGTAAGTTCATTACTTTTAGCTTAATTTAGGAGACCACCTTGAATGTTACAGTGACCAATGCAAAGGTTATGAAATTTGTCAGCTGAGTTGTGAATATTTGTCATTTCACAAAACGTGTTAGTCGTTGTGTCTGATTAAACTAAAATCAGGTGAAAATTATCCGCCTGTAAATATTTTCAATAGAAAAGTTTTAAACTTGAAATCAAAATAAATATTCAGGTGGAAATGTCATGTCGATTTCAATGGTGAGCATGGTACTTGATGTGCTTTGCTAGTTTAAAGATACCATCGCTGTTTAGATGCACATTGTCTTCCCCAAATCTACTAAAACAAGATGATTTCCTAAATCCAGATCTATCACTAAACAAAAATCGATTGTTCTCTGTGGGTATAAAGCTAACAAACGAGTATTTGGAAGGAATCTTAGATAAAAAGATATTGATGTCATTTATCACTTTATTTCTAGCAAAACTTTCTCTTGGTAAAATGTTTATGATCTTAATTTTTGCAGCTGGAGCCCACGAGTGAAGTGACTGGATCAGATTATCAATAGAGCGATTGGTGTTATCAAGGGCCTTTGCTTTTCCTGTGAACTCATCGGGTGACAATAATCTATTCCTCATGTGTCGAGGACTCTCTAGGATTAAGTCCACATCATTAGTTCCACACATGAGTACGATGGTCTTCACATTATTTGCATCAATTGACCTCTTTCTTTCATCTGAGTGGAAGCGTTCATTGATACCGTTTGCAATGCCACCAGGATAGTGAAATACATGTGCTTCTTGATGAGCAGAGGATAGTTTTGTAGCATCTAACTTGGAGAACATGCTTGAGCTAACATACACAGCAGGGGATTTGCTTTTGACTGAAGCAGGGGGTATGGTGCTCTTATGAGTGATTTTGTTGGGTGATGATTTCCCTTTGATTGAGGGTTCAGTTTCTCTTACAGTAACGAAAGGCTTACTTGAGGTATCGGGTGGAGCAGACAAGGTTGCACTGCCATCAATCTGGCGCAGAGTAATGCTAATTCTCATGTCATCAGTATGGTCCTGAATAAGGCTGTGTTCAAAGCTGTCCTGAGATTTTCTGGTCATAATCATTATGTCGCCATGGGAGAGAGTAAGATTGGCAATGTGGACTTTGCTTTTAGACCTAAAACTGAGGACTCTTGTTGCTCCTAACGATATGGTGGAAATCATGGAGCCTGGTGATATGGACCTCTCATCATCTGAATGGAATGGTATTCCTTGCTTGCCATTTTCATACTTAGTGATCATGGCGCTGTTAAATTTCAGACTTGGGAGCTGGGAGCGTAAACGTTCTAAAATAGACTTTAATAAGGGATTGTCATTTAACGGCCTTGTGTTATGGAAGCCTCCATTGTAGGCATATGGGAAATCCCCATAGTATGCTACAGTCCTATTGTTAAACGTTTGTGTGTATTGTGTTTCCATATCCAACTTGAGAGTATCAACAAACCTGAATACACCTCGACTCAAATCATGATATGGATTGATGGACTTACCCACAACGTTAACACTGGTTGAAGATTGTTTGTTAACATCAGAAGAATTCACAAGAGATGGGTTGCTATTAAGTTCAGTCACACTGCTAACTTCACAGTTTTGAGTTTCTGATTCATGTTCAGAGATAAGAACACTGTCCCCGCAAGAGAATGGAACCGCAATTTTGTCATGGCCTGAGCCTTGGGTAAGTTTGGTTAGACGAGCAATTTGTCTCCTCAAATTGTCGTTTTCAAGACTTAGTGATACACAGGTAGAACATTTTGCTTTTGCACTGTTAGGTCTGTCACGAAGGCTGTAATTTCTGATTGGGATACCGGACATAGTTCAAATAAACACAATAATGCAAAGAATTCAGGATAGAGTCTAAAACCGATGCTACTGTTTATAGTTATTTAGTTGTTGATTACAGTACCTTTGCAGCAATTCAGAAGATGGGAATGAGTGGTGTCTGATATTCTTTAGGTGATAGATGGGTGATAGGTGATAGATGGGAGTTAACAGCTCTTAAAAACGATGTCTGATAGTCTTTAGGATGTCTTTAAATAAACTATCATGCAACAACCATTTACATCGACATACAACCTGTAATGGTTGCTACATTTGATTGAGGTGTTAATTCCCACTAGGGGTCCTCAATAAATGTAATAGATTTGTAGTGTTGTAATTAGTTTAAAACTGTAATTGATTGATTTGAAAGATTTCAATAAAAAAAAGTGAGGAATCTTGATATCAAGCTGGTTTAGTTGAGATTAAATTTATAAGCTGCATAATATTGTTTTCTATACCAGGCTTAAATGAGTATTTTTTAATGTCGAAGCATAGTATTTAAATATTAGAATTTGTTTATTTATTTATAATCTTATTGAGGAAATTCAATAACAACCTTAGTCATCTCCTGATGGCTAATATAATATTTTCCGTGCAATTTTCATGATCTTTTGTGCTAAATGTCCAATCTAGGTAGTGGATATTATACAACTGCTCTTTCTTCTAACAATAATACAATTATTTATCAAGTGTTTATGGGAATTGTCTTGTAAATTAACAAGCAAGAATGTACAGAAGACGACTTGCCAGTCAGAATACTCTGGATTCTGCCAGGCTCAAAAAACCTCTCGTGAAACGTCCTAAGCTCGCTGAGTCTCTCCAAAATGGGTAAAACATTTATTAATCTATTCTTCATTTCTTTAACATATAGATCTATGCCCATTATATTATTTAGTTTAGTTGTCTCTAATCACCTAAACTGTCAATTATTAACTGAAATTTTGAATTTCAGAAGTTATCTTTTAGCCAAAAAGGTTGGAATTATTATAATTTTTATTTCCAGGACTTCCGGATATCTGAAGTTCCTAGTGATGTGGCTCATTGTCATTGCCCTGGATTTGGCTCTAGACTTCAGACTGGAGTTCTTTGGCCCTGTTGGATGTTCTTGAAGCGCATCTTTGAAAGCTTCAAATACAAGAATTGCGTAAGTTTCAGTGTACAGACCTTCGTTGTTTTGGTAACTCTGACCAAACGTTATTCATAATTTATTTTATTTTATTTAAATATTAACATGATTTAAATTACGAGTCTTCCTTTCAGATGCAAGCGTTTGTTTTAATGGGAGCTACGTTTTGTTCAGACTATTTTATTTATGCCTTTATCCCTTCATCGTGGATATTTTTTGTTGCCAGCACTTACGTTTGGACTCAGCAGCTATTTACTCCAGGTAAGCAACTATCTGCTTAAATTGTATCATCTTAACAGCTAAGAGGGCTTAGTTAATACTTAATATGTGTTATTACGTCAGCTTTTAACCGAAATTCTTTCAATTTCTTGATTAATCACTAATTTCACTGAAATATCACCTGATCACCTTAAGTATCACGTGATGTTATCTTTAGTCCTAACTAGCCACGGACAATATTTCACCCTCACTTAACAACAACACATGGAAACCACCTCACACAACACACACGTGTATAATTAACATACAGTACTACACTGTAATATATAGTCATTGTGTCGCAGTACATTTTACATCTTGTGTAGTACACGTGTGTATTATACTCTTACCGTGCCTACTAATGACCCAGAGTAATCTGTAAAGAGGCGTATCTGCAGTAATGTACTTCCTGCTATGTATTTATTACTCACGTGACGTTTATTACTCATCACGGACACTGAGATTCTATTGGATAGTCCTGGGTTGGAGAAGGATTATTATGTATTATGTAATGACGCTTGGCTGTGTGTTAATTTCCTATTTGGATGTGTTGGAGGGATGTAACATTACATTTATTATTTAACTTGAATAAGTCATGTTTAGCATTATTCACATACTACATACAAGGCGATTATGTATTTATGTTTAATTGTTTTACACATAATGTCAATTTTCAATGACAATCAAATTAAGTCTTAATTGCTTTTTTTAAAGATGAGCTTAACGACGATAAATTGACCATGTATTGAAGTTTTAAATAAGCACACACATGCTCGTATTTTTGCTAATTTATCATTTGAAAGCATTGTTCCACACACACACACACACACACACACACACACACACACACACACACACACACACACACACACACACACACACACACACACACACACACACACACACACACACACACACACACACACACACACACACACACACACACACACACACACACACACACACACACACACACACACACACACGTACATACACACACACACACACACACACACACACACACACACACACACACACACACACACACACACACTACATACAGACAGAGAGCGTAGCAGTAATGTTACAGCAGAACAAGACATTTTGTGTGTTAGGATAGATAATCTTGTTAAGAGAATTAATTGAGTCGGGCAAGTATTGTTACACTTTTGAAGATAAAGATAACTGTGGTCCTTCTAAGTAGGGATAGAGTTATATTAATATGACATTTCTCTACAAACTGTTTTGTCAGGACAATAATCTGCACAAACACGATGTATCCTCACTAAACTACATGTACATTTCCTAAATATGGAGCTAATATCCCACCGAAATCTTCCTTTTCCTCCATCATGTGTAACGACTTGTATTAGCGTATTAGGGCAAGACGCAATAGTCGATACTACCGTTTCACGAAATCAGCTGCATATTGATTGCCAAAAATTTTGTCTTGTAGAGTGTAGACAAGGCTTACTGAGTTTAAATACATTACTAATCATGTACATTGTGTTACCCTGTATATTGTATATTATGGTGTACACTGTATACAGTGTACACCACAATATACAATATACAGTACACTGCACTGTACACAATATCATTCTGCAAGAGATGCTCCATGCAATGGTTAACACAGAGCTATAATTGTCGAGTAACAATGCTACTACAATATAGGTAACAACAACTTGTATCTACCTTCATTATTATTATGGGGTACAGGAGCACGCTCTAGCTCCTCGGTGTTAATATGATGATGGTAATCATGTGTCATTTAAAGATTGTAATATCTCTCTCTCTCTCTCTCTCTCTCTCTCTCTCTCTCTCTCTCTCTCTCTCTCTCTCTCTCTCTATCTCTCTCTCTCTCTCATCTCTCTCTCTCTCTCTCTCTCTCTCTCTCTCTCTCTCTCTCTCTCTCCTCTCTCTCTCTCTCTCTCTCTCTCTCTCTCTCTCTCTCTCTCCTCTCTCTTCTCTCTCTCTCTCTCTCTCTCTCTCTTCTCTCTCTTTCTTCTCTCTCACCTCTCTCTCTCTCTCATCTATCTTCCCTCTCTCTCTCTCTCTCTCTCATCTCTCCTAATCTCTCAACGTCTCGTCTCCAGTCCTAACTCTCTCCATGTCTCTCTTCTCATCGTCTCTTCTCTTCACCACTCTCATCTCTCTCTCTCTCTCTCTCTCTCTCTATCTCTCTCTCCTCTCTCTCTCTCTCTCTCTCTCTCTCTCTCTCTCTCTCTCTCTCTCTCTCTCTCTCTCTCTCTCTCTCTCCTCTCTCTCTCTCTCTCTCTCTCTCTCTATCTCTCTCTCCTCTCTCTCTCTCTCTCTCTCTCTCTCTCTCTCTCTCTCTCTCTCTCTCTCTCTCTCTCTCTCTCTCTCTCTCTCTCTCTCTCTCTCTCTCTCTCTCTCTCTCTCTCTCTCTCTCTATCTGTTTAGCTCTCTTTAAACATGGTAATTGCGATGAACTAACAACCAGTACTATACAATTGTTTACAAATAATAAGCTAGATAACCACTAACCAGCAATTAGCCCAATTAACCAATTACCCTAATTACAGAGCGAGGAGTTGGATTACCAGTACTAATCCTATGGATGGTATTTGTGTACATCGAGTCTTGTGTGAGAGTCACGCAGCCTGATGACCATTGGTCCAGAGTTATGGGCTCCAACTGTATCGGGTACCCTATCGTCATGCTCGGATTCGGCTTTAAGGTTATTATTATAAAAATGATTAAGTTAAAATTATTATTTACAGTTAACTATTGTTAATTAATTATATATTGTGGTCGTCGTGAGATTTGATTAAACCTCAAACCATTCAAGACCTAACTGTTTCATTGGCCAAAATTGTACATACAGATTGATGCTGATATATACGCAATGAAACATTAATCAGTATACACGTCTGCATGTTATATTATAAATTGATTATAATGATAACCTAGAGATATGTTTCACTTACTTAAACATTCCTTTTCAGAGCTGTCTAACCCTGCAGTGGACGGAGAAGTGCAGACAGTTGATATCGTATAAGAACGACTTCTTTTACCGATTAATAAGTACTCACGCGGAGTCGCAGAACCTTTATCATGCTCCGGTCAGAGCCTTTAAACGGACCAATCTTCTCAAGCTCAGATATAAAAGTGAGTTTACCTCCAACTACCCAGTCCCCTTCACTCCCCCCCCCCCCCCCCCCAATCTTCTCAAGCTCAGATATATAAGTGAGTTTACCTCCAACTAAGCACCTCCCATTCATTCCCCCCCCCCCCCCCCAATCTTCTCAAGCACAGATGTAAAAGTGAGTTTACCTCCAACTACCCAGCCCCATTCACCCCCCCCCCCCCCCCCCCCAATCTTCTCAAGCTCAGGTATGATGACAATCCAACTGCAAGTTCACGATCATGGTAAATGAAGCCTATAATTAAACCTGATAATAACCTAATCTGTTTCAAAGACAATATTTCGAGTATAATTATCGTTGCAGTCCGACGTCTAATCGAACTAGCTGTTTGAATTATATTGGGACTAATGTCGCTGGGGGACAGGTGGGCTGAGCGGCGAGGCGGTGCACTATATCATATAAATAATAAGATTGTAATTATTATACATTATGTTATATGTACTTTACTTTATATTAATGTTGAACTTAATGTTGAGCATTTGAATGGCTGATAAGATTCCTCAGAAACAGTCATGACTTTCTCACTTTCTCACTTTCCGCAATATTCAGATTGTAACCTTTTGGGTGACAGCAATTGACCATGCTTTTCAAAGCTGAAACGCTCATTCTGTTCCTGGAAATCAAGTACTGAACGTCATAAAACGGTTTCTGTGCTCAGCAGCAATACAGTGTTTGCACCTGTTCTCACTGCCGCGAGTCCGTTTCTGTGGTCACGTGACTCAACCCATTTGTCAATCACGTGACCTTTAACGTGACGTCACGTGATATGGCTATCAGCAGTCAGCTGTTCTGGACCGGTGATCTAAGGAAATAGCTGATTATCGTGACACCGACACTACACAATACCACATAATCTGGGACCGAATCTTTGACTTTAAAAAGAGTTATTTATTTAAATACGGAAGGGAGGGGGGGGGTGTTTTCACCCTACATAAGAACACATCTACCAATATTACACAAAAAGTGTCCAATAGAACAGCAATTTGCACAACATTTGAGATTATAACTAAGTTGTATACCAAATGTCTTATATAGGGAATATAGCAGCAATATAACTAACTACACACAATATAGCAGCAATATAACTAACTACACACAAAACTGAAATTCTGACAGCATGTCCAGCTTAAGTCAAGTTGCGCGTATAATTGTTGGGTATAATATTATGATATATAATTTATTCCATGTTTTAGTGTGACGCAAATGTAACGTCTGGATAGATTTCCCTCTTTTGTGTCGATCAATATTTCAAACGTGCACTTTCTCCCTACCTCTGACAAAATTAATCTGGCAATAGAAGAGAAATACCGACAACTTAAACGAGATTAAGCAATAAGCATGAATTTTCCCGATTAAATTATCATAAAGGATCCAAAGTATCTAAATGTAAATGTACGTGTGATTCTTAGTTCACAACCTGGTGCACTCTCCCGCTCAAGTAAAAAACGTCATTATAGCATATTGACCGTTCCTTACTGTAAAAGGTATAAACTATTAGGACTGTCTCCCAATTTGACTGTATCTTCCCGTCAGCTCTCTAGACGACAGAAGCAACATATTATAAGTGCGGTGGGTGCGGAGCCGCACTATTGACCTACCACTGCAACTTTTCGCAACCATTGCTTGCATTGGCCGCTATTCGTTATATCAGATTTGTGTACTTGGTATCATTCAAATCAAGTCATGACGTAACCTTTCAAAAACATGGGAAAGTATAATTACTTTTGTAATTCGACGACTTTCAGTACTATCGATATGTAGATTGCTACATCTTGAATTGTCGGGAAACTCAGTATAAGACATTAACCTTGCAAGTTATTTGTTGTGTAGACAATGTCACCTGTATTTCACAAAAATTTGACTGCATCCTCGTGTCAGTTCTGTAGACATGACAACACAGGCCTTTTTTGGCCTTCATTTCAAGTTGGAAATTTCCCCAAATTTTAGGACAGCTCAAAATTATTCAAATACATAAAACAACGATTATTATAAATGTACTTTTCTACATCGATTAGTGCTAAACTTTTCCCTTCTTACACTATCTTATCTGAGTACATCGCTAGATCAAACATCCATGTGATACTCCTTGTGAGCCCTATTATCGCTGTCACCTGCCCGAGCCTTACAACATCTAATTATACCTTCTTCAGCTCTTATCTATAGAATTTAAGTTGTAAAATGCTTTATTAATTATTCGAAGTGTTCGGAATTGGGATAGTCTACAATTCTTTTAAAACTTGCAAAACAAGAATGATCATACTTTAGACTTTAGACTTTATCGCCCAATAATCACATTCCACAAATAACAGAGATGTTTCAGTGCGATACAGCGGGGCCACATTCCAGAAAGTGGAAGATGTACCCCTGTCAGAAGAGTGTGTAAAAAACACACAAGTTAACGGTCTTCTCTCGTCCATGAACGATAAATCTTCTTCGTACGATGAGGTAAATTCCATGAATTTGTATTTATTTAATTTAACTGTATTTAATTTATTATTTATTGAATTTGGCATAAAACAATGTCCTTGCTAAATGATGTTTTTTGTTTTGAGAAGAAATTAGCATTTTAAACATGCACAGGAACAATATTTGCAAGTGAGCACTGATTAAAGTTACGAATGTATCATGTTGATTTTACTGTTCATAAATCTATTCGACTGCCATTTATAATTGAAGCAGTTGATGGTGCCTTTTGGTAACCACTCATTATGAAATACACACTACGATCATGCTTTGGTTTTTTTGGTTTTTTTTTCAGAGCTATTTCGATTATAGAAAATTCTGTTGGATTAGAAACTATTCTTAATATGACGCAAACAGAACTGAAATTTTGTGTGTCCTCCTGCTCACTGCTGACCAAACTTCTCATAATTGCTTTTTAATGAGGAGATATAATATGTTCAATTAATATACTGCAAGTTCAACACACTTAGTTCACGAGATTTCCTTGTAATTTTAGCGTGTACTCGAATTTTTTATCAAGCAACTAACAACTTGCATTTATACCGGCGAAAAACAGATATTATATGATAAATCTTTCTGATTGAATTTTCTCCAAATTTTAGACATATCTTAAACCTTCAAACCTTGAGAACCCCACATTTCTTTCACATTATTAATTAAACTGCTGACCATTAGTTTAAAAAATGCAATTCTTAATTTGTCTATTAATTAATCCATCTAGTATAAAATACCTGGTAAACAGCTGCAGTTATTAAAAAACCGAGAATTCCATAGTAACAACCTAATAATAGTCTTGGCAGATTGCCGAAAAGGTCGCTCCCTGTTCCGTCGAAACGTCCAGATCGTTCTTCAAATTCAATGATATTTATCATTTGTTGTTATCTTTGATCTAGAAAGTTCTTCCATTACGAGAGTGATTTTGCCGAAGGTTCCTAGTTTAATCGTCCTGTACCACATTGGCAGAGGAAGTTGAATTTCCTCCGCCCCAGACAGTGTTTAAAGAATTTGCAGAGGAAGTTGTTTACCAAGTGTTCTAAAAGTTTATAAAAACAGGCCCGAGTTTAATTAAATGATTTAAAGTGATCTACAGAATACCTTAAAATACATACTTTGATGATTTTGCTCTCTTAAAAAATAAAAATCTAAACTACAGTGTTTTTAAGGCAAGTATTAAAAAAGTGTTTTGAAGAAATAGTGCTGTTTAAATACTGTGTTTATCTCTCTTATTTCCACCACTATTTAGACGCTATACACTATTATTATACAGTCTGCCATGAACGAGAACAAAGCCCAACAATTTGGCCGGTATTATGAAATGTTTGAGAAATAGTATCATGAACTTCAGACTCACAGACTGGTCTAATCTCACCTATAATCGGTATGCACGCATGCAGGTTTATAATAATGTTCCCTACGCTGGTACATTTCCAGGTTTAATCTAAATTTATTAGAACACATCCTTACAATCGGGCTTCGCTAGAAGTAGCTGAAAGTGGTTGCCAGGGACAACATATAAAATGTGGGAGAGAGAGGTCACGTGACGTAACAACCACTTAGCCCTGAGTGTTATATTAAAGGCGCAGCACATGTAACAGTCCATTAGAAGGGATACACAGTTCGCAATATCACATATTGTGATAGTTCCATTAACTATAGTACAAGTTGAAGTAAACCACGTGACATATGCTGTACAAATTACTACACGACCACTAGGAGAGTGCATTATTGTAAGTGTATGTTATAAATTTAATATCATTCTTTGTTGGGCACAACAATTGACAATGCACATTGTCGGGCCTTTACAACGTTGCGGTAAAATCTTCTCACCGCCATTCAGACGTTTTTAATTATATCAGGTTAATATGATCAACTAATTAATTATTTTAAACATGAATCAATTCCCTCCTGTACAGTAAACAAGATAAACTGTTATATCTAGATTGATTTATCAGATCAGAATAAGAGCAGTGTTTCAGCTGTCTTTGGATTCGAGGCCACGATTGAAAGGGTATATATATAGCATTTTATCTTGTATTTTATATATGTATTCAATTCCGTCAAAGTGTATTTAAAGTAAATATTCTAAGTTATCGTCGTTGATTTACGAATAATGATTTTGATTAGGTCATTGGTAATTTATGTTATGTTATAATATGTAATTCGTTGCCAGAGAAATATTATTAAGTCACGAACTGTTTAATTGTTTATTAATGGAATTTCAACTGAATGTAAACATTAAACAACTCAATATAATAGTCTAATAGTCTAATAGTCTGTATATTTTGGAATGATTAAATACTACTATGCAACTTATACTATCGACAGTTTACACGCTATTTATTTAATTAACTTTACAATACAAATGAGCTCCTACTTTGTTTCCAGGAAGCTTAGTTCAAGAATGTATGATTTTAATATGTATTTCTTATATAATAATGTTTGTTGACATTAGTGAATACAATATAATGGTAATCTAGCTAAGGCTCCTCTCTAAAAGATATTACATGCATTATATAACCCTTAAAATTATCTATAGTAATAAATATTACATATTAATACTACAGAAATATATTGTGGGTTCACTTATATTATCATAACACAGTCATTGTTAAATTTAAAGAAATCGGAGATACATTTCGTTCATGCGAAAGTGCCAGGGTAAAAAAAGGTTTACTGTAAAGTTCTGACACGTGACAGTGATCCTGGGATTTGATAGGTCGATGCTAATTAATTTGTTACTTTCACCTCCCTAATCCCTATGGTTCATCTTTTGAAGTAAAAATGTTTGATTAGTTAATTGATGATTTGATATAATAAATATTGAGACGTTGCGTAATTCTAATAGCAGCTCAACCAGCAACCTGAAACCCTTCCAATAAAATTTGAAATACTGCTTTTGGTTTGGAAAATGTTGAGCTCCACTCCCTTGAAAATTCGTTTAAATTCTGTCGGAGATTTAAACGGTAGTTCGTCTCGAGTATCACGTGATCGAGTATGCTATTAAAATGGAGCATTCGAGAGTTAGTACATGTCAACTAGTTCAATGCTTTAAATACTTTCAATATCTTAACCCTCGGGTATTTGATAATGTATTTGACAGGGGTTTAAGGGTTTAAATTAAACACTAGTTTATCACAAACCCATAGCAACGTGGATACTTCTTTTAAATACCCGGAGCAAGGTTGGCCCAAGGAGTCAGCCTTTAAGGGCGCTTTTCTTCTAACCTCTGCTAAATTTAAGGTGTTGTCCTGATATCAGCTGAAATGAAACAGTGTTCAAGTACTCAACACCTTCAGTGATAAAACAATCCTTTTATCCCCTAATCGATCCTCTTAAAATAGCTGACTTGAATTTTACAGTCGGTTTGACGGATACCAGCTTGACAGTCTGGGTAAGGTGTAGATCGTAGGTTCCAGAACCGGCTTCTAGAGCTGAATTATACCTGAAATTTGTCGATCTTCTTGAATTTTCACGACTTTTCATCTAGAATTAAAACAAGTTCGTCGTATTATGAAGCTAGGGTGTGGACTAGCTACACCAGGTTTAAACGCTTCCATCCCATTACATAATGCTCAATAAATTTGACAGATTTGTAATTAGTTTAAATATGATATGTCTCAGTATCTCGCCCAGACTGTGGACCACAGATAGCGCAGTGAAGCTTTAATCGGAGCACTTTATAATTTATAATGTCGTCGAGAAATAAATGCATAATTGTCGATTTGTACTGTTATATATCATAGAGGATCTGACAGCTTCAGTTGACTTGAGCAGACTTCGTTAACAATATTATGTTATTTATACGGGGCCTTCTTCCCACGTAGAATTGAATATCCACTTGACACATCACATAATCCTGGTCCTTCAATGTTAATGAATTTTAATTGCGACTCCAGTGCATCTTGGTTGCTGAAATAACGTTTTATGAGTAAGACAGGATTTAAAATAGGTTGTCCAATAAAAAATTTTTCAAGTACGTATAAGTTATATTATAACAATTTAAAAAAATCAGTATGTAAACAATGTTAAAACTCACTGATCACAAATGGCGAGACCCTACGATCTCTAAGAAGAACCGTCAATCATCACATCCCTCACAATTCTCATAATGGTACCCATATTATCATTGTTCGCCCTAAATAGAGTTTTTGACGCCACTTACCTTTACAAATACACTTACCACTTACCAATTAAAATTTCCACTTACCACTTACTATTACCACTTACAGATAATCGCTGGTTGTGGGGCGGAGGAAGTGTCACCGTTGACGGGCAGATCTGGAAACTTCAACACTCGCTCCACAAGAACCTTCTCGGACATTGCGTTGATCCAAACGAGGACTTCTGGACGTACGAGGAGGAAAGCGACTCGTCGGTCTCTACAGTCCCGGAACCGGCTCCCAATCCAGGGAAATCTGGTACTACCAAGGAGCAACCTAGTAACACGGGCCACAAGCGCAGCAATAATATTCTCTCTAAAATGTTCGATTTTCAACGGTAAGAACAGCTCCATGTACTATCGTTAATTATGTTGTCAATACATAGCTATACATTACATTAGTTTTAATAAGCATTGGTTAGATATTTGGAGTGAATAGATTAGTCCTTGACCAGTAAGACAGCCCAATAAAAGTTCAGATCTTATTCACCTGAATTTAAATGGTAAATTCGATTCAGTTTCTTTGCCTTTTTGCAGAACAAGCTGAAATGCGGGGTCATTTTGTTTGAAACATGAGCCCCACGGGATAACTGCTTTCATTGGATATAACTTGGTAACCGCCATGTTCATGTCTATCTAATGTGCTCTACTGATCAGTATATTAAACCGTTACACTCCGCTCCAATTTAATCGGAAATTTGTAGAAAGTAGTGAGTCTGGGTGAGGTTAGCCCCCGCCCCCCCCCCCTCCGGCCCTCGTATACATTAAATTATGTAGGACGCAGGTTGTATTATTCATACCAGCTTTCAGGGTCCATTGTCTGTCACGGAATATTGTAATTAGTTGGAGTGTCGAGGTACATCTTCTTGCACTTATGAGTTGTCAGTGATTGTGGTTGTAAGTCAACTGATATACATTCGCTCATTCTGTTTTTGTATTACTTGTTCAACAATTTTAGGCGTCTTATTTCCTAATGCAGTTCATTCTCAGGGACAAACCGTCTGCCAAGGTATCCCCGGTGATGGACAAGATTCAGGAACCAGTTAAAGAAGCCCGAGTATCACCCATCAAAAAAGAAAAAGTTGTCGAGGATGTCTCTTTTAAGCAAGTGAAGGCAGATAAAAAGTCTAAGAGAAATGGTCATGTGAAACGCCAAGAGTTCTCAAATGGTCACGAAGATCACCATCACACCGCCGTCAAAATTCATTTAGATAAACTGAAGGTTAGCACAATTTCTATCTTTTGTGTTTATCTCATGAATGTTAAAATAATCTACAAGTTATACAATGCCAATTTTCTATTTCAATACAATCTCGGTTATCTGTGCAATGATTGGCCGAACAAATGACAAAGCAACATGCCATAATGCCAGTGTATAGCGGGACATAAATGTCATGCGCGTGTTTTGGTTGTAACGCGCGGAAAGGATAAAACTCTGCAAAACTTAGCGCAATTTGTGTTTTCCCTTATTTTTAGAAAACTAAAATATTGCAGAAAACAGCGAATGTTTATAATTACAAAACTCGGTCATGGCTAATGATAGCCAGCTAAAATTAAGTCAAATAGGTAATTAATCAAATTATATATCACTATGCAGCATCTTTTTTAGGATATCGACGATGATCTTTATTTCATTCTACAAAACCATTTGGACACTTGCCAGAATTCTCTCCGTGAGGAAAAATTATCAAGGTAAGTACCCATAGTTTTACATTCATGTGTTATCTAAAATCGAACGATTGCCTAGTTTATGCCAACGTTTGATCGCTCTACTAAAGCAAAAACCCAAAAGCTACGTACATACTGTCCTTATAATTTGGCTACTGACTAATGACCATGGAATTAGCAAGGTTATCCTTTACTATTGTTGTTTAGTAACCCTGTTGATTAGGATGTGCTGATATAAAACCATCTTTTCTGTTATTAACTAAGTTGTGGTGTAATTTAAGGCATCCTGTAATTACTGAATCTGTCACTGTGTAATGTACATGAAATGTTTTGTGTACTGTGTAGTGTTCCGACGAAATCGTGGGTTCAAAAACATAGCAACAGGTTGAGAATCAAGTGAACAATTAAGAATCTTAAGTTACTGGTAAAAAGTCACGTGACGTTTATTTTAATTTTTTCGCATAAGAAATGAGACCTTTAAGGGAGTTCGATTGTTGTGAAGAGTTTTAAGTTTATTATATAATAAACTGTCCCGGCTCCTCCATGATCCTCATAGATCGAACATCGCTTCCATACGGTTTAATGTGAATTAAAACAATAATTTTACCCCCTGCTGCACTTACTAATATCATAACGTGATAGGTTGAGATCTGAACAACTCCACGAAACTCTCGAAGACGAGCTGAAAAAGGTACAGTCGGATTTGCAAAACTCTAAGAACAATGAGAAGAGCAAAGATGACAAGGTGCACAATTTGGTGAATGCAAATAAGACTCTCAGATCTGATTACGATAAACAGCGACAAGAACTTTCTAAACTGTAAGTCAGGGTTTCATTTCTTATAAATCCTGTTACATTTATTCTTAGTTTATAAGTGTACAGAAAACACGTGTTAGTTGTTGAATATTGCTCTGTTATATATCTGCAGATATTTCAAATTAATGTTTATTTCCAGGCACGATACCAAGCCAGCTGACACAAGAGATCGAGCTATTGGTTGTGATATTCTTCCAAAAGAGGCTGATCATTCCAAATGTAAAGAATCTGTAAAGAGTAACGAGACAATAATCTCTGATCTCAAAAAGCAGATTGATAACCACACTAAGAATCTTAAAAACGAGCAGAACATCCTTAAAAATATTCAGGTATGTTAATCCGCAGTACTATCTCTCTTTCTTTAACTTGAGTTGATTTTCCTAGCGCTATTAACGCATTCATAAGGAAATTCCCAGTGGAAAATAAAATTAGGGCAAAAGTAAGAATTTTGTGGGTTCCGCCCAGGTCTTCGTAAATTCCTGCCGACAGTTCATTAAATCTGTAGGGTTTCAAACTGTTGCTACTTTCCGTGAGAAAATCGGAAGTTCGGATATTTTGATCCATGGTATCTATCGACCTTATTTGAAAATAAAATCCGCCTCGCCTTTTCGTCAAAATCTTTTCTTTTGGAAGCTAACCATTTGAGACGTCTATCAACACCCGGAGTCTTTGCACTGAAGTGCTAAGTTGTACATGCATATTACATATACAGTTTTTTTGAAATAGTCTAGCATGTACAGCCATTGTGCTGATGAAACCAAGATCAGCATACTTCTGTGAATAAGTGTCAGCTGTCAGCATACTTCTGTGAATAAGTGTCAGTTTTAGCTGGAGGGTTGTCTAGATCTGATGGAACTTGTCTAGCAAAGTTCGATCTATGTAAGATAACAAATCCTGAAATTGCAGGCACAAGAGAGCGAGACCCTGTTGCGAGCTCAGCGTGAAAACGAGGAACTCAGAAAACAGAACACGATCCTCACCAGCCGACAAGAGTCTATCATCAGGAACCTTCGTGCTGAAACCAAAGTCAAGATGGAGCTATTCTCTGCTTTAGGTAAAGATTAATGATTTTAAACTGCCGCAGAGAAAACAATTTACATTCTCCTCTTTTTCCTTATCATTACCCTCCTTCTAAAGGAAATATATATATCAGATGATAGGTTACCACCATAATATCACAACTGCGACCACATGCTCGTTTTAAAAGTATTTTATTTTATATTAAAGACCGTACATTTTATTAAACAGTTAAATTTAAAATGCTCGTGTTAAAGGCATCAACTTAACATGATCCACTTACATTTCAATTTCACACTCTTTCAATTAAATACTCAATAAAAGTGATGCCCAACCTGAATTCCCCCCCCCCCCCCTGCATTCTCAGGCCTATTCCAAAGGCCCTTCGAAAGTTTAAGTAGTTTGAAGTCAGTGTATCAGCATTCAATTTCTTGTAGTTTCCTGTTATAGAACGAAGATCCATGCTCCCCGCTAGAACTGTTATACCATATATGGGAAATGAAGACAAGTGGTAGAGCTGGTCAGAGCAGCTGGGTGTGTTGATTATGATTATACCTTGTAACCTGTGGTTGCGTGTAGGCACGTGACACTGCTAGTCACGTGACACTGCTAGGCACGTGACACTGCTAGTCACGTGACACTGCTAGTCACGTGACACTGCTAGTTGTCAGACACTCTGTCTCACTGCTAAAAGAGGGGGGGGGGATAGTGATGAACCATGTAGTTTGATAATGTAAATGGTCATACTTAATAATGTGGTTCAATGGGAAGATTAATAATGGTGTGATGCATGAGAAATTTTAAAACGATATTATCTATATTTAGCTGATTAATCATCCTGTCATCTGCCCAGGTGACGCACGGAGACAAGCTGAAGAACTTAACCACAAGCTGGAGCAAAGGTGCCGTGAAAACGACATGTTGAAACAAAGAGTTGCTGAGGCTATGGCTGTTTCCTCCTTCCCAACCTCTAGTTTCAGTGTGCCGACTACTACCACCGCCGCCGATACCTTTTACAGCGCCAACGGATTTTAAACAGAAGATGTTAGCTGAGCTTGTATGGTTAACCAATGAATAAGCTGCTAGTGACCCTTATGTACCTACCACGTGATGTTTAATGTTGTGTCCGGTCTAGGGTAATACTGCTAGTTATGTATGAATAACGTGTAACATGTAAGGGTTTGGCGTTTCTGTTATAAATTATACAACTTTGTCGCGCCCTCTCGCTGCTGTTTTCATAGGGCGTCGTAATTTTCAAGGAGTTTGATTATGAGAATTTGATTTTATCTTGTTGTGACAAGAACACGGTGTTTAACACTATAAAGTATAATTTTAATTGTACTTTTAGAGGTTAAATAGTATGATGATTATTAGATAATTCTTGATACGGTATCGCATCAGAAATACATTCGTGTCTTTTATTTGGTTCAGCTTTGGTGTTAAAAATGTTATTTTAATTTTATTTGTGATATTGGAGTTTATAACTTGACCAAAAAAGCAAATCATGATGAAAATTGAGATGTTACCATCAAAAAATGGCACACAATTTTGTGTTCGACACTGTCAATAATTGGTTTGAAATTAACTAGCCGGAATTCCCTCCCCTTTACCTTGCTTACTAATGAGCTAGTCTCTTGCTGGCTTCTCTTATTATCGGGTGATAGTGATACTGGATGGTGATTAATCATCCAGTATCTGGATAACACGTTATCTGGGTGGCCCTGAATGACTTTTCGAAACGCTAACCCTCTAATCTAATCTTAAACCTAACCCAATCCCTAATTATAGCATTATTCTGAAAACCTAACGAGAAATTAAACCAACTTCTTCATGTCACGTGATCGAGACAGTTTTTCGCAGGGGAGCGTTTTAACCCTATTATGTCATGATTGGGTTGATTTGAAAATCAGCGTTCGAAAATACATCGATTCATGTTGGTTCAACCTGTCGGGAGTTAAACTTTTAGAAAGTTCTCGAAGATCGAGTGTAGAGTGATTTAGCACAATGAACAATCTCGAAGGATTGACATCGTCAATCAAATCCAAGACTGTCGACGATAGTGAAGTCAATCCCGATCTGGGATTTCCCGACCATTTTTGACCTGAAATTCCCGACCGGGAAATCTTTTTATTTCCCGAATTTCGGGAAATTTTATGCTATGTAATTTTAATAATGTTAGCCCCTAGCTAGATCATAGTCATACTGCCGTTTTCTCAGAAAAGGCAGTAAGTCCAATTTTTCGAAATATGACAATATTGGTATCAACATTTTCAGTAGAAAATTCTCTACAACATGAGGCTGAGCTACATATTAAAGTATAGAAACATTGTTGCATGCAATTCCTGAGGAAGTAAGTCCCAGTTGAGAAACATTATGTTTGGTTTTGGCCAATTATTTTCTGAGACAAGGACGCAAGTCCGGAATTACTGCCTTTTCTGAGAAAATCTTGAAAATTTTCTGAGATAAGGAAGTAATTCCGTGGACTTACTCATCCACGGATCACCCCCCATGACGTAGGGTTAAAATGCTTCCCTGGAGAGTTATGGGCAAAAAACTGTTTTGGTCACGTGACAGGCTAGTAAAACGTGAATTCGATTATTTAGGGCTCGGGTTAGGGTTAGGGTTGTGGTTAAGATTATGGATAGCTTCGGGGTTATGGTTAGGGTTAGGGTTGGGATTAGGGTTTATGTAAAACCGTTTTGTACGGCTGCAAAACCAAAAAAACCAAAGTCACGTGAAATTTTTGGGCGAGCGATTTAGTAAAAGCCCTTACTCATACTGCCTTTTCTGAGATAAATTATCTGCGATTGGAAAAGGTAGCTGGACTTAATTCCTATAAGTATAAACGCATGCTAAAAACGGAATTTTAGAAAGCGATTTCCCAAAAAGAACATAACAGTAACTTTGTCTTTACTGCCGATTGATATTTTCGCTTGAAATTTTCAGAATCGATGTATAATTACATTTCAACCTTACGTAAGTGATCAAAATTTTCATTTAGGCCTCAAAAACAATTTGAATTTGGTGGCCGATTTTCAAAAACGCCGGATGTATTTTAGTCGCAAAACATAAACATTGGAGCAGTTATTGGGCTGTTATAAGAGCAGACAATGTTTAGTTTAGGTATATCTTTTAGATCAAGTTCATTTTCATCAAAATATCGATAAGATATCATTGATCATTTAATGCACTGAAATCTTTCAAAATTGGCGAGTTAAGGGCATACTATTATTCAAAAACATTTAATTTATATGATATGGAGCAATTTAGATTTACCTAATTGTTTATATTTTACAATATAATCCAAAATACATAGATCCCAACCTTAAAAATTTAGTAAAAAGCTTGGACTAAGTACTTCCTTCTCAGAAAAATATTGAACAGAGATTTTTCTCAGAAAAAAAGTAAGTCCAAGTTTTCTCAGAAAAGGCAGTAATGTCTATAAGCTCGATTATTTGGCATAAAAATGGTTATATCTAAGCTTATTATGGACGGCTCAAAGCTTTAATTTTTTTGACAAATTAAAATTTGACTAATTATTGATAACTCAACGTGTTTATTTTCGATCTTACGCAAAAAATAAGCGGAGAAAAAACCATAAACGCAAAAGTCGCAATATCTCGAAATGGCAAATATGGACTTACTGCCTTTTCTGAGAAAACGGCAGCATAGATTAAAGAGCTTGATAATGCTCGATCAATCTTCGATGCTCACGCTGGGTTACTTGGCCGCGCTCAGCCTGTCATTCCGCCGAATTTCTTTTCCATATTCGTTTATGAACATAATAGCCTGGGGTGCCCAGGTAAACGCTGGGTAACAAATGATCATGGTATAACACTCGATCATCGCCACACGTGCTTTTATTTTATGTTACACGTGCTTTCATTTTAAACATAGATTCGGCGGAATGACAGGCTGAGCGCGGCCCAGTAACTAGCTTGTATTTGTAACTGCCTGATCCGACCACTTTGTCTTTAGTTCTGTGGAGTGTGGTTGCTTTGCTGCGCGCGAGTTCACGAGTTGGTTTCGTTTACACGTCAATTGATCATTCCTGCTTCCGACTCTATTAATTAACTTTTTGCAAACAAAGCTAAATGTTCGAATCTAATACGAATTCAAGTGTAAAGTAACATTTTTGTTTGTTATCTTCAATTTGGATGGATAAACTTTTTGAACTAATATTTAACGATTCTATTTAAAAATTCTAATCCAAATTGCAATTGACACTCTACACTTTATACTGCTTCAAGTACACTTTTATGAAACTCATGGACATGAACGAATCGTAGTCGAACTCTAGAATTGACACTATTTATATAAATCCCGGGATCAATCCAAGAAATTTCCCCGAGGTCGAGACGTCTGTTTAAATTAAACCAACTCTAGTACCACCACCAGCCAGTAACTTTTCCTGGGGAGACTTCCGGTTTTTTGCAAAGTGTTTGCTTTGTAAAAATAACGTTACCTCCTTAGTATAGGAGGAAAATTAGGGACATTGTAGATTTTGAGTTAATACCCCGAAAAATATGATTTTGGGCCGAATAAAAGGTTGCAGCTTTATAATTTTGCAAATAAATGTGGTTGTCACGACTTCATGGCTGAATTCAGATTTTAAACGCGTACACGCAGCGAGCTTTACGTTGACATACGTTGCATGCCACTTTTCGCGCGTGATACGCAACATGAATCAAAGATTCGGCGGAATGATTTACCTGGGGACCTCAGGCTATCATGTTCATAAACATGAATAGAGATTAGGCGGAATGACAGGCTGATCGCGGCCCAGTAACGGAATGATAGGCTTAGCGCCGGCCAGTAACACTTTACGCATTTTACACCTGACATTTATTAGTTACCTGGAGAGTCGGAGATCCCAGGCTATTATGTTCATAAAAATTTGAATAAAGATTCGGCGGAATGACAGGCTGAGCGTTACCTGTACTGCATACTGGGGACCTCAGGCTATCATGTTCATAGAGATTAGGCAGAATGACAGGCTGAGCGCGGCCCAGTAAGCTGAGCGCCGCCCAGTAAACATTTAGTACTTCTTAAGATGCAACATTTATGACATTACACCATGTTGTAGCGCGATGCACTACTGGGTCGCGCGCGCATCCAATAATGCTTCTCGCAACCACAGAGCAGATCGGCGAGATGCGAAGGATTGACATCGTCAATCAATACACCATGTATCACACATGTCTACAAAATAACATCGCACTATATTATATATGTTACTGGGCGGCGCTCAGCCTGTCATTCCGCCGAATCTCTATTCCCCAGGTAATATATATGTTGATACAAAAAGGAAGTGATACGTTTTCAATGAAGTGATAAGTTCCCAGGAACCCTGACCGGATGGGGCTTAACTTTGAAAGTAAAAGAGTTGGAGACTTTCGGTTTTTTGTAACATGTTCCTCTTTTACATTTTAAAAGTAACGTTACCTCTCCAGGAGGAAAATTCAAGACAACGTAATTGTTGAGTTATCTCAAAATCTCCAGAAAAGTCCCCTTTCGGTCCGATCAAAAGTTTGCAACTTTAACTTTGCGGATTCCTGTACTCTGGTTGGCTGAATTGTGTCACGTGTTAGCTGCTTGAACATTGGAATGCGCCACGCGTGCAAATCATGCTTGTTGTCGCGCGCGAGGTCGAGCCGTCTGTTTAATATTAAACCAACTCTAGTACCACCACCAGCCGGTAACTTTTCCTGGGTTTTCAATGTAACAATAATGTAAATGTAAATAATGTAACAATAATGTAAATATAAGTTATATTTTGCATTCATTCAATGATAAATTGAATTTGAACTTAAACCACGATTCAGTTTACTAAAAATAAACTTGGGGAATATTTTGATTGACAATGCGAAGCAAGAATGCTAGTTTGCGCGGCGTGTCGAAGCAGCGAAGTCTAGTCCTCCAAGGAATATTATAATGTTTTATTGTCTACCTTACAAGACATATTTATGTGGATCATAATTCTGGGGATCGGAATTATATTTATGGGGGATATATATATATATATTATGGGGGAACGAAAATATGGGGATTTTTTTCAGAAATCCCCAAATTTCGTACCCCAAATTAAATTGTCGCATTTTCTGTTTTCACGCTAAATTATTTCAGAGAAATCAAAATCAGTTTTTGATGGAATTTTTTTAAATCGTGAAAAACTAAATTAATTAAAAATCATTCTCGTCGTTTAAATCGTCTTCATCGTCGTCTCTTTCACCTTGAGTCTGCTCACCGGTGTAGTCCCAGGTGTATGCCTCCCTCAACAGGAGTTTGAGCTTGTCAATTAAGTCTCCCCTACTCTTGAATGTGAGTAGGGGAGACCAGTATTTTCTATTCAGTAATTTTTATACTAAGTAACTTTCTATTTACCTGAGAAATGCGTATCCTTGTCTCACAAAAAAAGGTAAAACAACTTATTTGACAAATTCACCTCAAATTAGCCCTATTTAAGCCAATTACATACAAATTGATGTGTGGGATTTTGAAATGGCGGCCACAATTTTGGTAGTACGAAAATATGGGGATTTTTTCCAAAAATTCCCAAATTTCGTACCATATAAATATGTCTCGTAAGGTATATAATGATCTATGATGATTTAATATAGTAGAATTTATGTATGAGTATTTCTTGTAGCGCGATGCGTTACTGTGCCGCGCCGCACACTCAATGAGGCTTCTCACAGCGACTAGCTAGATCGGCGAAATGCGCTACTGTGCCGCGCCGAGCTGCCATGAATTGACATCGTCAATTAAGAGTATTTCCATTAGGACAAATGGTTGATAATAATAATAATTTAAACTTTAATAGATTATAGTGGCACAACAACTAAAAATGCACAGGTGTGCCACAAAAACAAGTCAGGATACAAAAAAAGCTGAAAAGCAATCCACATTTAGGTTCCAAACCATAGAAAATTGTAAAGACTTGATACACTAAATTACAAGGTTAAGGGTATGCACTTAACAGTAGAAACGTTGAAAAAATAGTAAATTAATTAATATCATAAGCACGTTTAAAAAGAAACGTTCTCAGATAGACTTTAAAAGATTCCAGGAGAAATAGTTGATTTTAGTGAGACATGGTCAGTTTCTCAATGATTTTAGAAATTTTCTACTTACAGTAAGCAATGCTGAGTGGAAGAAATGAGGTACCAAAACGCTTGAGGCTAATATAGTAGCTCATTAAAATCAATTATTCTAATATAAGCTGGATGGTGCAGCCTTATTCGAGCCATCTTCTGAAAACATTTTTGGTTCTGATCAAGAGTCTTACTTCAGATATTACCCTTGAACCCAGTTATGCGACCATTCATAATTAAGTTGTTATTACTTTGTGTTTAAAATTGAGATCCTCTGCCTACTGTAAGAGAAACGAGTACTCAAATTTGCTGCTAATGGCTGGAAAGAATATTGAAGTTGTTACAAAGTATTGGAATTGTCCTCAAATGGGGTATGAGCAACTCGCTAGAGTGTGGAGGTGATAATTCACTATAATTTAAATAAAACGAAGGTTATTTGTTTCCAACCCTCAGATGTCTCTGCCATTCCTGATTGATTCAGATGTTAAGTATTCAAATTTCTGAAATAGGAGTCAGTAGACTCCGTCCAAATAGATAATACGGGATCTTAGTATAGTAAAACCCTGATTTACCGAAAACCCAGTTTTACTGCAGCCATTTATTTTCCTCAAATAGGGCATGCATAATGTGAACAAACAAAACCCAAATCTCTGCGGTAAATCAGAGTTTTATTGTACTACTGCTCCTTTGGCTATGAAGGACAGACAGCTATCCATTTACCACTTAATACAAATTATATATATATTTTCGAATTCATAAGTTTAGGCTCGGCGCCGTCATTGTAACACGTGACTAGCACCGCGCTGATAGAAATTTATGATTGAGATTAATCTTTGAGTATATAGTAAAAAACGTATTTTACATAGCATATCCAATTTTCACGAGTTTATTATCGGATGTTTAAGTTTAACTATTTTTATTAGTAAAACAAAATTTAGTAAAACAAAATTTTTATTTACCACAAAACAATCAATACATATTTAATATTATTATACATTTATAAATAAATCTAAATTTAAATTCGGCTATATACACAATACACAGCCCACCGCGCAGACAGCCACACATTGCTGAGAGATTCTCAGGTGCAGATGTAAGCGCCGCGCGCGAGGTTTGTTATCTTACAATTACATGTCACGATATATTATTATTATTAATTATCAGAGAATTTTAGATATTAATATTATGATATTAATATTCATTGTAATATGGGAATCAAATTTAAATTTCGTATATGCTGATGAATACTTTCTACACGAAGCTGTATCTTCCTGATGTTGGCAATGTGATATCTAGCCTGGATAAACTTGATTGAGAATTAATTAGTTTATTTGCTAAACAGCCAGTGCTCCATCTAAGTAGCTTAAAAGGCACTCTTTTTACTGCAACATAATGCCATTCCAGGACTATTACCTCGAATAATGACATATTCGACAACCAACACATCTCCTCTATTGTCAACTTTGCAAACTGCACCAAACATTTAATTGTGCCTGAGGAGCTGGACCAGACTGGTGTGACATAGCAACTACTCACACATCGTATTAGTTCACCTTTCTCTTCCACACCCAGTTGCCACAAGTTAAGCATTCATACACGACACATCTTACAACACTTACCATCATCCTACATTACACATTCTGATTCCGAGGTAGGCAAAGCATTCACATGCTATCCTCTCGTGGGCTATCCAGGCCCAGCCTCTCCTTAAAATTTTAATTGAAAAAATTGAAAAACACACTGCCAACAATGCAGCACATACCTTAAATGAGTATGATATATCCAAGTTTTTAATTGAAGAACATCCAACACAAAATCAAGTTCTATATGTCTTTTATGAATTTATTCTAAAAGAATTGATCTGTGTCTGCCAACTAAATTGTAGTATATGTCAGAAAAGGAGGCTCTATTCCGGGACACCTTTATTATCTTGTATATTATCATTTTGTTTGTCTGATGAGTCTCATACATAGATCTCTTGTGGTCATCATCTATTTTTTTATGTTTTGTTAGAAAACCTGCTAACCTTTCTTGGATATCTTCTTGTTAGGTGTATCTGCCTTATTTAGTCGGGATTTAACTTGTAGTTATTAACTTCCGTTTTTACCTCCGTCCAAGGCGAGATGCACGATCTCTACTGTCATTTAGGTATCATTTACAGCTGTGCATAGGGTTAAATTTAAATTATTTAACCTTTTGGTGCTGTATAAAAATAACATTAATTTATTATTATTATTATTATCTAGTTTACATCAGTAATAAATGGCCTGAAATTAAAATGTGTAGATAACTGACATTTTTTTGTTTGAATGGTTTGCATGGTATATTACCCTGTCCAGGCCTGGGGATCATGCGCTTTAGTACTGGACCTGGCGTTAGGGTGGTGGGTCATATTTTTTTCCAAAACACAGTTAATAGTTTTGTACTAAGTGGTGGGTCTGCTCCTCATTTCCCAGAAAAACAGATAGTACATGGTACTAAGGGGGGTGTCCAACCCAAAAAATCACAGTTAGTATCGTGATTTCTCAACAGTTAGTACCACAGAAGGGTGTGGGTGTCTTAATTATTATCCGAAAAAACAGTTAGTACCGCGAAGGGGGTGGTTGGGTCTTTTGAGAATTTGAGACAATTTTGTAAGAAAAGACAATTTTATTATTTATCACCAATTCAATAAATTTGGAATTTTTCAAAATTCCAAGATAACACTTTGTCGACGTCACGTCCAAAACTTAGTACCTGATTCCCCCGCCAGGCCTAAGCCATGGACTACAACGGATTTGATTTTTTACAAAACAAATCTTCAACTTATTCTTAGGAAACAAATTTCATTACTATGTATGACATAGATATAGATTCGTAAATTTAGGTTTAGAAAATTAGCTCGATGAGATTTTTTGATATTAAACAACTGATCAACTTATTTTCAAGACACAAATTTCATTTCTACATGACATCTAAGATTTGTCAAATTTAGACAGGTGATCTATCTCTATTTTTCTGGCATGTATCAGTGATACTCTGGTTATTGGATGTAATTCTATGTTTTTGGGTAAAACTTACATATACTAGATTTTTCATTAATGCGTGGATTGGAAGAAATTATAATATATTTTCCTCAGCCTTTGAAATACTTCGTTTGGAAATCGTTTTTACCATAGTGGGGAAATTACATTTTGCTAATGACAGCATCGTGAATAGGTATATCGTCAATAACTCTAATTGTCGGGACTTTCCCTTCTGTTTTTGCTTTTGCAAATTTTGATCGCTATATTGTTTTATGTCACCCCTCAATCTGCTAGTTGCCCACTATGGTTTTTTTGGTGTGTTCACTGACATTAACTCTGGTCAATGGTGGGACCCTGGTATAATTTGGGTAGGGCAGTAGAACCCCGATTTACCGTGGAGTTTGGGAGAAAGGAAATAGCCGCAGTAAATCGGGGTTTCACTGTAGTATCGGTAGTTATTTCCTCTAAATTTACGAATTATTATCAAAATTCTGCTCCCTATCGTTTTCTCTGCCCTAGAAATTGGTTCTGTTTTAGAAAACAGTCACTGATCACTTTTCCACTACAGCTCTAATGTGAGAAATGAAGCTGAGATTGACCTACGTTTCCTTTTTGAGATGAGAGGATGAAACATTTAGGTCAAATCTCGTCCAAGCTAGGTCCTAAAGGTTCACAGTCTGCAGTTAGCAACAATAATGAAGCATCTTCCCTTTTCAAGGTCCAGAAGGTAAGTGCAATTAAATATTATGTACCTACACATTAACATTATTCACTGTTGTACTAAGAGTTGTTTAATGTGAATTGCTATCAGACATGTGAGCGGTCATGACTGTTAGTGTCGGATAATGACTGGGACTGAAATAGAATGTCGAATCCTAATATCGTACCCTTCACACTCCTACTTATCTCTGTATTTCCTCCTTTGTGTAGGCTCAACAAAGTGTCTAGCCGTCTAATCAGTCTGTCAAATTGGAGTATTTACGTCTTCAGTTTACAAATCAGTGAAACACAAACAGACTATGCGGGGGGACTACAGACCCCCTCAAAGTCCTTTTCAACGTTACTTGTTATTATGTGCATACTGAGTTGTTACTTTTGTTAGTCTTTGTCAGCTCTAAGTTAGTACTTTAGAACCATTAGTTAGGTACTTATTTTGGGCTAATATCCTGAATTAGTGTCTACAATTAGGACTCTGGTTGATTTCAGAATTTAGACCAAGCAAAAGTAACGTTAAATGTTAGGCTGATAAGACTAAGAATTAGTATCTGAATTTTCCCTGAGCCTCTCCTGGATTAACGGGAGTACAGCCATTTCATTGATTTCAAACATAACCATAGCTATCATAATATTACAACATCTGAGCTAATAGAGCATTTATTGAGTGAATGTGTGTAATGGGATGAGAAATGAGAATATGTATACCTGGTTTAGCCAGTCTAAACCCGGCCCTGGCTGCATGTAAGGTTGCGACTCATTTCGCAATGAACAGTACAGATAATGACAAGTAGACTTAATGAGTGGACTAACAATAAAATATATCAGGTAGTCTGGTTGAGTGTATAATATGTTATCTTATATTCCAACGACGGTAATAAAACTGAACGTGATAATTTGTCGAAACTGAAGTTATTAAACGTGAATCTTGATAAAACGTTGGAGGTTTTTAAACATTGCCGTCTATTGAAATCATGATTACAAAAAGTGAGATCCATCACAGAACGTCCTGATAATCCTCTGCACACTTAAAACTGAACTGAATCTCCATGTGTCTTGGTACCTTACATATTATTAGGAGATTGTGTATCAACCCCTACTGCACACAACGAATTAACACATACGTGTGCATTATATTCCTCTATATAGCATATACTATATAGAATACTGCTGGAGCGTGGAGAGTCCCCCAGGTCTCTCTCTCTCTCTCTCTCTCTCTCTCTCTTTTATTAGTCTTATTACAGCCCAATATATTACACCCAGCCTTCAGTAGGGTGTGGCCCTTACATTGCAATTACACGCCAATTTTGGCGGTGGTCGACTGGGAAGATTTATTGCTGTGAGAACTTTATATATTATTGGTATTGGAGTATTGGAACAGGTTACCCGGTTGCCGCCTGGAAGTGGTAACTGGGTGGTGGTTTGGAAATGGACTGTTTAAAAGGTTGAGAAAGGGTGATAGGCAGGCAGGGTGATCATTGAGTCTTATTTTCATAACATCACCTAATTATTTTCGTTCCCAGGCGTTTGATTTGTCAAAATCGTCTTAAATATATGAAAGAACATGCAACCACACATGGTACATACAACATAACTTATAGATCGCACATTAAAAGATTAAACCGCAATTTTAATCCATATTCTTATTTGAAAATTAATCGAGGTATTTTTGTAATAAATCAGGCTGATCTGGTAATTTTCTAAAATAAATAAACAAACTTTGCTCGGCTCCACTTTCCTCAGAATTAGCTCCACATTTCAACCTCTGACCACTCAATCTCCCCAGACCATCAGATACGGACTACCGTTCGAGCCGACCACCCTGGCATACGACCCCATACAGAAGGTTATAGCGGTGGGAAGCAAGAGCGGGGATATCAGACTGTATGGTAAGCCGGGAGTTGAGACGTACGTGTGCCATGAAGAAGGCAGAGCTATCAAACATCTCTTTTTCTCTGTCAATGAGGTAAATACAGGCCTGGGTTTTTTGGAACACGTAATTGTGTATATGTAATTAACCTTTGTAAATGAGGGGTTGACATAATATGGTAATAAAATAGTAAAGTCTACCATTTTATGTTTGGTAACTTACAGGGTGGCCCAGAAGTAACTGCCCACACGCAACCCTTTAATAACTCACGTAATTCCTCTTAGAATTGCACAGACATTTCAGAGATTATAGATATGAGTCAAACTTAGATTTCCTGAAAGTTTCGTCAAATTTAATTAATTACAGTGGGTGTGTCACGCCACTCCCTCTTTTTCACTATTGTTACCATAAAGTGAGAACGCTTTTAGCTAGGAACTTCAAAGTTTCTAGACACATTTCGTTTGATAATTGAAGTGCTTTCCCAAAATTTCAAATTGGTTGTTCACAATTTAACCGAGTTATAACCCTTTTAAGATCTTGAAGATACGTGATCCAGCACTTAATTGCAGTTACTTCTGGGCCACCCTAATTAAGTCAAGTTAGTTGTTACTTTAAGGGGGAAGTTTGGTTTTTCGTGAATCTTGATTTCGAGATCACACACACACACACACACACACACACACACACACACACACACACACACACACACACACACACACACACACACACACACACACACACACACACACACACACACACACACACACACACACACACACACACACACACACACACACACACACACACACACACACACACACACACACACACACACACACACACTTTCAGGCCCTGTCTGCTGTCGATGAATCCCCATCATTATGCCTTATAAGAGTAACTTTTTATATTGCTGTTGCGACTCTGTGACTGAGTTATACCATAACATTTGTATTATATTTTACCTCTTCAATTATCACATAATCACAGAATCACCCCAAATAGGAAAGTAACCAGTAGTAACCAGTAGTAACCAGTAGTAACCACAGTGGTTTACCACCCACCTGATCCTTGTGACGTGGTTCACTCCGCATGCATTTGTCACTTTCTGGGAAGCAAATTATCCTTCATATAACGTCATACACCTCCATTACTTGAAAACTATTTAGCTGCTTCTTTATCTGATGTGTTACATCAGTATTCAATTAATAATCGGTTAATTCATCGCAACCTTTATGATAATATATTATACAATATATTATATATAGCAAAACTATGTATAGTTTTGCCATGGAAACTAGATAACTGCTTTGTGTTCCACTTTCACTTTCTGGAAGAAGGAAATTTCCCACCCATTACGACTTCACAGACAATTAACATACAACTGAGCGACTGTTCTCATACATAAAGTTTTTTTACCAAATTAGATACGAAATTAAACGATTAGTCATTATGTAATTAGTGGTATTGATTGCAGTGTGTTCTGTAAGGAGTATACTGTGATTACTGAACAATGTGATCAGTCTGTACTCTATAAACTGAAGATGTAATACGTTTGTTAGGTGACTTACTGGACGATTTACTCAGTGTAAAGTGGGTAAGTGATTGTGTGTGAGCACGTGTATCTATAGGGTGATCACGTCTTCAATGTATAGAGTGATCAGCAATACGGACTACGGTCAAACTCTGGGGTTATACTTCATAATATCTTTATTCTTCAGCTCCTCCTGGAATTAAAATTTTAGCTTCTTTATCCTTCATTATATCTCTTAGGATATTTTCTCTAGGCAGCATGTTGGGAGTTTAATAAACCTTGTGTTTTGTGAATTGTGTTTTTTATTGTGCGATTTGAGTTCTAGCATGTGTTTTCCCAGGTTCTTGAGCACTTTCTTGATAAAACATCCACAATCACGTTATCACAACTGATACACGGACCCTATAAACATGGATACACAGCATATTATATCCCAGTCCATCTAATTACGTTACAAACCCAGGGCCGCACAATCAGCACCCGTTTCACAAATACCAACCCTCCCCGCCACCACCACCATCCCCCGGGATTAAATTACCATGTATAGCGATCTTCGGGGCGTGTCTACCTTCCAAATCATTGGCTATAACCCACGTGGTTACTAACCCTATATATTTTAAATACGATACAGTATAATAACATGATATGTAAAGTATGTACACTAGGAGCCTGTTCTCTATCTCTCTCTCTCTCTCTCTCTCTCTCTCTCTCTCTCTCTCTCTCTCTCTCTCTCTCTCTCTCTCTCTCTCTCTCTCTCTCTCTCTCTCTCTCTCTCTCTCTCTCTCTCTCTCTCTCTCTCTCTCTCTCTCTCTGTCCAGCCCACCTGCCACAGCACCTGCTACATGTATTTCTAGTGTACGAGAACGTACCGTACTTAATGCTCAGGTGTATAACTCCTGCTTATCACCACGGGTATTGTAATTGTCTCCAGGTTACATTCACCGTAAATGGGAGCGTTCGTTAATCATTGTTTCACATTCTGGAGGAAAGTTCAAATTCAGAAGGAGTTAGGAGAGATGTTGCGATATGAAATCAGGGTAAATGCCGTGAGTGAGATGTCTAATCTTGATATAGAAATTATAGTAGTTGAGTTGTGTAAGTGAGTACAAGAATAAAACTTCCCTGTGATTTGGAAATTTGCGTCACGCACTGCTAAGTGACCGCAAACCGACGGAAGTGCAGACGCAATGACGTGACTGGAACTGATTATAATTACAGTTGACATCTTTCCGCTCCATATAAGCACTACTACCCTCACTGTATTGCATCATATCCTCACTGTATTGCATCCTACCCTCACTGTATTGCATCCTATCCTCACTGTATTGCATCCTACCCTCACTGTATTGCATCATATCCTCACTGTATTGCATCCTATCCTCACTGTATTGCATCCTACCCTCACTGTATTGCATCCTACCCTCACTGTATTGCATCCTACCCTCACTGTATTGCATCCTACCCTCACTGTATTGCATCCTATCCTCACTGTATTGCATCCTTCCCTCACTGTATTGCATCCTACCCTCACTGTATTGCATCCTACCCTTACTGTACTGCATCCTACCCTCACTGTATTGCATCCTATCCTCACCGTATTGCATCCTATCCTCACTGTATTGCATCCTTCCCTCACTGTATTGCATCCTACCCTCACTGTATTGCATCCTACCCTCACTGTATTGCATCCTACCCTCACTGTATTGCATCCTATCCTCACCGTATTGCATCCTACCCTCACCGTATTGCATCCTATCCTCACTGTATTGCATCCTTCCCTCACTGTATTGCATCCTACCCTCACTGTATTGCATCCTACCCTTACTTTATTGCATCCTACCCTTACTGTACTGCATCCTACCCTCACTGTATTGCATCCTATCCTCACCGTATTGCATCCTATCCTCACTGTATTGCATCCTACCCTCACTGTATTGCATCCTACCCTCACTGTATTGCATCCTATCCTCACTGTATTGCATCCTACCCTTACTGTACTGCATCCTGACCTTGTTCATTGAATATTGATGGGAGAGGGGTGTCAGTTGTTCAAAATTATTTGAATGATTCAACAGTAAAGAACTACTGTGCAATTTTGTAAAGATAAAGTTATCGTAGACAGCCTACTTCATGACGGTTAAATGAAGATAGTGACAGTTGGAAGTCTAGATCAACTAGCAGGATCTGATAGGTAGTGTTTTTCAGGAAGGGGACTGTTTTCTACCCACCATCCTTGATAATTTACTTTTGTGCAGCTCATACGGAAAATAGCAATTAAAAATCACATAAAACACGAAAAGAGGGCGTTGGTGTTGATCTTTAGGTAACCACCAACTTTAAATTCAAGTCTTCTTCTCGAACCACCTCGTCGATCTTTGATAGATTCTAATATAATCTGGTTTGCGTCTTATATATTAGATATCCATATTCCATGTCAACGTTTTAACTTAAACACAATTTTTTAACTAATGGTAGCTTGTCCATAATTTTATTGGATTTGAAGCTTTCGATAGGAAAAAACTATATCTCTATTATAGTTGTTTGAGATTCTGGCTAGTAGTCGGGGGTTATAATAATATTCAGTACTTTTTACAGCTATCTTTACTGGAGCTGGATATAGTAACTGTCTAATTTCATCACCCACAAACACACAAACACACACACATATATAAGACCTGTATTGCACAAAAAGGTGATTAATGAAACCTAGTGAGGCTATTTTTAGAAACATCAATTTATCAGAAACTTTATTAGATTGTGTTACTACTCGACCATACGAACAAAACTTTCTCCATTTGGATCAATTAAAGTAATTAATTTTGATCAATTAAAGGAATAGAGCACTTGTTAGTGAGATTTATTTTCAGGGCGCCCTGGTTAGTGTCACGGTGGACGATTGTTTACATCTTTGGAATCTAAGACAGCGGGCCCCTCAGGTCGTGCAAAGTCTTCTTTTTAAACGTGAGAGGTAATGTATGGAATTCATTTCTTGCTTTACTACATTTAACGACATGACGCTTTTTTATTGATGTTAAATTTCGTTTTGAAACCAGACTCTGTCGAATGGTCCCTTTGTCGCAGATTACAAAGGAAGTGGAGGTCCAGTATATATGTATAGGAAATTTCTTAAGCAGAGTAATATGGAACATGGGTGTACTGTAATGTACATTAAACGACAGACCTCATTAACAAAGATATTCACAACAATAGCCCTCTTTCGGTGGAGAAAATAGCAGTCTATAAATGTCACGTGGTTGTTTGAATTTTTGGAACACGCTAAAGTATATCTCTATATAATACCAGCGCGCACGCGAGTATATCTTGTTTCATTGGGAGATTAGAAAATACAATGATTACGAAATACGTTCGTATTTGGAAGTTCACGTTTATTTGGAACTTCGTGGTTTTAACAAACTTTGATTTATTCAAAAAACCCTTATCAGTCTGTGTGTCTGCAAACTACCGCTGTTCACCAAATGGATCTACTTGGGGACCGAGAAAGGGAACATCTTTGTTGTGAATCTAGAGACATTTGACCTGTCCGGATACCAAATAATGTGGAATCAGACGATACCTAAATCTCAAAAGGTGCATCCTGGTCCTGTAACAGCTCTAGAGGAGCACCCTGTCGACCCTTCCAAGCTTCTTATCGGTACGTCGCACAGTTTAAAAGTTGTAAATATGTCTCTTCTAAATGCAGAATACTGCGAGACATAGGCACCAGGCCTATTGCCTATTGAAAAGAAAAGGATTTTCTACATTGGACATTTGATATTGATCGTGGTCGTTAATATAATAACTGTCCGGTGAACAAAATTTGCATTTACTTTGAACAGGTTACGAGAACGGGAGGCTAGTAATATGGGATCTGAAGAGTAAGGAGGTAATAAAGAGCTACTGTTCTGACAGACCACTCTCTTGTGTCTACTGGATGAGTGACGTCAAACAGTTCATTTCAGGTAAACTTTCTTCCCATCTTCACCATCTTCACCCACCCATCAGACTGAGAGACTGGGTTGTTATTTGCACTTTATATTTACTTTCTTGTTCCCCTCCCCTAAACATTGAATCTTGTTATTTGTACATTGAACAGTCTTTTGAGAGCCTAATATTGTTAATTGCAGGGCACATAGAAGGGTCACTAGCGATCTGGAACTTCAACACCACTAGAGTCGAGGAGAAACCAGTTAAATCATTCAAACCCCACGAGTTCCACAAGGAGGCGTCCTCACCTCAACCTTGTAATCTTATCACTAAAGTTATGTGGCTGTCAACTAAAACCGATCCTGTTTTGATATTCAACGGGGGTGTTCCGGGTAGGTGTCCATTTTATAATCAGCAGTAATTTCAGTCCACTTTTAATTCCTAGTTTTATAATTCAGAATAAATATATGCGATTTTCATCAGGATTGCTTGGCCATCAAAATATCTGATTCAATACTTCCTAGGTCCCAACTCGTCACACTATATCACCATATTCCACGGTCGCAAGCGAGAATCCTTCAACCTGGAGAAACCTATAGTTGACTTCGCGGTGGTGTGCGCGTCTCCCTACGCCAAAGACATCCAGGACCCCAGTGTGGTGTTTGTGCTGCTTTGTGATGACATCATTGCTATCGATCTTACCTCTCATAACTTCACACAGTACCCTGCTCCTTATGGTACCAACCCTTTAGAGTGTTTTTACCTTTATCTTTCTTAAAGAAATTCAAAGTTGGGGTATTATTGGATTTAAGATAACACTACAAAGAAATTCGTCTGTACTAACTTAATTTTCTTTCAGGGGTAACAGTTGGGATCTCTCCCGTGACCCACCTGTCCAACTACCCCTCCTGTCCCACCTCCCTCCTAGAGGACCTGCAGCTCTGTCACCAACAGTCTCCCATGAAGTACTGGCCTATTGATGGTGGGGAGTTGGGACGGCCCGTGGAGAACAACTACGATTTGAGCGTGACTGGTCATAAAGATGGGAGTTTGCAGTTCTGGGATGTATCAGGTTAATTCAGAATAAAATACCATAATAATGTTACGATCAACGGAAGTGTTTTTAATTTTTGACGTCTAGTTTAAGCCTCCTCGTAGGACTAAAATTTATCTTCGTGGAAGCAAATCTTACATTTATATGTCTATTATTTAAATCGCTTCAACAACCCCAGGAGTTACATTACAACACCTGCATACGCTTCAAACTCGGCAGTTTTTCGATGGTAAGCAGACAACTGAATCAGGGGAGAGCCTTGTCAGTGTGACTCATGTGAACCTTTGTCTGAGTGGGCGGACCCTCGTTATTGCTTACGCTTCATCACAGATACTCATTCTCAGTTGGAACAACACGGAGGTTTGTTAAATATGTTGAATATGTTAAGTATGTTGAATATATTTAATATGCTGAATATGTTGAATATACTGAGAAATTCGAATCACCTTCACCAATTTGTAGTTTAAACATTTACATCAATTCTGAAATAATGTCTTTGTCCAATGTCCAGTAATGCATTATAATATGTATGAATGAAAAAAATAAAACTCAGCAGATTCGATTTATGAGTATTATTTAATATTTGCAACAAAATGATTAGATCATAATAATATCTAGCACAATTCCCATCAATTCAGTGTCGAATAATTGTATTATCAGCCCGGTAAAAGTAAAAACAACCCTCGTGCTGTTATCAAATTAAATAATTACTCTCCCCAGGTGCTTCAATCCTTATCAGTCATCCCGGTATTGTTGGCTCAGCCTGATTACGCGGCGTTTGAGTTTGACAGTATGGAGGAAGAAAACACGTCCCCCGGAGACAGTCCTAAAACCCCCGGTTTGTAATCTAAAATACATCTCTCTGTGCTAATTTAATACGTTATATATATCATATATCGGCTGACGGACAACTGGGAACCTCTGGAGATACTTTAAATCAGGTGTCCACTGATTTCACAGCTGTGCTGTATATATTTCTGCACTAATTAAGACAAAGATTCGTACAGAATACATTACTCAATATCAATCTCATGGCCAAAGTATTTGGCAATCTCAAACAGATAGCCAACCTTGCTAGAGCAATCCGAGTATTTGGAAGAGATATGGAACAACTGGTTATTGGAAGTTTTCCTTTTAATCCTTTTCTTAGAAAGAGTTTTGTCCAACACCCAGTCGATCGATGTTATACCGGAAATATTAAAAGATAAAAGCGTCCAGTAAATGAAAAATTAACTCAGTTTAGCGCAAATATCACTTTTAAGAGATGAATTTAGAGATTTAAAATGCTGCTCCACATGCGGACTTTCAGGATCATCGAAAGAAATAGTCTTAATCATTTGAACTCTAAGAATTCAAGCTTGTGCAAGAAAATTAACCTATTAATAAGAATGTCTTCTTCATTGTAAATCATGGTCAACTGGTGAATGTTAATTAATGGCCAATGGGTAACTATTAGTTATGACACGAAAATATTTCAAATCATAATAATCGAGTCTTGTTAGACAAAACTTAATTGCATAGTTCATTTAACTATAGTTCATTTAACTATATGTTTAGGTAAAATAAGCAGTTAAAGTTTAATTGGACAGAAGTTCTCTTGGAGCTCTTGGAATTCAGCAGCAAAGTCTTCACCCATCTACGCAACTGTTATCTTCGTCCAGATCTTTTATCAGTGCTATAACTTTATCAGTTATTTTCATTCCCAGCAGTCTTCCTGAGCAGAAAGGAAAACATGTTAAACTTATTGAAGATCAACATTTTCTGCATTAATTCGCCGACATTTAATCCGACATTGGCCATAAGAAGTAAATCACCAATGATTTAATCAATTACGATACACGGTTATTAAGTTACTTTTTTAAAGAAGCGTCCCTTACTTGTCGGTGATCCCCATGTTGTTCTTAGTTGCTTGTGAAGCCTGCGAGTAAAGACCTTATTGTAAAATGGGCAGGAGTATAGTACGTCCCATTTCGTGAGATGTCCTTTTTGCAGTTCACATTCCTTCTCAAGGGCGGTCTTCAGTTCCAGCTCTGTGTTCTCAAGCTCAATTTGACTTTCATTCAATTCGAGTCGTGAACTTTCCAGGGAACTTTTAGTTTCATTCAGTTTGAGGATTGAACTTTCCAGAACACTTTGAGTTTCATTCAGTTCGAGTTGTGAACTTTCCAGGACACTTTTAGTTTCATCCAGTTCGAGTCGTGAACTTTCCAAGACAATTTTAGTTTCATTCAGTTCAAGGCGTGAATTTTCAAACGCAATATTTGATTCTCCCAGTTCGATGCGTGCATTTACCAGTTCAGTTTTAGTTCCATTCAATTTGAGGCTAACATTTCTCAGTTCAGTTTTAATGTTATTCAGTTCATTTTCATTTGTGAGCATCGTTTCCTTGACCTCTTGTAGCTCCTCTATTGCAGAATCGCGCTGTCCTTTAACCTCCAGCAGTTCTACCTGTGTACTACGTAGACTTGACTGGAGCTCTTCCTTTTCGCTGATAGCTTCCTGTAATAATCGCTGTGTTTTCTCCAGTTCAGTTTCGAAATCACCACATCTTATCTGAATATCCTGAACAGTTCCTTTTCGGGTAAGTTCCAATACCTCCTCCCATCTGATCACTCTGTACTCATCTAACTGATCCGGGAGTGGCGTGCATAATCCATCTGCTGACAGTGCAGCTATCTCAGTACCAGTCAGCTCCTTTGAAAACAAATTCAGATTGTACATCTCACCCCCGAAGTCACAACTGCCAGTAGCCCTACCACTAGCAACGCTATCCAAATAATCTCCCAACACAAAAGTACCTCCTGTTTTAAGTTTCCTCCCGGCGGATGTGATCAGAGTTCCAGCTAATGCCCCGTTAACATACGCTCTGAAGGTTCGTGATGCGAGACTCCAAGTACCGCAGTACTGGTACCATGTTCCCATTTCAGGAATGTGCTCACTACTGACATGTCCAGTACTTCCGAACAGTCGATACCTATTCCTATTACCACTCTTTATTGAATCTATAAACAGCTCATCCTGTTCGTAGGCAAATGGTATTTGATATGTCGATTCTGATGTTTTTGTTCTTATCCACAGACAAAACGTGAACTTCTCAGAAAGAGAAGCCATGTCGGGTTGGAACGAGATAAGACTGTACCCATCATTGCCAAATTTGAGCCCAGTTTCATCCGACCCAGATACCACCGGCATTTCCAAGGCTAAGACATACAAAACAAAGACTAGCATAGTTATTCGTGATACAAGTGTGATCCGCTCGATCGTTGCTAGGTATTTTTATTTGGGGTTAGGAGTCACGCGTTTTATGTAATCCCATTAGGCACATAATTTTATATTTTCAAAGTGTTGATAAGATTTTACAATTCAGTATGAGTTCGAGCCAAGATTACATACGCTCATAATACCGGTCACTGTTAATACTAAGGAGGGTAGAATAACTTAAATCCTACCTCTCAACTAGTTATCTGTTTGGTAATTCCTAATCCTACTTTTAACTTAATTTGAGGGCTGAAGGTATCTAAATACAATCTACACTTTTTTAAGTTCGCTTTTACTAATTTTATGGAATCTATTCTCGTGTGTTAAAATCCCCAATACTATAATCTTTCTCCTAAACTTAGACTCATCATACTGCCAGTAACCATCACTTAAGGAAGTTTTGGTGATTTCCAGCTCCTTTACTGTGCTGTTAGAATGTCATATCGTTTAGTTTTATTGCATTATCTACTGACTGTATTCAAGCTAATTCAAGCTAGTGTGCTTAACCTTTGATAGTCACGTTTAGCTTTTTCTTCGTTATGTTTCCTCCCTTCCGGCCTGAATCAGAATACTAAAATTACAGTCTAAACAGCATATTACTTTTTCCTACCTTCTCGCTAAAAATCTCATGAAATTTTGCAAGTCTCAAATACAGTAAAGATATACTCTTTGTTCAGTTTGTTGTAACACTATCAACTAACTCCAAAATTTTCTCAGGTGTAACGGAACAGTCGGAGGAACAAAAGCGGGCCTCCCATCTGCTCAGCAAGTTTGGAATCGAAATGCCCAACTCTGGACCTTCAAACGCTGATGACGGTAAAACGGAGCCCATGTTAGGAGTGATCACCGGGGATATAAAGCAGTACCCGGGTTTCCAGACTGTTTTGGGAGTTCAGTGCATATCCCACGCTAACGAAACACCCGGACAAATCACTTGTGTCGAATTGTCCTCAGCTTGGGGGTTAGTCGCGTTTGGGAGTTCCCTGGGAGTAGTCATTGTGGATTACATACAGAAATGTTTGTTGTGGTCGGCCAGTAATTCTGATCTTCTCAACATTTGCTACCCGAACATGAAAATCCCGCTGAGTTACAAGGCGTCGAACAGCAAAAGCAAAAAGTTCAAAGTCACAAAGCTTGGGTCATTCAACAACGCTGAGGAGGAGAACTTACGATCGAGGAAGGGGACCCAGCGCGGAAAAATGTTGAGTATCATACGACGGGACAAGGCGGCAGAGTCCCCAACCAGTCTCAACTCTCACAAGAAAGCCAGGAAACAAGGCAGTGGTGGCAGCATTGACAGTCCCAACTCCCCCAGCTCCATCGCAAGTGACACTGACGTGGCAGGAGGGCCAGAGAACTACATCGAGAGTTTCCTGGTCCAGAGAGTGTGTTTTGTGGAGAGCTTCACGGACAAGGACATCGCAGGGAACCTCACCGCACCCCGCCGTAATCCAACCCTCTGGATTGGTAGTTACAGCGGGGCACTGCTCTCCCAAACCATCAATATACCCCCCGGAGAACACAGAACTAAAATACCATGCCAGGTAGGATCAGGAGGAAGTCCTGCTTTCCTCAAGAGCCCCATCATTAATATCAGCGCTCTTGATAACGAGGGGAACCCTGTGTCTCCTCCGGCCGCCATATGGCACGACGAAACAAGGAAGAAAAAGGGGAAGGTGAAAAGAAAGGAGAGAGATGTTCTGATGAACGAAAGTGATCTCCAGAGCAACGACTACCTCGTAGTGGCAGCGGAGAAGAGCATCCTCATATTGAAGCTACCTTCTCAGAACAGCTACGCTCGACAGAAAGTATTCGACAACACTTACTACCTGAAAAGTCAGGTATTGACCCTGGAAGGGTGGGGGATATGCATGGCGTGTGTTTCTATCATGGGATATCTCTCCTTCTACACCCTCCCCCAGCTCAAACCTCTGGTCAACGTACCCTGGTTCGACGCTAAGGACTCTAGGAGTCTCCGAACCTTTACATCCTCCTCAAATGGGCACTCCATGTACATGTGTTCACCCACAGAGCTACAAGCCATGTCTCTGATTAACAGGAACCATCTCATGCTCCCGGAGTCTCTGTCCATGGTATTCACTATGAGGGAACCTCCGGAACCACCCCGCAAAGGGTTCCTCAACATGATCCTGAAGAGGAACTCCGTGGACAGGTCTGAGTTGTTCGGAACGAACAGCGGGCCCATCTCACCAGGCCTGACGGAGAAGATATTGAGAAGATACGAGCCACTGCAACAGTGCGGAAGTGAGATTAACAAGGTCAAGGAGGCCCTGAACGAGAGGAGTGAAAAGATCAACGAGATATCCCAGAAAACAGAACAAATGAAGATGGAAGCTGAAAACTTCGCTTCTGCCTCCCACCTGCTTCATCAGAGGGTCAAGGAACAAAACAAGTGGTTTTAGACGGACAATTCTTTGACATTGACCGTTCAGCTCGCATTTATTTCGTGCCATGATTGGTGAGAAGTTTTTGTTCTTTCCAGCAACATCATACATGCTAAAACGAATTCGTTAAAAATGGTCATCGCCTGGTTAAATTCAGAGTTTTCTAATTTCACTCAATCACACTAATAATTTAATATATATTATATAACTTTCACTCTTAATAATAATTATGATGTTAATTTGTTAATACTCTAGGATTGAATAATAACCCAATTTTAACTTTTGCACATAGTTATCACAATTCACATATCATTAATTAAGTTTAATCTATGTATTTATTTTGAATGTTTGCTTATTGTTAATTAATATTACGTTGATTGTATGAATTGAATTTGTCGGTAGAAGGTGCATGTTCACCTTTCATTGTTATAATTGATCATTTAAAACATGATCATACTTAATTCGAGTTGTATTTTCATGATTGATAATTTATTACTTTGTTTAGATATAGGTACATAATATGTCGAGTATCGTCGATGTCAATATCTTTCGCGCACGATATCTTGCTCCGTCCTCTACATTTTAAATATGTGAATTTAATTTATTTTATCAGTCAATGTTACAAGCATTCAGCAGCTGAAATAAACAATTTGTGTTTCATGGATATTGGATATCTCACTAAGTTTCAAAGTTGTGATAAGATGAATCAAGGGATTAGGGGCTGTATAATATATTTTTGAAGTATTCAGACAAGAATGTAAGGACTAGGTCATCCATAGGTTACCCACCTTTAGATACCTTCCTCCACTATTGCACCAAAATTCAAAAACCAAGATCGTTTGCCGTGTCCATAAGCCATGTTTTAGTTTTTTTAATTGACCTACAACCAGAATGAAACTTCTATTCATAGTCGAGGATCTATCGTTACTGAATTAGTATATTCTGGGCGCCTCGCTTGAAACAATATCCGCTTCCTCAATCCTCATCCACGATATTCATAGAACTTATATTGAAACAAACCTCATCCTTTACTAGACACAAGCAATCTATGGATGGCCCTTTAACCCATTATAGTTTAGTTAACTTATTCGGAGATTAATCTATTTATCAAAAGGCTGTCAGAGTCCAGCCTGTAAAATCGTTTTTGATAATTATTTAATCATTAACCACATCACATTGTTAACCAGACTCATGCTGCTTAATTAAAAGCGTCCTCACTAATATTGTGATTTCAATGTTGAAGCTAATATATTTATTATTTCATTTTAATTATTTATTATTGATTAGATGGTGAGATATATAATCATTATCAAGATGAATTATTTACCGGTTGTTTGTTTTGACACGTGACAATAATATGTTCGAACATTATACTGTATTCTCTAATATCATGTTGTTATCGGTTTACTTTGTTTGTTCCGTCATCACAGACTTTTTAATTGAGCTAGTAAATAATTTTACCGATCGAGATAGAAACAACAAAAATTGAAATTCCAATCTTAGTTTTTTATCAGCTTGATAAGTGATAAGTAAATTAAAATCAATGATATATTAGCAGTAAAATCCCCACATTCACTAAGCATTGGAGGTCTGTTACTGGAAGGAGGTGGACCGTATGTTTTCTGACACGTTACAAAGTGTACCAAACTTCCAGCATGGACCGATCAAAACTTCATGTCACGTGCCTATGAAAATAATGTTCACCTCATCAGCATCCAGATCTGACAGTTAATTGATAAAAGTTAATTGTTGAGAAGCATCGGCAAGGTATGATTATACTTATAACTATAAGTTAGCAATGCAATGCAACTGAATAATAATAGAATGGTAATTTGTGTAAAGCGTTTTACGAGTCCTTATATAACCCAACTATTATGAGTTGAATACTCGCCCTTCTTTCTCATCCCTTCTGTCAAGTATATCCGCCGCTCTTTTTTCAAACCGGTGTATCCAGTTCCTGTACGTTTAATTCCTGTACGTTTTTCCTGACACTTCCCACTTGTTCGTCATCATCTGTAAATTAGAATTTGAAAGGGAATCTCTTTTCTTGGCTCTGTAACAATAGTTTGTACGTACAAAGTACAAAGCTTTTGAAAGACGTATTCCACTTTTTATGGGGGTCTTATGGTCTAGTAAATACTGACATGTCTAGTAAATACTGACATGTGTATTTGATATATACCTGTAGATAATGAGGCGGCGGTCCTGGAGGTCAGCAGAGATATTGGTGCCACAGGAAATAGCTTCGATACAAGGAATCTTCGGAAGCTACTCATTGTCAGAGTGCAGATATAAACATTTGACATCCTATTTAACATTCCCACGAAAAAGGCTATTCTATAAAATTCATGGTGAAACAGGCCCGCAGGATCTTTATTGACATAACGTTTACTTATGTTATAGGCAAACATAGGTAATTTAGAGCCGCAGTAGATAACAGCAATTAGAGCAACTGTTAGAGCTTCTTCCCAGGAGACGCTTCCTCGGGAAAGTAACTGTCTTCTAGCTCCAGGACGTCGTGCCACAGAGCCTTGTGCCCAAGTAGGGTTAGGGTCAAGGTCAGGGTTTAGGTTAAGATAATAACTGTCACTGTGGAGTAGAGCCTTCCGGGGCAAGACGACGTGAACCCCTCGGGCACGTTCTCTTGATCTTTTAGCTGCAACTATGTCTTTCAAGATAGAAATTGTTGTAGCAACAATGATGATGTTCGGAACAATAACATTAATGGTTGAGATACTGGGCAGTATCCTTTTGTATATACTTGAGTTAAACCCATAGTTACAAGAATATGTTCGATAACCAAAGGCAGCATCATCCTTATCCACAGCTAGCATTATAAATGTCGTGATAGCAGGTGGAATCAATACAACATAGCATGCTTGGTGAGACATCTTCTTAGTCCAATTTGAAGATGGCTTAGGATACTTGAGAAGTAGCCATTCACAGGTGGTCAACACCGCGATTAGAGACATCCCTGACAAGTTAGACAGATAGCCCAGGTAAGACGTAATACAGCAAATGGTGTCCCCAAGGAACCAAGAGTCTGCAATCAATGAGGCAGTTGTGGGAATACCACAAAAAGTAGTATGAGCCAAATCAATGACAGTAATGTGTTGTATAATTGCCACTATTAATTTGTTCAATTTAAAAGCGTCCTTCTGGAAAGATGCACAGAGGATGAGACTATCTCCGATGATGATTGATATCAGTAGGAAGACATGGTATCCAACCCACGAGTATCTCTCAGCACTGTTATTAATCCCAAGAGTTGAAGTGTTGGTGAAGTTTACCATTCACGGTAATTCGGCTTGCTCTTTTGGCGAAAAAGCTTCCTTCTGATCCTAAAATTAAATCAAGATAGTTGGTTGCAAACAATCATCTTTTAAAATCATTTTAAAGAACTGCTGAATACAGGTAACAACTATTACATAATATGACACTACAATTTAAGAATATCGTGCATCTTTGATATATTCTATATATTCCAAAGAGCTTCGCATTAATGCAAACATTGAACAATGCCATGCTATATGGGAATTTAAGAACCAAACTTAATTATTAATGTAAAACTGAACTCATTAAACCTGCTTAAACTAAACACAATCAAAAATTGCTACAGATCCGGACTTAATAAATATTATGGCCCCTAATAGATAAAACGTTATATAGGATATAAATGGAAAATAAAAACATCGCCATAGGATAATAGGTTAATTAATCATTAACTTCAGCAGAATTAGCCCTACCCCAATCTCATAAAGCATTGTAAAATGACATAATAATTACGAAATTAACTGCTGTAATATCATAATGAAGTATCAACAATATAAAACGTTTTTGTAATTACTAGGAAGGTACTGCGAAAACGATTTGATTATTGTGCCCTATAAGTATTATAATGCGTTGTAATGTTTTTATGAAGCTACAGCTAGCTCAAGCTGCTATAACTATAAGTATAACATATGAACACTTTTTTATAGTGCTAGCATTTCTGCCAAATAATGCTGTAAAATAACAGAAATATAAAGTATGATCAATTCGTCAAAGTGGCAATTGTAATATTTAGTATTTTAATATCATAGTTGAATTTAAGCCAAATTCAAAGCACTACTAGTACTATGGAATAAAGTTTGAAGTTTAAATAAACGGGATTCCCTTTTATCAGTTTTTCTTCAAGATTAGTGTAATTTGTAGTGATCGGAGAGCTAAACTTGATATTCAGCTAGATAACATGAACAATCACAGCGAGTGTTTCGATCCCGTGGTTCAGTTTTGTGCTGAGTGAGTGACTCACTCAGCACAAACTGAACCACGGGATCGAAATTCGCTTAAGGGGTCGTTCACATATTACGTAATCAGCCGAGGGGGGGTTTCAAATGATTACGCTAGTGTAATTTTGACACAATAATAGTAATATGTGAACGACCCCTAACAGCTCATTCTGAGCGAGTAATGGAGTATGAGGCTATCAGCAGTGCCGCAGTGCAGCATTTTCCCGAGCAAGTCACAGATACTCATACACAACAGATGGACAGAGCCCATCACATGGCTTATAGTGTTACCAGGAGACACGGGCCTTCTTAGTTCTTCTGTGTATAAAGAAGCCATGAGGCCGTTATAGTGAGGATAGCAATTCCACCGAGTTTAAATGACAAGGCGAGACTTTTAAAAAGGGACTAGACTAAACAGAGAAACCTGGAGGAAAGCTGTTGCTCTAGGATCGCGACTTTGCAGAACGGTTCATAATTATACTTACTGGGTCGCGCTCAGCCTGTCATTCCGCCTAATATAATCATATTCATGTTAATGAACATGATAGCCTGAGGTCCCCAGGTAAAATTATACAACACACCGCTGCATACTAACTTGGTTAAACACTGCTTTTAAGAAGTAAAAGTATGGACTATTAGATTTAGATAAAACACAGGGACAATTGACTGTAGTTTGATACATTTATTATGTGAATAGTATCTCCAAACCTGCGATCCCCATTTAATAGGCTCTCACGTGATGTGTACACGATCCCGTAGAAAATCTACTAGACTGACATCTCACTTAATAAAATGACGGAGATTCCATCTTTATGGATAATTTAAGAAGCAGTCAACCCCCTCCTTCATCCATGATCGCAATTACAGTCCGTTGTAGAGTGCATGACATAAAAGTGTCCCTTTGTTTCATTCAGTCTATATCGTGATAAGATTGTCTATCATGGCGATCTCTATCTATTGTCGATCGATGAAAGAATCAAATAAGCGCGCGCTAGCTAGCTAAGCTATGCGCGTCTTGTTTGACAGTAATAACAATTTGTGCTTTTTACATTAGTTCCGGCTAAAGTAGACCCTATCGGCCCACGGGTGACGGAAATTTGCCACCCTGTTTCCGTTATTTTGTAGAGATGTGCGCTTGACTGAACTGTGAAGTCAGAATTCTCATGACCGAACAAAGTTTTCCTGGCATGTTACCAGTTTCTACGGACGGTGACATGATCTGGTGGTCAAAGTTTCCATTCTTATCAATAAGCAGCCATTGGATATTATGTTATTCTCTCAAATTTACGAATAACAATCAGAGAGGAGTAAAAATACTAGAGACCAGACTTTTGGCAGTGGCATCGCATTATAGCTAGGTTATTGAAGTCACATTTAAGACTGACCATTCCGGGTGAATAGACGTTAGGATTATAACGTGCTAGTTTCATTAAAAGTCGTGGACATACGCCAGAATAAAATTATATTACTGCGAAGTAAGAATCTTTGGCAAGGGGCACATTTTCCAAATACTCTGTACGTAGGTTAGTTAACTTTTGGTAACATTTTCCTAATATTTAGTCCTGGCTAATACCCAAAGTGAATGAAAGCAGTGGCCCCAGAAGCTCTCCAAACTATCTTACGATTACGAAGCTGTCGAAACTACCATAGCAGATTACACTAATCTTTGCATTATTTTTATTAGATATTGAATAGATTTAAGCTGGAATGTTTGATTTCAATAGCACCGATAACCGTTTGTTTGTTACCAGAATTTTGGAAAAGCTTCGCTGTATTAGAATTGTATAGCAGTCTGGTTCTTTATTGCTAACAGAAGACAAAATGAAACAGTCCAATACAATTTTGTTAGAAGAGTTAAACTTTTACAAATAGAAATTCAGGAACCGTTGAAGGTCAGTTTAAAATAAAACACAAAAATAACTATCTTTAAAAGTTTAGTCCTTGTCGACACAGAGGATTAATCAACTTCCTCGATGGTAGGTCCAGCACCGCCTCCGGAGCTGGGAGGGGGAGCTCCAGGTCCACCAGGTCCACCGGGCATACCGCCGGGCATTCCACCGGGCATACCGCCGGGCATACCTCCTGGGGCACCTCCAGCAGACTGGTAGAGCTTGGTGATGATGGGGTTGCAGATTCCCTCCAATTCCTTCTGCTTGTGTTCGTACTCGTCCTTTTCAGCGGTCTGGTTGCTGTCCAGCCAGCTCAGAGTCTCCGTGACTTTGTCAACGATCGACTTCTTGTCATCCTCACTGATCTTGTCCTTCATCTTGTCATCTTCCATGGTGGATTTCATCTGGAAGCAGTAGGCTTCAAGTCCGTTCTTGGCGGTGATTCTGTCCCTGTGGGCATCATCCTCAGACTTGTATTTCTCAGCTTCATTAACCATCCTCTCGATATCTTCCTTGGAGAGACGTCCCTTATCGTTGGTGATGGTGATGTTCTCAGCCTTTCCGGTACTAGTATCAACAGCTGATACGTTCAAGATACCGTTGGCGTCCACATCAAAGGTAACCTCGATCTGGGGAACTCCCCTGGGAGCAGGTGGGATTCCGGACAGCTCGAACTTTCCGAGGATGTTGTTATCCTTGGTCATGGCTCGCTCACCCTCGTAAACCTGGATCAGGACACCTGGCTGGTTGTCAGCGTAGGTGGTGAACTTCTGGCTCTGCTTGGTGGGGATGGTGGCGTTCCTCTTGATAAGGGAGGTCATGACACCGCCAGCGGTCTCAATTCCCAAGGAGAGAGGAGCGACATCCAGAAGAAGCAGATCTTGTACTTCCTCAGATTTGTCACCAGAGAGGATAGCAGCTTGCACAGCAGCTCCGTAGGCAACAGCCTCATCAGGGTTGATAGATTTGTTCAGAGTCTGAAAGCAGTATTATGTCAAGAACTGGATAAGTAAAAAACCAAAATTTAAGATATCAGACAAAAAATCAGACAAAAAATCAGACAAACCTACTTTAATAATTATATGGATATTGATAGAGGTCGATGAGTTTAACCAGATATATTTAGGGTAAATAAGGCATAGAAAAAGTAAACTGACCTTATCCTTGAAGAATCCCTCGAGGAGTTTCTGGATCTTGGGGATACGAGTGGAACCTCCAACCAGTACCACCTCATCAATCTTGTTCTTCTCCAGCTTGGAATCACGGATGGCTTTCTCGACACACTCAAGAGTTTGTCGGAAAAGATCTCCGTTCAGTTCCTCGAATCTGGGTCGGGTCAGGGTTGTGTAGAAGTCAATACCTTCGTAGAGGGCATCAATTTCAATAGAGGCCTGGGCAGATGATGAAAGGGTTCGCTTTGCTCGCTCACAAGCGGTCCTCAGTCTCCTCAGAGATCTCTTGTTTTCTCTCAGATCTTTCTTGTGCTTCCTCTTGAACTCCTCACAGAAGTGACCGACCATCCTGTTGTCGAAATCTTCTCCTCCCAAGTGAGTGTTTCCAGCAGTAGATTTGACCTGAAATGTAATTCATAAGTATAATTTATAAGTATTACTAGCGCATGTTGTGTGGATATTTTCACAACAGTATAACATTTAGCCATGATCACGATTTGATAGTCTTCAGCTGATCTAAAACCTCAGTGTTTTTAAGTTTTGGCAGCAATCGACTGATTTGATTCTATATGTCATGATGGGCTAACTCATGATGGGCTAACTCTAGCTGATAGTAAATAATGGCAATTGTGTGCAGTTTACACTATTTGGCAGCGTCAAAATAACAGTGCGGGGGCGTATAGTATTCTAATAGAAAATTTACCAAAGAAAATGGGTAATAAATAAAATCTAAACATACCTCGAAAATACCATCTTCAATAGACAAGATAGACACATCGAAGGTACCACCACCAAGATCGAAGATGCATACGTTCTTCTCTCCTTGTGTGTTTCCTTTTTTGTCCAGACCGTAAGCGATGGCGGCGGCGGTGGGTTCGTTGATGATTCTGAGAACGTTCAGTCCAGCGATAACTCCAGCATCTTTGGTGGCTTGACGCTGAGAGTCGTTGAAGTAGGCGGGTACTGTGACGACGGCATCGGAAACTGTCTTGCCAAGATAGGCTTCAGCGGTCTCCTTCATCTTTCCGAGGATCATAGAAGAGATTTCTTCAGCAAAGAACATCTTGTTCTGTCCTTTGTGCTCGACCTGGTGGGAGTTGAGTTAAACTGACTGTCACATTGGCCCCACATCTAAAACAAGCCCTAAATGTATCCATCACGACAAATAAAAGTAGTAATGTTGATTGAAGCTTAACATTTTAATGGTTCCGAACAGATGCAATAAAAAGACTAACCTGGATTTTAGGTCGACCTCCCTCATCAATGATTTCGAAGGGCCAATGTTTCTTGTCGTCCTGGACAACGTCATCTGTGTACTTTCGGCCAATAAGACGCTTGGCATCAAAAACTGTGTTGCAAGGGTTCATTGCGACCTGAAAAGAAAAATCGTTTAAAAATCAGTCTCTTAACTAATCTTAGGATAAGCTAATGATAAACAGAGACTATAACATTTGGTCTATGATAACTGAATTAAGAGGGAGCAATGAGAAACAAATAAATCTCTTATAATTACCTGGTTCTTGGCAGGGTCACCAATGAGTCGCTCTGTGTCGTTAAATGCCACATAACTGGGCGTCGTTCTGTTACCTTGATCGTTAGCGATAATCTCTACTTTACCGTGTTGGAAAACTCCAACGCATGAGTAAGTGGTTCCAAGATCGATTCCGACAGCTTGGTGGTGAGACATGATTTATCTGAAATAAAATGGAGGTGAGGAACAAGTTCTCATTTGAGCTGTGAAATGTCAAAGAAATTGAGGAAGCTTAAGGTGATTGGAATTGTGACACTGGCTGGAAGAATACAGACGATATAGGCCAGTCTGAAGTTCGCAGCAGTGCTTAAAGTTTTGATTATAGTGCAGTGTGGACTCTACTACTAGTTTAAACGATCACGCAGAAATTCGGATCTGCACCGAAATTTGGTCTTAGCTACCCTAATTTTAAGATAAAATCTGATAAATGGGGAATTGTAATATGGTTGTAAAATGCGTTAGGGTGCTTCGCTATCCTATCCATTCCATTGAAGTATCTCAAAAATTGGAGCTGAGACCAGGTCACAGAACTAGATTATCACAAAGAGCATGCAAGATAGATGAAATTAGAACACGTACCTGATAGTTGGGTATTGGGTACAAAACAAAGTAAACAGTAATAAATTAATGTGCAGAACGACAGCCCGAGTGACTTTATTTATATGAAAAGTTAAGATCTGGAGATCTGTCTAGAAATTGCGCGTATCTTCAGTGTGTGCTTGAGAAAGTTCGAGAAATATAGCGCCTCTTCCTCCCTGTGAATTTTCTTGATGTTACAGGGTTACTTGTGCAAGAGGCGATGGCTTTTGCGCAAGCGTTTCTACGTCTTGAAGATTACCATCCGAACCATGCTTCAGTCTGCGCGGCTTTACATTTCTTGCTGACTTGGTTTAATTTTCATCATCTCAATTTGCTCCAGTTTAACATAATTTACTTACAATATAAACTTTTTTAACACAACTTAATTGTTACATAATTTGTGAATACTAAATCGAATAAATATTTTATATACGGTCAAAACAAAATTGGAAATTTATTGTACACCCCGCGCCGCGCTCATTGTAAATAGTTGATACATAAAAAATATATAATATCAAATATGTATATCTTATATTACTGGGCCGCGCTCAGCCTGTCATTCCGCCTAATCTCTATTATGAACATGATAGCCTGAGCACTGAGGTCCCAGGTAAATGTATATCATGAGTTTAAATACATAACTTTATAGGATTCTTTCTTTTATAAAGGCCACAATGTAATGAAAACTTTATCGATCATACTTGCTCTATCCAAAGCCCTTGCGCTTGCAGTAGCGCCCGAAGTGGCGCGAAAGCACATGGTTATGGGTTAGGTGAACGATCATACTATCACTATATTAGGCTCCAAGCTCGCTCCCACTAAATCGCTCGCCCAAATTTAAATTTTTTTTGTAAAAAGGCACTACTTAAGGTATAAATGAAATGTAATTTTTTTCAGTGTATTTTAGGAAGCTCTCACTAATTCGCTCGCCCAAAAATCATCACGTAACTTTGGCTTTTATGGTTTTACAGCCGAACAAAACGGTTTTACATAAATCCTTATCCCATGCAGCTATTCATGACCGGACCCTGAAGAACAATCGAATTCGTGTTTAACTTTATCTGGGGACCTCAGGCTATCATGTTTATAAATAAAGGAATTAGGCGGAATGACAGGCTGAGCGCGGCCCAGTAATTTTAACTAGCCTGTCACGTGACCAAAATAGTAATTAGCCCATAGGCATAACTCTTCAGGAAAGCATTTTTACTTTATGTCATGAAGGATGATGTTGGATGTATGACCCGCTACGCACGAGTGCGCGGCTCCCCCTGTATCGTAGAAACTCTACAGTGAAACGACAGTGGGGGTTACGACATGATACAAGGATGATTCGGAATCAGCGTCCAAAAATACACCGACTTGCGAGAGCGATTATGTGGGAGCGGACTAGACTCATATCATGTATTAACAATTAAGACTAGTAATATAATAAATCACTATGATTCGTATCACCCACGCCGCGCAAAGGAACAAAAGTTGTTATCAGTTATGGATTAAAGAATCGAGCGCTCTTCTTGAAATTCCACCACTGCCTGCGTGCTTTAACTTATTTCTCCCATCTGATCACCCGATACGCTGTAGAGACTGCAATCGCTAGTATGTCTCGTCCAGAGCACACTGGTCCACCAGAATTATTTTACAATGAGTCGGAAGCAACAAAGTATACGAATAACACCAGGATCATCGAAATTCAAATGACGATGAGCGCACGTGCCATTGAATTGCTTAACTTGCCAGAGGATCAACCCTCGTTTATACTTGATGTTGGGTATGTGTTACTTATTTCTTATTTTTGTTGCCAATTTCTTTTGTCTGGGATTTGTGATCTGTTTTTTATTCATGTTTTTTCCTTCCGATTGTTCACAATTCACATTGTTGCCTTTTAGACATGCTATTTAGTCAGAACAAGTCAAACTTACTCTACCTTTCTTTACGATATTGATTGGCTACCTGGTGATGGGCTACCTGGTGATAGCGATCAGTTGTCCTTGTAGTCAATGCAACATGTTGAGTAGCAATGTTAGGTGCCCTAGTGGTTAGAGCATCCGCCTTCTGTGCAGAAGGTTCAGGGTTCGAATCCCAGTGTCACCTAGTCTAGAAGGTAGCTAAGGATCCATTGGATCTATGCGATCTCCTCGGTCTACTCAGCCGAATGATAGGAAACTTAATTGAGGGTTAAATGGGGAGGGGTACCTGTTAAAAGTTTAAGACACTTCTTAGGATACCCCTTCAGTGCATACTGTAAACATAGTACTATTAACTATTACTATTAGTTTTGTAACATCTTCAGTCTTCACATGCTTACACTAATAATTGCAGTTGTGGATCAGGGCTCAGCGGGGAAGGTATAACAGAAGCTGGACACTATTGGGTTGGGATGGACATCAGTCCCAGTATGCTCGGTTAGTTCCCAGGCACGGTAGTTTTTCTGTGATGTTTACTAAAGAGTTATCTAGTTATGCGACTGTAACTCACTGTAAGGATCAAGATTCATCGCTAATTATTCATCATTAAGGGATTATCTCATCTATCACACACTTTCTTTAGAAATTGCTGTTGAACGAGAAACTGATGGTGATGTTGTATTAGCAGATATCGGGGAGGGAGTTCCGTTTAGGGCTGGTGCTTTTGATGGAGTTATCAGGTATTGCCCTTTATTCTTGAACCTGTATTGTGGTTATTTTAAGGCAATCCCTAATCGCTCATTATCCCATTTTCATATTGCAAATTTCCAATTTGGATGTTTGTTTGAGCGGGCACACATTATTTCAGTATATCAGTGTTGCAGTGGCTGTGTAACGCAGACAAAGTTTCGCACAACCCTTTTAAAAGATTAAAACGGTTCTTCACAATGTTATATTCATCAATGGTAAGTTGTTTTTAACAGTCCAATGATAAAGTGTATATTCTTCCTTAGATATATTATAAGCTTAGTTACTCAAAATGTGTCTTCTCGATGTTAGCTGTAGATCATTATCTTTTATTTGCATAGTAAACACTGGAAATTAAAGCAGAGTGGAACTTTATGTAAATAATTGGTTTCTTGACTTATGACTAATAAAGATGTGATCTATTGAATAATTAAAGTACAATACATTTCATATGTTTCAGTAATCACGTATTATTTTCCAGAGGAGTGGTGGAAGAGCAGTGTTTCAAGTTTACCCCGAGTCACCCAAACAGATGGAGCTCATCACAGGTAATAATTATCAAAGTTGTCAGTATGATTTATTCTGTTGTTCAGGAGTATCTTTATTTAACGCTTTTCTTGTTGTCCTGTTTCTCACAAATTGGGAGTTGTTGTGTTTGATCTCCAAGATAATACCAAATATTAGAACCATAAATTTGATTGAAACTGCATGAAGTAGCAGATATTTGTAAATACTGTCAACATTAATCAAGCAACTATCGATTAGCTTATATCACATATTATTATAATATAATAGTACTATCAGAGTAATACTACTCCTTATCCTCAGAACAAGCCACAAGATGTGGGTTTACAGGAGGGGTGGTGGTCGATTTCCCAAACAGTACCAAAGCTAAGAAGATATTCCTCTGTCTGTTTGCTGGTACTCCTGTAGCAAACTACAAGTTACCACAGGGACTAGGAGCTGAGGGTTCTAATACCATACAGTATGGCAACGACAGGTTAGCTGGAATACAGTGTTTTGGTATAATTTATAATCACAATAAGAGCAAGGTTTTGGTGGAGTTCTCACCATTCCAAAGCAACATTATCTCTAGGTTTATAATAGGTACGGAGCTACATGAACTGAAGAATAATGTTACGGTTACCTCACGAGCAAGAGTGTGGTATCGTGCCAAAGGCACGAGCGCTGTAATTACATATACCACATTTTCATGAGTTATTGTACTCTCACCAGACCGGGAAACATAATAAAAATCTTTGGTGCACTTAATTACATCAACAATTTTCAATGCTTTATATTTATTTCCTTCGTTACCCTTTGGATTTTGTTACTGGCAGAACCAACCCGCTAGATTTATTGAACCTAACAGAGCTTCAAACTGTATTTTGTAATGTTTATTAAAGTATTGATCTTTTGATGGCATGTCGAATCGCGCGATTTTGAGTTGTCCCGTTGTTCTTGGTACAGTTCAAACATTTTTGCTAACTTCGCTTTATTCGTCAGATTTACGGGAAAAAAACGTAAAAGAAATGGTGATGTCACCAGAAAGGAGTGGATTCAAAATAAGAAGCAAAAAATGCGAGCCAAGGGCAAGGATGTCACAGCAGATTCTAAGTACACTGCTCGAAAGAGGAAACCCAAGTTTTAACTTGTATTGATAGATTTAAAGATGTAATTTAAGTTAAGTTTTTATTTAATTTATTATGCAATTTTGATAGTTCCATGACGACCTAATACCCGGGCAAAAATAAAGAAACTGGTTGAGCTACGATAACTGGAACGTCATCATTGGATTTGCTTATAAATCTGATGTTTTATATTTGGTCTTACATGTATCCCAACTCAGTTGTTTGTCTTTTTAAATGGCAGCTTCTACCGACAAGTGCTGTTATAAAGTTTAATTTATTTAAACTTTATTTTAAAAGTTAAATAGGCAATTTCATAAATACCTAATTTTACGATAACATTTCCATCATCAGTGCTCTAATATTAGCGATCAAAGCGGGCATTACCGTGCGAATAAGACTCCGGAAAGTTTTACCAAACTTTCAGTTTGCCGAAACCTAATATTACTTGCTAACTGTTAACAATTCATTAGGATGAGCAATGTCCGATATCTAGTTCTACTGATAAGGTTCCTAGTGTTATCTGCGGTAAAGGGAGCGTGTCCAATCATCACCGGACAGCCGGAGGGTTACGATATATCTCCTTTAAACTTGTGAGTCAGTTGTGTAGTCCGGAAATGTTATTAGCTTAGGTTTTTCGTTCTTGGCGAAACAAATATTTTTCCAAATAGTTTTAACTTTTTCAAAAATTATTTCCATGATCTCCAAGTAATTTAAAATTGCTCATTATATATTTTTGTATTCTTTCAGAGATTTCTTAACAGTATACAATACATCGGCTTTACACATCAACTTGTGCGGCAACGCTGCATCCTGTCAAGGTATGTTTCTTACTGTTGATACTTTTATTTTGGGTTTGGGTTTTAACCTATATTTCCCTGGGGCATCTCAGAAGCATCACCTTCAAATAGGATTTTTTAAATGTGGAAAATTTGGTCTTTAATCCTATCATATGCTCTTTAAATTATCTTTAAAAACTCCCAAAACTGTGTTATATTTGGTAGAATAGCTTGTAAAAGGGTGGTTATATGGATGAATAACTGTTCCTTAAATTAAAAAGGTGTTAAAGTTGGTGGGATTGGTTGCAATGATTATCTAACACTCTCCCATTACGCCAGGTAACTCTGCATGTTACACCTCTGGGGACGGTAACGTGATCCTGCTGGGTAATGTGTCCTCAGCAGAGGCCCAATCTGATCACGTGAACATCACGTTATCTGGAGTCTCCGTTACTACTCACGTCACCCTGCTTTGTGGCAACAGCTTGGTGAGACAGTTTGTTAGTCGTTTTGTTGTTTTGAGTTAACTGATCAATAGGATTTTTTGATTGAAAATTGTTTTGAGACCATGTTGATTTCAACATCTCACACTCCCGAAATCTGCCAGGGAAGACCGGAAGTACAGCTACTGAAAGATTCCCACGTTGTGCTAGTGTGGGAGACTCTAGCTGCTTGTAGAATGTTGAACCTACCAAAGCAGTCCCCTGCTATGCGTACAACGAGCAGAAACAGTTGGTTGATTTGGGTGACCTAGTTGGGATTAACTATCATATTCCTATCGTTAATAGTAAGTGCAAAATTATGTAACGACTTCGTTTATTTTTAGAAAAGTTTTGAATAGTTTCCAAAATATTAGCAGCGAGTTATGAAAACAATAACTCCCATATTATAATAAAAAGCATATTCAATTTTGATTCTAAATGTTAATGACTTGATGATAAAAATTATATCAAAAAATGTTCATCTAAACTACAATATTTTTCAAATCATTGCTGCGTTTGAAAAGTCTTAAAAATAGGCTAATTCTAACTCTTAAACTCTCAGGTACAAAGTCAATATATTTCTCTCTCTGTGGTCCGGTGACGGGAGAAAACGCCTGCGGAGGTGGTGGAGTGTGCTACAAAGACGACACAGGGAGTGCCAGTATCGGGAGTGTAACACACGGTCCCCACGTCAGCACTGAGGACGGTGGAGTTGTGGTGAGCTACGTGGCTCAGCGCCCACAGAGTCAGTCCTGTCCGGAGATCACCACCACGCTGCTTCTCATCTGCACTCCAAATCAGGTAGGGCAGGCGCTTAGTTGTGGTTTATTAACCATGTTTTATGGCAATGATCATGGTGACAATTTGACAGAGAATTCTGATACCAGAAAGTGAGGTGAGTGTGAATATTCAGTAGTCTACTCACTGTTAAAAAACTACAAATTTGAATCTTACAAACAAAATACATTATTTAAAAGAAGGTTATACTACATCCGCACAATAGATATTACAATTTTAATTGAAAAAAAAATGCTCATGCGACCAAATGGAAAATCTTTTCCGTCCTAAAACCTAAAACAATAAAATCAAGTTGAATCATGATATGAGAATAAGTACATGTTTGTCATAATAATACGAGAAAATGTGCGTGCGCTTTTTTAACAAAAAATCTAAAACATTCCTCACTATTTTGATGAAATAATCAATATAAATTATTCATTAAATCATACGTGTCATCATACGTGTCATCAATACCAACATTTATTAAATCATACGTGTCATCATACGTGTCATCATACGTGTCATCAATACCAACATTTATTAAATCATACGTGTCATCATACGTGTCATCATACGTGTCATCAATATCAACATATTGCTGATAAGAAGTTGTATCGCTCCAGTGATCAGGAGCAATTGCTCGGTGTCTACCTTTGGTAAAAGGAGGGAGGAGGCACTCATCTGCTCTCTTCTCAGACTCTCTCTTGACCCAGACCTTGCCTCTTTGCTGCAGTCGTCCTTCAAGTCTTTGGTAAATTCGTAGAAGATACACAACCCCCATTGCGCTGTACTTCAGCGCTATAGCGCTCAGTGGTCTTCTTGTTAAATTGTCATATGATCCTCCTTTATGGGGGAAGAAGAGTTTGTTGGCACGTTCGTCGATCTGGACAAATTCCGCCCTCTCTTGGTCGTCAAGACCACCATACTCTAGCGTTATTTTTTTACCGCCACAAACAAAACGAGATCTTGGTATGGCTTGCCTCCTCACGCCGACTTCTGCTAGTTGGACACAGAAAACGTTTTTGAGATGGATTCCGTAGTGATGATAGAGTGCATCGCTGTCAGAACGCGGATCACAGAATAGTTTTAATGTAGTTTGGTCCTCCAGCAGCTGCTTTACTGATGTCCACTTGTATTCACGTGTTTGGTCACGTGATTGGTCTCCAGAGATGGTCGTGAGACAGGTTGGTCCTAACTCCTGGATATAAAGTGGTACAGTTTGACAAGTTTAAACTTTGTAAGGCGCCTTTTTAAATTTTAAACTTTCTGGATGTGGGTGAGAATTATAATCTAATATAGGTACCCAACTTATCTGTGTATAAAATGCATTCATATCATGTACAGATAAGTCGGCTTTATTACTGTATATTATAATTTATAGTACATAGAAGGCGATGGAACAAAAACTCTAGGCAGATCAAGAGAATAAGGCTCAGAATTTCATACCTGCACATCTACAACATATACCACGTAATCATTCCAGCAGAGAGCTAGAAGAGACAAGGTACCGTTTCTACACAAGTCCCACCCCTCCGCATCAACCGATATCAAACTAGGTCTCTCTCGGTTGAGAGCTTGTAGCATCTCGCACAATTCTGTCTCCGATGAGACCATATTGAGATCTTTGTTTCCTAGTTTTGTTACCATGCTACTATGGAGGAATGTGGTTATTCTAACAGACTAACACACCCAGAACGTTTTTAAATTCCCAGTCGAAGGTTTCCCCTAAAAAATGTCTCATGCCCTAAGAAAAGAAAAAAATCAGGCCTGACAAAAACTTTCACTTCGGCACCAAATTGAAATTTTAGTAAACACTACACCTTAATAATTCTAGCGCGAAAATTAGAAAAAAATTCAACTCACCACCACACTTGGTGTATTTGCTCATCCCTGAAGCCAAAGTTACCTTTTTTTGCCACGATCTCCAAATATAAGCATCTAAGTGCCTATATTGCTTTGTAAGTTGTATATAAATGTGGCCTTTGCAGTTCGATTCCTAGCTCAATTTACGAAAATCCAGGGATATTTTGGACCACGTATAGTCACATTAATACAGGGTGGGCCAAAGGTCAGTGTACATACGTTGGCCTAAATGGCCTTAATAACTCAGTCACTGAGTGCCCAATTGAAATAATTCTTTCTGGTATGACTTAATACCACCACTGGTTCGAGGAATTTGTCAATTCGAAAAATATTCGAGTTCATTTTTTTCAAATGAAGGTTCATTCACGTAACACCTAGCAACTCCCTGTATTGTACCACAGAACTGATATATTAACATGTCATATCAACACAACACGGTCCTAATAAAATGGATCGGGTAGGTATGAAATGCATGTCTTCGTTCCAGTTGGACAAGCACCAAGCAGCAAGCTTTTAAGTTCTAACTCGCTATGAGACACTACTCATAACGTAAGCCAGATTTGCAACTATTACAGCACAAATATTATACCAAGCATAGCAGACGAACACATTCACATTTGTTGCACTTTATAGTCACAGCAAACTAAAAATGGTAAATTATAAATGAGTGTAAAACTAAAGGTACACAAAAACAGACAAAAAGAAACAAAAACAGACAAAAAATATTATGGAAATAACATTTACTAGATGCTTCCTCCTCCTCTTCCTCCTCCTCCTCCTCCTCCTCCTCTTCCACAGTCCTCTTCCTCCTCTTCAGTCCTCCTCCTCAGTCCTGACACGTTGCATAAAATGAAAAATGAGATAAATATAAAATGAGCACCATACGTATTATAAAATAAATGTGAACATGGTGACTACCCCCATTGTCTTATCTCAAATAACCAAGAAGAGAAACGGATACCAAGATAAAGTTAATGTTATTACTGATGGTCGTTGAGAAGCCGTCAGCTTGGAATAAAATAAAGGAAAATAAGTTTAAAAAAAGTGGAGTCTAGTCGATGGCTTGGTCATGTGAGGTCCAGTTAATAGTTTACAAATGCCAGGGAGAGTTGGACGACCTCAGTTAAACCTGTTATCATTGTAACAACGTGACTTATGAAACCGGAACTTGTTTCTTAACAATATTTTTTTATTTAAATTATCTAAGAAATATTGCTTCTGACAGCAGGGGTGCAGCCAAGGGAAGGGAGATTTAAAAATAGTACAGATAATCGATTATAATCGAATATTTAAAAACCACTCACAAGCGGTTCATAAGTGTTTAATATAAACGGTGAATTTCTGAGGACAAAAACGGACAAAAATTGTAACTTTTGAATTATATTGTCTCCACAATTTGTAACATGCTATCTGCAGAAATGGGTAGCACGGTTAATGACCATTGACCATTTTTTTTGTAAAAAGGCAATAGTGAAAGGTTACGAATGGAGGTTTTTGCAGAAAAACGTGGATTTTGGAGATTGTGGTAGGTGGGTCAAATATATGTCGTGTTCCTTACTTCTGTATGTTACCAAGCAACGAAAAAGTTGCGCGCGCAAGGATTGCTTCCAGAGATGTGATGTATAGATAGCCTGTGATCTATGAATGCACGGCGCGACTGTGTTTTAATGTATACGATGTAATGTATAATATAATATATACCTAATATACTAATATTACTATTAGGTAATACGCCCAATTTGTACGTGGCACGCGTAGTGTATTGATGTGTACACGAGTATAGTTTACCTTTGCTTACAATTTCTTGAATTACAGATACAAGTTGAGTTCTACGGCAATTGAACTGAATTTCAAGTGTTTCCCGTATTTGATGCATAATTTAACAATTTTTTATTGAAATCTTTCAAATAAATCAATCTTTCAAATCAATCAATACATACAAATTTACACAATGAATGAACAACATTAAATCTTCTCAAAAGTATAAGACTCCGATAAAATCAGATTTTCTAGGACAAAATGTATGTAATTAGAGGACCTGAGGGTCACCAAAACACAGATGTTGAGAGCAAAATGCACCTTCTGAACAAGTATGGGCCCACGGAAATCGTGAACTTCAAATAGAATTACAAATAGAATCACACAAAAATATCAAAAGCAATCAAATCATATAATAAAGTGAAATCCATGATGTGATGATATGCACTAAAATGAGAAATGAGAAATACAGACAACAGGGATTTAAGCTCTTATGAACATATTGTTAGCTTTAGGTAGACTCCTCACATCTCTGTCTCGAGGGAATAATCTAGATCATAATCAAAGTCCTCCGGCAGAATTTTATCCCACATGTAGGAGGTCAATTTGCTTTTGAACTCAGAAATAATCTCTATCTCACGTATAGCTAGAAGAATATGATTCCACTTGGAATGGGTCCTAAAGTAAAAGTTCTTAGCAAAAGCGTTAGAGCTTGCTCGTGGTAAGATTGAGCTTACAAAACATAAGGGGTCCATGTGGCTATTTCTTAACCTTGAGTGGCCTTGAAATGGTTGCAAATATGAGGGTAAGGTCAAAGGTGACAGGTATATGTTGCTTCACAATCTTAAAGAAGAAAATAAGGTCAAGAAAGTCGAAGCGGTCTTCTATGGGCATAATCTTAAGCTGTCTGCATTTTTGAATGTATGTGGATGGCGGATAACTCATATACTCCTCGTGAAGAATCCACTTAATAGCACGCTTTTGGAAGCCCTCCAGCTTGCTTATCTGGGATTTTGTGACCGGTCTCCATATAACTGAGCAATGCTCAGATTGACTTCTCATTAAAGTGACATACAGTACTCTACGACGATTTACATCTTGAACAAAGATGAAGATTGAAGTGAGCTGATTGGAGCTTATACAATTAAATTTATAGTAAATGTGGAATGGAAATCTAGCGTCCGCCAAAACGAAACAACGGGCGCAATTCTTGTTATATCTGCTGTGGCGGCGCCTTTCCGTCTTATATGTCGATTTTTAATTGTATCCATATCGGGTTTCAAACGAGTCAAAACAAAATAGCAGTTTTGTGGTTAGCGAATGCTACTTATCTTAGCTTATATAGAAATATCTACTACAAGTACAACTACAAGAAAGCCTTTCTGAGTTACATTTAACTATTAAAGAGAATTAATCGTAACTTAAAATAATTCAACGCAACCAAAGCAAAGATACCGCTCTCGCAAAAGGTAACACGACGTAGTAATTAAAACAGAACAGAACAAAATGCTGACACGAAGGGTGCGGGTCTTAAGTAACGTCACAGCCCAAAATTGCTATCAGCTAATAGGAGCGCGGTGTGGTATTGCGCGAATTATCGTCCGAAGTATTTTTTGATTCTACACACTTTGGCAGGACTTAAACGCGAATATTTGGAAGTAAATTCTAAGGACCCCTCATCCTTTAACGAGATACAGAAAATTCTTAATAATTTCGTCATTTCAAATACCTATGTTTTGCCTCATGTTTTCAGATCATATGCAACATTTAATAATCTACCGTCTCTAAAAAAGTAGGCGTTCAGCATGTTCAGAGAAAACAATATAGGTGTTTTAATATTGAATGGGCGTGGTCTAAAATATTCGAATTTTCAAATTTTGACGACGGAATCCTCGAACCAGTAAGTACAGTTTGCCATCTGCAAAACAACAGCTCTCAAATATAAAACAAGGCGGAGCTATAATTAAGGCCAACGTATGTACACTGACTTTTGGCCCACCCTGTACTTACATCAACTTCTTATCAACCACATCATTTCAGCAAACACCTCCTATCCTTATCTACTTGGACCAGAAATGCTCGTATAACCTTGTGTGGAGAACCGACCACGCCTGTCCCATTAAACCTATTCATGACGTGGGGTGTAAGCTACAAGCTAGAGGAACTAGCTACGATCTTACTCCTCTCACTGGACAAGGTTTGTTAGTTAATTACTGGTTAATTAGATAACATAATTAGTGTTATATCTTGTTTTAACGCTCTGGGTGTGTTAAGAAACAAGATTTAAACAACAATTCAATTTAAGGAAATCCTACCTTCTGCTTAGTTGCAAGATCTCAAACAAAATCTACAGCAATACCTCTCGTTATGATCAGTTTTATTCCACCCTAACTCTAAAATACCATACATTCCTCTCCAGAATACCAGACAGAGGTACAGAATCACAGATACTCGCTCAGAGTATGCGGCAACATTGGTACTGGTTGTAGTGGTAATGCTGCCTCGGGCTGTGTGGTGGACACTAAAAACTATAATGCCTGGTCCATGGGTACGTCAACTGTGTTTTACTTTGTTTTACTGTTCAGATGTTGTCAATACATAGTTTGGCATGTTTTTCAATGCAAGATGACAACGATGCGTCGGAACCAAATTGATGATTGCTCATAATTGATCTATAATTACTTAATCACTTCATTAAACCTGGTCCTACAGTTTTGTAAATATTTTGTATTCAGGTTCTTACCACGAGGGTAATTTAGTGTGGGATGATACAGGGTTAACAATGATTTATAACGGCGGCAGTCAGTGCTCTAAGGGCCAAGTCAGATCCACCAAGGTTTGCTAAATTTTTCACATTCTTTTCAATGCTGTTAAATCGATGATTCGTTTTTCGGTTAGAATATTTTGAGATTATTCCGATCTAAAATGGAAACATTTTTATGTTTAAAGTCCGGAGACTTGCTGTCATAAATAATTTCTTTCACAGATTCTATTTGTGTGCGATAAAAATGCAGGAATTGGCGCTCCGGAGATGACAGAAACATATTACTGTTTCTATTCCTTCGTCTGGCGCACAAAACACGCATGTCCTACGACAGAGGTAAGCCTGTCAAACTACTTTATCTTTGTGATAACACCTCATGATATTTCTACACGTTACATTATTGAGTCCATCAACCCATTATAATGATAATTGCTTCTGTAACTTTTACGTACGATAAATGTTTTCTGCGTGAGAAGTCATGACTTGTACGTAAAGAGAATAATAGGGTCAAGAGAGCAAGTAGTAGTCTCTCCTGCTCGAGCTCTCTCGCTCGGGCCTATTATTCTCTCCAGCTACTTGTACTCTGCATCAGCACAGAAATTGTACTTTACTGAAATCCGATCTTTACGTGAGTATTTGCGTGGGAGGCCGGAGGGTGGACAATCATACCTCTACATTCCACCACCTTCTGCCAAGCACGTTACACATTAATACAACCACTACATCTCAAGGGTAACAGTACGTTACACATTAATACAACCACTACATCTCAAGGGTAACAGTACGTTACACATTAATACAACCACTACATCTCAAGGGTAACAGTACGTTACACATTAACACAACCACTACATCTCAAGGGTAACAGTACGTTACACATTAACACAACCACTACATCTCAAGGGTAACAGTAAGTTACACATTAATACAACCACTACATCTCAAGGGTAACAGTACGTTACACACATATTAACACTACCCCATTACCAGGGTAGCACGTGCGCTAAGTACGGGACGGACGGAGAGTTGTTCGACCTGTCTGAGCTGGGCCACAGAGCGGTACCCTGGAAGCCGGAACGTGGGCCCGGTGTGGCCCGGGACGAGGACCTGATCATGTCTGTGTGCGGGGACATGACACAGTGTCCGGGGGCCAGTCTCTGCAGGTCAGCCCGGTGCAATGAAACTGATTTCAACACGTCATGGCTTAAGTTAACTCTGCTACTGTGTTTTACCTTCTTGTATCAGGAATTCAGCTTATCTTATTCATCATGATATGATTTATGGTACTAGTGGCTTCCTCCATATTATAAACTTAAACAAACCCTTGTTAACAGGAAAGAAGTAATAGACGACGAAACCACGTACAAACCGTTAGCTTCACTCAGTGAACATTTTAAGATTAACGCCGACAAGTCTATAGAGCTCACGTACGAGGGGGCGGGAGAGTGCGAGAATGATCCTACTTCTCTTACCGTAAATATACTTTATATTCATATAAATATAATCGTATTACACATGTTATTAACAATTAATTAATATACAATTAATTAATATACAATTATAAATTAACGTTACTTTTCTTAGTGGAGCTAGATAGAGCAGGAAGTAGCATTCAGAGGTTGCTAGAAATAGCAGGTTTCCTCTTCCTCAATGAACTGGAAATTGTTGAATGCAATTGAGGCAGGCGGAAAGAGCCAGAATAAATTGTTGCTGGTGGTGCTATAAAAGCCAAGAGGTAGCTTAAGTTAAGTTTGCTAGAAACAGCAGAAGTTGGAGGGGCCAGGCCAGGGGGCCTTGCAGTAGTAGCGAAACATATGTAGCTGAAGTAGGTGAAAAGAGCTGGAATTGGTGGTTTCTGCCCACTGGTGGTACCTGTATAGAGCAGGAGGTAGCATTCAGAGGTTGCTAGAAAGAGCTAGAAAGCTAGAATTATAACGTGCTGGTGCCTGGTGGTAGCTGTGTAGAATAGGCAATAGGCATGGCATGGAGGTAGAAGAATTGAAGGTAGCTAGAAGTATATTCTACTTCATGAGGTGGGATTGAAGTTGACTAGCCATAATAGCCAAACAGTACTGGGGAAAGCCCTACTTGTGGTAGCTATAACGAGATTGTTAGATGTTCATGTATACATTTGGGGATTGAAGTAGTTTGAAGTAACCAGAGAGATAGTCAGATGTATAAATTTGGGGATAAGATAAGATAGCTGGAAGGAGCTTCTGAAACTGAATTGTGTTGCTCCATAAATATTATCTGAATGTGTTCATGCTGAAAAGTTTTCTGTGCTGCAAGTTAAGTGTCTGAAAGACTTTTTTAGCCCGAGATACAAAAATTAAGTACATGTTTGATGTTACTATTTTAGGATGCACGAAAGTTAAAACAGTTTTTAATGAATATCTCCAAAACTAAGCACTATAAACCCTATGTTGCTTTATAGCTTGTATATAAATGTGGCCTTTGCAGTTAGTTTGAGCTAAAAGAGAGGCCCCTACAACGTTCAGAAGCCGAGATACAAAAGTCATTATATATATTTGCGCCTGAGGGTAATTTAGAAATTTCCCCCTAGGATTGGAACTACTGATAGAATTTGCGTACCTTATCAATTCTGATCCAGAATGACCTTACAAAGGACCTGGTTTCTAGAAAAGTTGTGGACACCAAACTGCATACTCGATTTCAATTAGCTTCTAGAGTAGATCTTTTTCACTCTCTCCCCAGTAAAAATCAGTTTTTCTGGATTTTTCCAAAAGTAAGCATTTTGGACCTTTATATATTTGGACAACATATGTCGTTCGGTGATTTGAGTTAACAATAACCTATTTGACCCGATTCAGTATGAAAAACCCTGTACAGTGAAGTGCACACTCAACCCCTCCCTGCTACTAGAGTAAGACCGCCGCCTAAAAGTAACACGGTGCACAACTCTGATGCAGACGGCAATTATACATTTTCCCGTTCAAAAATAAATAAATTACAGTGTATTTTTAAGCACATCAAATAAAACGTCCGGATAACAAGCGAGCAATCGAGAAATAGGGTTACTTTGCTCGGAAATATTATCACAGTCACACTAATGACTAAGTTGAGCAAATTCGTTTGGCTGGCAGAATGGCTGTCATTTTTCGTCGTATACATTACATATTACATATTATGTTTTAAATTATATTAAGAAAGCCGTTAGGTGCGTTGGTTAGTGCTTCAACCAGGTGGCTCCGTAGTATGAATAGAAGGACTTGTTTAAATTGTAAATGAAAAGCTCGAATAATAATTATCACATAATTCAAGAAGGTATCCTGAGTACAGCAACCCGCTCTTTGATGAAATAAAAACAAAACTGATGGGTTTCGTAAACAGCTTCATGCCTGCTGACCCAAAGTCTAACCTGACACCAGCAGAGAGGAGAGGGAAGAGATGGATTTTGAAAAATATAGAAGATGAGAACATCTTTGTCACCAAAGCTGACAAAGGAGGATCGACCTTGATTCTTGACTATAAGGAAGCTGTGGAATGTGTTCAAAGGAACTTAGGAGATAGAGATAACTTTGCTCATTCCCAAATGTCAGTTGAAGAGAAAATGACAGATGTGAAGAATAATGTTAAGGATGCAGTTCTTCTTGCTTTATCAGAGGGGAAAATCACAGAAAAAGACAAGAAACTCATTACTGGACTTAATGAAAATAATAACCAAATGCATGCACATGTATTCAAACCAGTAGTCCCTTATGTGTACCCTCTATTTAAGCTGCATAAATCAAGTCCACAACAGATTGAAGGGAAAATAGTTCCCCCTACCAGGCTTGTCCATGCCACTAAGGAAGGCCCCCTTTACAGGCTAGAAAAGTGGGTTAGCCCATACCTAACAGATATAAGTAGGATTTATTGCCAACAGGAGTTTCTCCTGGATACACCAGACCTTCTCAGTAACATAAAAAACCTTAATGAATCTGCAGACATGTCAAAATATAGCACCATCAACTTGTTTACTTTAGACGTGATCAGTCTGTATCCAAGCATAAAACCTGAAATAGCTATGTCTGCATTGGAACATGCCCTGAACGGTAGTGCTATGATTGATAAACGAAAGGCTATTCTGAAAACATTCACGGAGATTATCTTCACAAACTCCTTTGTCACTTTTCAAGAAAATGTGTACACAGGCAAAAAGGGTATCCCAACTGGAAATTGTATTTCGCGTCAAGTCGCTGATATCATGCTTCATTGGGTGCTATTCATCAACATCTGGCCTGAAATGATACAGCTATGGAGTCTTATTTTATTCTGGCGACGCTTCATCGACGATGTCTTTGGAATTTGGAAGGGCTCCAGGAGGCAATTTGATCTTTTTGTGTCGAAACTAAATGAAGCCGCAAAACGATTTGGAATTCAGTTCGGTGATTGTCAGTTTGGCAAATCAGTTAACTACTTGGATGTAGAACTCTCACTGGGGGAGAACAACAACATCGACTACAGACTATTTAAGAAAGAGACTGATGCCAGGCTTTACCTTAATACTGATAGTTTCCACCCAAACCACGTCTTTAAATCAGTAGTATTCTCACAGATGATCCGAGTGATCAAGCGAAATTCGCAGGATCACACATGTGTGGAGGACCTGGAGGAACTTAAAGAAGACCTAATGAAAAGTGGACACAAGGAGGGGACCTTAACGGAAACAGAGCCTGAAGCAGTCTTGAGGTCAATAGAACACGATTTGTATGAGAGGGAAGATAAGAAGCCAATCACTGACAAAGTTGTCTTTTCAGTGAAATTTTTCAAAGAGGTCACTGAACTTAGGAAGTTGGTACACACTACTAGTGAGGACATCAAACAATTATGCGGAGACGTACAGATATTGTTTGCACTACGTAAACAGCCATCTATAGGCAACACAGTAGTGCGCAATAGAAAACTCAGTTCGTGCTCCGAAACGGATTCTTTCACCGTCAGCCAAAACTGTGGCGGGAGAGGCTGTGCAACCTGTCCCCAACTGTTCAACTCCAACGAAGTTATCACTGTCAATGGTTTGGATTTAACTCTGGATTTCCGGTTGACATGTAAGGACAGCAATATAATTTATGTCGCCCAATGCCAAATTTGTAATAAACTTCCCCAGAGCCTAAAAGACGACACCTATTTCGGCCAAACGGTTTCTCCATTTCATATCAGAATGAATGGACACAGAAACAAGTTTAAAATTGATAATGAATTGTCATTTGAGAAGTCGGCACTTTCCATGCATTGTTTTCTAGCGCATAAATCTGATTTCACTATGGGAGTTTTTAAATTAGGTGTAGTAAGAAAAGTCCGACCAACAGCACTTGATAGAGAAGAGAGCATTCTTATTTCAAAATTTAGAACTAATATTTTTGGGTTAAATAGGATTGTAGTTACTCGCTGAATAATCTGTTATGCTCTGTTGTCCATTCTACCTAGCACATTGAGCTCTTTAGTAAAGTTTCAGATTAAAATCTGTTCGAATTTTCAAGTTGTTAACTTTTAAATTGCTTTCATTAGTCTAACCTAATTTTATTTTTATAGGCTAGTGATGTAAATATACGAAGAATTCACCTATATTTGTGCTGTCTTACTATGTGTCCAAACCAAATTGATTTGACATAGTAATGTAGCTATGATCTCCGATGATCTAATGAGGATGATACTATCTCCATACCTTCATACCACCATTCCTTGTTATTAATTATTATAATTAAGAATGTACGGATTTTTAGGTTCAACCGACACTTTGCTAAGAAACGTTCTGTCACACATCTTTTGGATCTGTTTTCTGTATGTTATGAACTTTTCTAGATACTGAAGATCCTGATGGAGATATTTTTTGTTTTTTAAATTAGTAGATTTAATTTGGAGAACATCTTGTAAGGTTCTCTCAATTTAGTCGTACAACCTATACATTAATCATTCAAAACATGTTGATGAGTCTGACTCAAATGCTGACACCTAATATGAAGTTCCTATAACCTGGTAACCTGGTAACCTGGTAACCTGGTAACCTAGACTAACAATCCCCCAGGTTGAGTTGACATGTAAGCAAGGAGCAGTGGAAACAGCACCCCAACTCCTCTCCGACGACCCATGCAACTATGTTAGTGTGTGGGAGACAGCCTACGCGTGTCCCAGTCACTCCATTACTGGTAACCAGTGCAAGATCAAGGATGAGGTGACTGGTCTCACGTTTGATGTGACTGGTTTAGCGGCTGAGGCTCACGATATGACGTGAGTTAGATTAGTGTGTTTCCTTGATATTCCTTCTGAGCAGTTATTTAACACAGTTAGATGTAACATTAGTGTAGTTCTTGTTTTAGATTAGCCTAGTTCTTGTTTTATAGTTAAGTAAAATTAGCGGGCTTGTCACCCCTGATCCCATGGCAACATTAAATATATTGATGGCTAATAGGGCAAACAGCGACCACCGCTTAAGAGCCGTTTAAGAGCCGTTTAAGAGCCGTTTAAGAACCGCTTAAGAGCCGCTTAAGAACCGTTTAAGAACCGGCTAAGAACCGGCTAAGAACCGCTTAAGAACCGCTTAAGAACCGGTTAAGAGCCGGTTAAGAGCCGGTTAAGAGCCGGTTAAGAGCCGATGAGCGGCCGCTTAAGAACCGTCTAAGGACCGCTTAAGAACCGCTTAAGAACCGTTGAAGAACCGCCTCTAAAACTGCTTAAGAACCGCTTAAGAACCGGTTAAGAGCCGGTTAAGAGCCGGTTAAGAGCCGGTTAAGAGCCGATGAGCGGCCGCTTAAGAACCGGTTAAGAACCGCCTATAGAAAACAGATTTATAAATCTACTAATAAACTTAGAGCCGTTTAAGAACCGGTTAAGAACCGGATAAGAACCGGCTCTTAACCGGTTAAGAACCGCCTATAGAAAACAGATTTATAAATCTACTAATAAACTTAGAGCCGTTTAAGAACCGGTTAAGAACCGGATAAGAACCGGCTCTTAACCGGTTAAGAACCGCCTATAGAAAACAGATTTATAAATCTACTTATCAACCTAGAGCCGGATAAGAACCGGCGCGGCTCTTAACCGGTTAAGAACCGTTGTAGAACCGTCTCTAAACACCCTACACGATTGCTAAACAAGTAAACAGTGAGAAGTTTGTAGACAAAAATTCTCCCGTAAATTTCAGACTTTTAATATGTTAATTTTCAGATTTACAATTGGTTAAGAATGAATAGACGATATTTCATGAATAAATTGAAGTAATAGTTATAATGTACATCAATTACTGTGTTAAATCAATTACAATGTTAAATTACAGAATGAGTTTACAGATAAATCAGTATCCCGCCAAGGGTACCAATGCCACCCCATCTATGTTCAAGGTCTTCAGCTTCTGTTGTCCGGAAGTGGTGTTGAGGACTGCTGCCGCCAAGGTCTTGGCACGCTTCAGGTTGAGAGTGCTACCGTGGTGTCGTAGCGTCTCCTTAAATCGTGTAGGAGACACCAGGAGGGCTTCAGCGATGGGTCTGACGTTCCTCCAGAAGCCACGCTTCACGTTGATACTGTCGAGGGCTTCGTATAGGCCGCATCCAGTTCGATGCATCGTGTCCACCACAGATGAGTAGAAATCAGAGTAGACTTGTAGAGGAAGAGGTGTCCTTGTTCTCGTCCCTCGTCTCTGGAGGCCAGGTGGGCCACGTTGCGGAGCAGGCTGTAGAGGGGGTAGAGGGGCTGAAGCAGCAGAGTTGGTAGGAGGGCTAGAACTGTAGGGAGGTGGAGCTGCGGATGTTGAGGAGGTTGATGGAGTGTTATCAGAGGTGTTCGTTCCCGTAGCCACGGAGGAGGCTGCAATGGAAGTTGGTCGTAATCCAGTGGGTGGGGGTCTAGCTGTAGTAGTCTTGTGCGCTGGACAGTTGATAATCCTCACAGTAACATCAAAGCGAGGATGATCGTCGGAGTTACAGGAAACAATCTCCTTCAGGCAGTTGCCGCAAGAAAAGGCTGGCATCGTAGATGTGTAGTAGGTTCTGGAACAGAGGTCGGATATGTGTCCAGAAGTGCCGCAGTGCTGGCATATAGGGGGAGGAACACGCCGTGCTCTTGAGTTAGGATTTCGTCTTGTTCCCACCATAGTATAGGAGTTGAAGTTATCTGTAGTAGAGGATGTAGTAGTTGTTGTAGATAGCAGAGTGAACGAATGAACAGAACCACGGTGGTCATATATTTATAGTATCCCATAGCTTGTTATTGTCAAGTAGCTGGAGTGCTGGATGCATACAACAAGATGGTGTCAGATCTTGTCATCAGATCACTTTCTAAAATGTAATCACAGCACGACATACCGTTTTCGTCAACGCGAATGTGATCTGATTCAATACCTATCATTAGGTGTATCTTGCTAATCGGTACAGTGATATCATATTAACACTGGATCTCGTATCCTATCACGCGACAATTATGTTACAATACGCTTAGCTCAATTAACCCGGTAATTTGAAACTATTTTGGGTTAACCCAAAGTTCTCTCCAGTGTCCGAACGGGATCCCGGCGCCGGGATTGTGATTTTAATCCCGGCCCCGGCCAATTTTTCCATTTTGACCGGGAATTTAGCCGGGATTTTTTACAAAAAATAGCTCGGTAATTCTGGAGTTTGTGATAAAAATTGGCTCTGCCAAAGCCCGAAATTTAAAAAATTAATCGAAGGATTGAAATTTTAGTTTATCGTTGATCATTCATGTATACATTTTGAAAAGCATGTTGTAAAGTATAATCAATTGAGTACTGAAGCAACACTAATTAACATATTATACCATAAAAATTCTAGAAATCCCGGCCAAATATCCCGGCCCCGGCAAAATCCTGCTCCCGGCCAAATCCCGGCCGCGGCTAAAAAATGCTAATCCCGGCCAAATCTTAAACCCCGGTCGGTTACTGGTTCTCTCAAATAATAGCGTTAGGGTATGCCAACACGTCGCGAAGCATTGCTATTATGTACTATTTAGGGTATAGAATACCCGACTATAAGAGTATGAATACCTTATCGGTGGAAAATTTTCCGTTGAAAAGTTTGCCTCAATCTCGATTTTGCAAAAATAGGTCAATAATTAGCAAATAAGATTTTTTAGCGAATTTTCGATGAAAATTGAGTTGGATTTCTAAGTTTTAATTTTATTGAAATAAAACATGTTAATAACATGATGAGTATAACTAAGAAATGCTGACAGCCAAAATCATAGAAATTCATCGGGCGGTAGAAAATTTTCCAGCCAAAAGTTTTCCGGTTAAAAGTTCTCCGGTTAAAACTCTGCACCGATAAGGTAACTTAAAACCGTAATATGCAATAAGACCCCCCTGTTTCGCGGATTTTGGAAGGAAATATTTGTGCCTCAAAACCGCGAATCCATGACCCAAATATATTGGTCTAACTGGTAACACAGGCCACGATAATACCTTGCTGCACTACAAAACACCTCAATATGCTTTCATTTATACAGAGTGGGCCAGAACATCGCGGCCCGATTATCAACCGTGGTCCCAAAATTTTCAAAATGAAAAAAAAAATCAAAGTTTTTCTAAAAATTGTATTTCTGCATGTTTCATGTGATTCCAATCATTTTGAGCAAAAACTTTTTTTTTCAAATTTTCCAAATTTCCAATCGAGGAAAACTTTATTCAACCACGACCAAGGTGAGTTAATTTTTAGCGTTAACCACCGAGAAGTGCTACACTGCCACCCTCCCCCACCCTTCGTGCGCGGTTTATGAGGCCCAAACTTTTCATCCCGAGATATTTTAAATTTAATCATACCATAATCAATCCGCTATTCTTCCACGTTAAAATTAACAATACCTACGCTACAATTTTGTCTGCGAAATAATATATCCTTAGTTTAAACTGGTTTGAGTGCTGCTCCCTTCAATGATAGGCGATGCCCTGGTGGAGCTCACTTCGTGTCCATCCGCACTGACTCCCTCCTGGCCAGGAAACAGATACCTGCTATGAAGTTTCTACACCTACTTTGGCTCTACTGTACCTTTAGCAGCGTCTGCCAAGCTGCAGTTACCCTCTCTATGGATCCTAAGAAAGTCCGGGGATTCTTTAAAGCTATCAGACAGTGCATGGCGGAAGACTTGTTCTCTGGTGACGTGATGATCGGAGGTCCTGGACAGATAGTAGAAATTGACGAGTCAAAATTCGGCAAAAGAAAGTACAACCGTGGGAGACGAGTAACAGGAAAGTGGGTGTTAGGCGGTGTAGCAAGAGGATCTAACGAATGTTTCCTAGTGGAATGTCCTAACAACAAGAGAGACCGTAACACACTCTGCCTGTTAATCCTTCGGTTTGTCCGACCTGGAACAACAATTATCACCGATAAATGGAAAGGATACCTTCCTCTTGAACATCCTGGATATACTCACTACGATGTCAACCACAGCCGGAATTTTGTAGATCCACTGACGGGAGCCCATACGAACACGATTGAAGGGACGTGGTTTCATACGAAGCGGCACGTGAAGAGAGGCCATGGACGGGTGAGAAATGACGGAAAAGCTCTTGCTATCGCACTCTACGAGTTTATGTGGATGAGAAAACACGGTCTCACTCGCTCTGATCCTGATTGCCGGAGACTTTTCAACAGAGAACTACCACTTTTGATGAAAAGACTGTTTGCATAGTTATAACGTGTGATAGCGAAGTACTGAATGGATTGATATAATATTTTAATTTATCTGTACATTAAACTCGTTTTGTAATTCAACGTTGTATCTCAGACAATAATTGATCGACTATTACTATTCGATTAATCATTTATGTAATTTATTAATCTACCTATGAAATTTCGCCTATTGATTCGAAATAAATTGAAATTCTAACAAAATTGAAGTCTTAATAATTGCATCTGCGCACTATAAGACATGCATCATGAAATATTGTGATTTGCATCGCGATATTGGGTCGAGCCGTCAGGCGAGATGCTAATAGCAATACAATTATAACAAAAGTGAGGTGCTATTGCCAACATTGTTACGTACGTCAAAAACTACTAACCTAGTCTAAAATGGGGAGGGAGGGGAGTGGAGAGGTGCTGGGACGGGAGTGGGGGTAAAGACACGAGAGGGAGCAGGGGAGTGGAGAGATGCTGGGGCCGGGAGCGGGGGTAAATACAAGAGAGGGAGCAGGGGAGTGGAGAGGCGCTGGGGCCGGGAGCGGGGGTAAAGACGAGAGGGAGCAGGGGAGTGAAGAGGTGCTGGGCTGGGAGCGGGAGTAAAGACAAAAGAGGGAGCAAGGGAGTGGAGTGGTGCTGGGCCGGGAGCGAGGGAAAAGACAAGAGAGGGAGCAGGGGAGTGGAGAGGTGCTGGGTCGGGAGCGAGGGTAAAGACAAGAGAGGGAGCAGGGGAGTGGAGAGGTGCTGGGTGGGGAGCGGGAGTAAAGACAAAAGAGGGAGCAGGGGAGTGGAGAGGCGCTGGGGCCGGGAGCGGGGGTAAAGACAAGAGAGGGAGCAGGGGAGTGGAGTGGTGCTGGGCCGGGAGCGAGGGTAAAGACAAGAGAAGGAGCGGGGGAGTTCAAATGTGCTGGGCCGGGTGTAGGGTGTTTACATGTAGTTTTAGAGACGGTTCTTCAACGGTTCTTAACCGGTTAAGAGCCGGTTCTTATCCGGTTCTTAACCGGTTCTTAAACGGCTCTAAGTTTATTAGTAGATTTATAAATCTGTTTTCTATAGGCGGTTCTTAACCGGTTCTTAAGCGGTCCTTAGACGGTTCTTAACCGGTTCTTAAACGGCTCTAAGTTGGTTCTTAGGTTGTTTAAATGCAGTTTTAGAGGCGGTTCTTCAACGGTTCTTAAGCGGTTCTTAAGCGGTCCTTAGACGGTTCTTAAGCGGTTCTTAAACGGCTCTAAGTTGGTTCTTAGGTTGTTTAAATGCAGTTTTAGAGGCGGTTCTTCAACGGTTCTTAAGCGGTTCTTAAGCGGTCCTTAGACGGTTCTTAAGCGGCCGCTCATCGGCTCTTGACCGGCTCTAAACCGGCTCTTAACCGGCTCTTAACCGGTTCTTAACCGGTTCTTAAGCGGTTCTTAGCCGGTTCTTAGCCGGTTCTTAAACGGTTCTTAAGCGGCTCTTAAGCGGTTCTTAAACGGCTCTTAAACGGCTCTTAAACGGCTCTTAAGCGGTGGTCGGTCTTTGACCTACTTCCCATATTGATTATTGACTCTGTAGTCTGTTATATCGCTCTCTCAAATTATTTGATATATTATACCTATTTATATATAGTAACTTGTTAAAAGTATTAAAGTTTGTGTTCGAAATATTCTGAAACAGTTAGATTCCAATACAGGCTCGGGCTAATTATCGAAAAATTATTATCAAAAATATCAAAATATATGAAAGTTAATGATGATGTTAAGTCCACAATTGTAGTTTAAGTCTATCACTTCCTCAGACTTCTGGACGGCACTACCCTTTCACTCCAGATTTGTGGTAGTTTGTCTGAAACAACGTGTGGTCAGGGTGTTAGTGCCTGTCGGTCTGATGGTACCGTCTTGGGGTACACCAGCAAGGGGGACCTCTCCAGCAGCAAGGTTCGTGATGTGGAATTTTGTTTTGGAGATAGATCTTCTTTTGTTTTTTGGAGCAAATTTAAAATAACTTTTTCTTAGCTGAGAGGAATTTTTTCCATGTTTCACCATCTAACTTCTATCATATTTTCAGCTTCATTTCTCCAACCGACAACTAGCTATAGGAATGAACGGAGCAAATTGTCAGGCGGGTCAGGACTACCGAACTCTGGTCGAGTTTATGTGCGAATCAGATCCTGCTAAAAGTTAGTCAACGTTTTTAAAAACTGACCTCTAGTCTTGGCAGTTCGTGTTGCAAATCTCGCTGTACATTTTAGTTTTACACAGGGTTTAAAGGTCACCTTAGGATCTGAATAACCCGTGCTCATTTAACAACCACATGATAATTGATTCCACCACGTGTTCCGCTCATTAGCAATCCACGTGATAGTAATTATATTTCAGAGAGTGTTACAGCTGTTCCAGTTGGTAATTGTACCTACTATGTTATCTGGACAGACCCCGCTGCCTGCCCTATGTATCCTATGGAGTGTGCTGTTAACAACGGATCTCACAGGTTAGTTGCATGGTGTTAGATGGTGTTAGATGGTGTTAGATGGTGTCACACGGTGTTACTCGGTGTCACTTGGTGTTGCATTGTGTTACGCTATGAATATAGGTCTTAGTCCTTTTATTATATTGTACGCTATATTTCAGATACTTTAGTGTGTCAAAACTTTTGAGTACCAAAAATTTGGGCAGGAAATTCGGGATTGTTTGGGCGACGAAAAATTTGGGTATTTCCTGCTCAACAAAAATAGTAGCTTATCTTATTTACATATAGTGTCGAAGGCAGTCAAGGAACTGACATTGAAGGCAGTGGATGACCAACTTATGAATTTTAGGCATATATTGCGAATATAATATTTCACCCGTACAAATAACTTAACAAGGCAGGACCACCAGTTGATCTTCTCCAGTTTTAGAGTGTGGGTCCTATTGAAACGTTTCTTGATCAGCACTGAGAATTACAGGAGTGCACTAAATACTGAATAGCTTACTAAACCATTACACAGTGACATCAACTTTACAATAAGTAATGTGAAGCTGAGTAGCTAGCTGAGTAGCTAGCTCCATACAGTCATCCCGTACAATATTTAGAAGATGTACACCTCTTATGTTGTCCCGCACAATGATTTAATTATTACACGATCACCTTATCAATATTTTTTCATCCAAAATAAAACGTTCGACTGATTTCGTCTTCTTGGTGGCCTATCTAATGAACGCAGTGTTAGCAATAACTAAATTGTAATGTTGGAAGGGCAGATTATATATACAGTATATATACAGTATATATACAGTATATATAATATACAGTATATATACTGTATAATGTATATATACTGTCTATATACTGTATATATACTGTATATATACTGTATATATACTGTATATATACTGTATATATACAGTATATTAATATACCCGCCCCGCTCTTCAATGCGAAGACTTGTGTAGAAGGCAGTTGAGCAACTGTCATTGAAAGCAGTGCAGTGGATGATCAACTTATGAATTTTAGGCATATTGCGAATATATTTTACCCGAGCAAATAATTTATCAAGGTAGGACCAATGGTTGATCCCTCCAGTTTCCATATCAAATCCCAACCACACCATTGGTCGAATAAACCTGACCAGAAAGCACTATTTATATCGGATGTATTTCGATTCATCAGAGAAACAATAAAATCTAATTTTTATAAAATTTGCCAAAGTAATCAAGGATTAAATAATTTAACAATGTTATGTACAAAATATACAATATACATATAATAAATACTGCAAAAAAAACAGTATCAGTACTGTTAAATCTTCAAGTATCTTTGAACACTTTTTAAAAATGTACAAAAAGGAACTAAACTATCTTCTCTAAAATTCCTTCTTCTGATCTGATTAGAAAGAAAAAAACTTTCCTGTCTAACAAATCATATCACACATTTGTAGTCTGTGGTTCCAAGCATCACAAACATAAAACTTCACATTTGTGCTTCTCTGGTTAGCGTCCGGGGAACAAATAGACACTCCATTCGGGGACAGAAACTGCCCCAAATCATTTCCCTCATTTCCAAAACACATCTTGAACCTCCCCACACTGTCAAACACCGACAGTCTATCATTCCCGTACTCGGACACAATAACAGATCCATTGGGATCCACCGCGACACTACTCGGGTAACTGAGTTGCCCGTGCTCTGATCCGAACGATCCGAATGTTGACTTGAACTCTCCGGTGAGTCTGAATACCTGGATCCGGTGACTGTGATGATCACAGACAAACACGTCCGTACCAGAAATAGCCACTCCACAAGGCTCCATAAACTCACCCTCTCCCGATCCTTCCCTCCCGAATGAGTGGCTAAATCTCCCGTCCGGAGACAGAACCTGAACTCGATTGTTCCCTGAATCAGCTACCAGGATCTCACCTGTTGCTGCGATGGTGATCGCTTGAGGTTTGCAGAACTTTCCCTGTCCAGTTCCGATACCCCCGATTATCTTCTTGTACCGCCCATCAGCTGTGAAGACTTGAATCCTATCATTCCTTGTGTCAAGCACGTAGATGTTATCTTCTCCGTCAACAGCTATATCTCCAGGAGATTTAAACTCTCTTATCCCAGTCCCTTCGTTTCCAAACATCTGTACAAAACTCCCGTTCTCCTCAAGAATCTGCACTCTGTTGTTCCTCTGGTCAGCTACAACCAGATGTCCATTAGACAGCTGAGACATCCCACATGGGTGGAAGAAATCTCCGAGGTTGGTTCCACAGGATCCTATCTGATGGATTGCTCTGATGCGGGGAGCGTTAGCTGAGGCCTGATCCCTCCTCCCAGCTCGTCTCTGGTCGGTGTAGCGGATAATCACGGCGTTTTCCTCGGTGAACCGCTCCAAGTTGATCTGTAGTGGGGTCTCTTGTTCGGTATCCCGACTGTTTCCAGCCGTGTTCCGTCTTCTGTGCCGCCGAGCAGTGTTGACTCTGCTGTTGCTGTTTATGACAGCGTTAGTCCCAACTGGTTCCTCCTTGATCAGCTTCACTTCCCCCATGTCAAGGCAATCAACTTGAATCGCTAGATTGTCAGCTGGTTCAAAGTTTATCCATTTATCAACTGTTTCTGAGTTAAGCTCGCTAAGAGTACTACTTTTGTCTCTGGCCTTTAAATCTCCTCTAATTTCTGACGCCCCCTGTAAAAACGCCACGTCGTCCTCAGTTTTCAGAACGTTTCCAAGCGCCTGTTTTATTTCCCGCCTTTTCTTCGACCAGCCTTTCAGATCGTCTTTGAAACTGGATATCCTTTCCGTTTGTCCCATCTTGAGAGCATTAACTTGACTGACAAGACCGACTTTCTTTTTGTTCACCTCATCAATGACTTTCTCTGCTTCCTTAGTTATCGTGATGATCGCAGCTTCGGTCTGCTTTGTTATTTTCTCCAACATCTCATTAACTATGTTGAGTTCTGCGTCCGAGCCATCCAGAACTTTTTCCATTTCGTCCAGTTTTGCCTGAAGAGCCTCCCGCTCAGAATCCACCACGTCCAAAATTATCTCGGTGTGGTGCTGAGCATGGGAGGTGGCTGCGCACTTGCTGCACGTGGTCACCTCACAGTCACAGCAGTACATGGTTATCTTCCTGTTTTCGTGGAGACTACACAGACTCTGAGGTGTTCTCCTCACTTCGTTCTCTGTTGACACCAGGATCTGTACTAGATTGTTCAGTGCGAAGTTCACGGGGAATCCCTGGATACCGTTATCCGGTATGACAGCCACGGCGCGGCATGTCGGGCAGGGTAGGAGACGGCCGCGGTGTTCCCTGGCGAGGTGGGCCATGGACAGGCAGGACTCGCAGAAACTGTGTTGACATGGCAGGACTCGGGGTGAGGTGTAACGTTCCTGGCAGACAACACAAATCAGCTCAGCTTCTATTTGGTTAGCCAGACTTCCTCCACTCCTGTTAGCCATGCTATGTTTTCTGTTTTTCTTGGTAGTAGTTTTTATCTTCGAATCGTTTGCCTTTTGCCTAACACCTTGTCAAAACTTTTAGTTCAGAAACCGATGTAGTTTTAAAGATTCTTCTAACGATATTTTATTGCAATAAAACCCGAAAAATGAAAAATGATATCAATTCAATATAATATGTGCTTGGACGAATATTTAAAAACGTAGACCGCCTTTTGCATAACCGAATCTGAAAGAAAAATCCGACGGTTGCAGCTGGACCGAATTAAACCAGATTTTCGGCAAATAATGAAACTATTAGGATCGGACAAGTGCAAAAAACGTTATGATGGAATTACCGGACCGCACCGGATTTGCGGTTGATTCCTGATTCAATAATCCAAAGAGCAAGCTATGCGAGACACAAATATCGTATTGGAAAAGCTAATCACAAATAATCAAGAAATAGCAATCATCCGCATCATATGACCGGCCGTTGTTAAAAACACAATAAAACACAATTGCTATTAAAAGACACATAACAGAAAACATTTAACGACTAGATAAATTTGATAAAATGTGTGGCTGACTCCGTCACGTGATATGATTATAAGTCACGTGGACTGTATTAACATGTGAGCATCCTCTGACGGGCACTGGTCGATGAACTTTCTCCATCATCTGCTTGTTAAAATCACATGTTATTTGTATTGCTCGGTTAGTCAGCTGTGATTTGTTAATAAGTTACGTTTTCTCACCGTTTTACAAGTAAAGTTAAGCATGACTTTTCGGCGAATAATTAATGAAAATATGTTAATCATAATTTCTGTAATTATTTCGTCACGATATGAGAAGTCGACGTCATTTGAATGGTCAATTGACTAGTTAATCGGTAGAATATTCAATACTCAACTGGATACTATGCACTTGCTACCAATGTTAGTACCATACTATCTACTAATTAGTGTAACCCGTGCCTACGTCTGGGACTTCACTATCGCAGTTGAAATGAAAAAGTATAAACCCGCTTATTATATTCTAAAAACCTCATTACATTTTCGTAGCTAATACGGTGCAAAAGTATGAACTCGCTCAGTCCATACACACCGCAATTTAATTCTGAATGCCCCTCACGTATCTGATAGTAATACTTGATAAGCAATCTTGAGGTCCCCTGCCAAATTACCTAATTATATAGCAAATCTGTTTTGGGCCCGGAGAGAGAGGGAGAGCACGTGAGACACTTTAGTATCACATTTGGGTCACAAAATGACCCAAAATGATCAATTAAACCACTTATCACCGACCGATTTGAAAAACCTTAATCATTTGGCTTCGTCAGAGTTTTGTCGGCACTATACCGAAAGAACCAGTCTCTTATCTCTTACCGTTTTCTTGATTTAACCATTCGTAAATTACAGACAGACAGACACACACATTTATTGAGATTATTAGTATAGATACTATGTAACCTCTTGTATAAAAGAATATCGTAAAGCTCTCAAAAATATACTTTACAAATATAAATTTCAGTTTCGACCTGTCGCCCCTGTACGATGCAGGTAGCCTGGAGTGGGCTGGTCTGGTAGATGGAGCACAGACAGCACTGTACATGAGACCTTGTGGGCAGGTCCAGGCTGGTACGGAGGGGTGTGATCATACTGCTGGAGTCTGTGCTGTTGTGGTCAGTTTACCAACCGCTTATCTCAATTTGTTCAAAAGTTACTTACATTTTTATTAATTTACATAATATAACGGCACCTAGTATACTACATACCAGTACCACAGCCGTGAAAAGCTGGCCTCTAGTAAATTTTTTTCTTTATTAAAACTTTAAGCGGCCAGATTTTCTAAGTTTCTCACATTTTTTACGTCATCAAAATTCTAAAAACTACAACCCACTCAATCCCAGGAGAGAAACGGAGTGAAAGTAGCTACAAATCTGGGTAGAGCAGCTTCTGACCTGACTATAGAAGATGGTATCCTGACTGAGAACTATGTGAACGGAGATAGAGTTTGTAGTGATAAGAGTCTCCGGGCCTCCACACGTGTTGAGTACTCCTGTGCTAAACAGCCTCAGGTAACTGGAGTTGTGGAAATTGTAGCAATTTATTCGCTTTTTGATGTAGGGGCTTTTTGATGTAGGGGCTTTGTTAACAGTATTCAGAAGTTTTAGAAATTTCCATTACCTTAATTTTATTGAATGACAACATATCTCTCTGGAAGATCCTCTGATTTCCTCTAAAATCCGCAAGGATATATAACTCTATCCCTCCTTCCGGAGTGTGTCACGTGATCTGCTAACAATCCAGTCAGTGCCTTGTTAGCAGCTCTGTTTCGCAGTGTCTTATGTAGTGTATTGGCTATTGTTTGATGTTTGAACTTTGAGAGTAACCATTGTTGCATTGCTCATAACACACCAAATAAAATGGCTCGTTGTTCCTCAATATAAGGTAATGCATTGTACTGTTATAGTTATAATTCTCCGGTATCCTACTTATTGGTGTACGCTAATACTATAAACCTGATGTAGCGAAGATTCTGTAATTTATTGATTATGAGTACATTTCGGCATTTTGGTTCATCGCCTACACATTGTTACATTGCAATATTACCATCATCTTCGTGTTTTCTAATTTCGCGCACCCATGGGCGCCCGAAATAAAATCGTTGCCTGCAAAACGTGTCGTATTTCACTTTTATCAAAGACAGATTACCAAGACAGATTAGAGTATCTTCAGGTGTCTGCGCTGCCAGTTCTCTACTTTTGTGCTGAGCAAAGTCGATAAGATTGAAATTTAATACACGAGTACAAGAGTCATGACGCTTGATGTGCTGTGTAATGTACATGAAACTGCGATTCCGTGTAAATGCGTGCATACTTGTATTTTGTATGCAATGTTCACTATAATATTGTGTATTCTATCATCGGGTTTACATTCCCTAAATGTAGACCTCCCAACAACGTGTTACTGCCAACAAAAAGGTCCCTACTCAGAAATAGGGAAAACACCCTTTTCAGTCAGTGATAATACCTTTTTTACAGCTAACAAACTATACTTTACGTTTCAGTCAGTGATACAGTCAGCGTTCTTTAACGATGATATGTGTATGTACATAGTGGAGGTAGCAAGTCCTTATGGGTGTATTCAGGAGAAGGTCGCTACTCACAACTGTTCCATTACTCACCCTGATACAGGTACTTACCTTTTTTGTTTGGTATTCATAAACAATAATTTCAAGTAGTACCGGTCATAACCATCATAATATTCCAACTTTTTTAGGCCGCGTTGTAGAATGTTCGGGTTAACTGAACTCTTTCCAGGGATCACGTACGATTTCTCGTATCTGACGGAGGACTACGAGTTCTCGAACGTTAACTCCCACTTCAAAGTACATGTTTGTGGGTCCCTGGCTGACGGTTGTGGGCTGGAGAATAAGGATGCTGCTTCGTGTGAGGTTGTCAATGGCAACTATCTCTCTATTGGTGAGAAAACGGGGGTTTTATTATCAATCTCTTATATCTCACTGTAAATTATCCTGATTTCATGGTTCAGAACTAGTCCAAAACTAGGAAATAGCCATTTTGATTCGAGATAGTTGTGATTATTGTAAGCCACAAAATAGCCATCACATCATCAACAGTGTCCTCCCTCCCCCTACTAATCACTCACCATATCACCCCCTACAGGTGACGCTGCTACCTCCAGTCTCTCTCTAGAGAACAACATCTTCACCCTGTCCTACACTGGTGGAGACCGGTGTGTGGAGAACAAGGACTGGGCCCAGTACAAGTCCACCCAGATAACCATGCTGTGTAACCGTGAGGTACCGGTGGGAACTCCCCGGTATATCAACAGGGATGCTGAGGCTTGTGTCTACCATTTTGAGTGGGAACTAGCTGCGGCGTGTCCTCCAGAGCAACCTAAGTGCCGGGTTATAGGTTAGTATATCAAGTGCTACCTGCTTCTGACACTTATAACTTTTAAAGCTTTTTTAGTATAACATATTGCTATCATTTGACCTCATGACCTGTCTTTTGAGAATCGACTAACTTTAATTTGCCTAATTTCCAAGTATTGAAACTCCCATATGCCTCCAAACAACCTCCCCCTCTCCAGACGATTCACTTAAAGAGTACGACCTGAGCGTACTACGTCGGGACACAGACTGGACAATCCGGGACACAAACAACAGGGTCTACTCTCTTAACGTGTGTGGTGTTAGTTCGGTGTGTGGGGATAATTCAGGGATCTGTTATATTGAAGGTCAGTATACGGAAGGTCAGTGAGACAGTGGTGCCCCACTGTGCATACACATACGGGCTCCACATTGAGACACACACACACGGGCTCCACATTGAGATCAATTTAAAGGAATATAGAAATTAACTTTATATTAAGTTTGGCTCTTCAGTTCCTCAAAACAGTATACCACAATGTGTTGTCCAGGTAGTATCTGTTATCGCAGTTATAACTTATAAGACTATAACGCATATATTATTATTTTATATATGGAGATGATGTAAAATATTGAGAACACACTCTCAAAACATATCCACATCAGATAATGTCACATGGATACTATAGAATATAATACATTAAATGTGAATGGAGACTTTTTTGGTTTCAACCCTCTCGGCCGCCCCGACCTATCTTGTCAAGTTAACATTAACCCAACAATAACTGTCCTCAGACTCAGGCAGCACCAAAGTTAGTTTAGGTAGAGTATCAGGGGAACCTAGTGTAGTGGAGGATGGCACAATACAGCTCACTTACTACCACGGAGATAAGTGTGGGACCTCCGGGGATAAACGTTGGACTACCAACATCATCTTCACTTGCGAACCACAATCTGAGGTTGGTCTTGTGGGTTTTTAGAGACTGTTTATTTCGTTAAATTATTCAATTGACAGACCATAATCTCTTCAGAGTATGGATATGAGATTTAAATGTCACCAATATCGCGTGGTGCAATTAATTTGAATGACTTGTTTATTCTTAAAGATGAAAACTTAACGATCACAGATTGTTTTAGAGTCTCCTCACAATAATAAACAATCACTGATTATTGTTTGTGAATTTTATTGATATTGTATCTATTTGCTCAGAGTCTGCCCACAATAACGCTGAATGAGGAGGCCTGTCAAGTGACTGTAGAATGGAGATCACTGCATGCATGTCCTGCTGCTTACGCTACCGGGGACAACTGCACTGTCACTAACCCAGTCACTGGTAAACTTTAAGAAAACTTTAAGAAAATTTTTTAAGAAACTTTTCTAACAAAATCAAGTGAATATATTCAATCGCGTAGCTCTCTTTTGCCTTCCTCAATGTACTTTTGTTCAGTTTCTTTTCTGATTAATGTTACATGTTCCTTGTCCAAGAAAATAAAGAATTACACTATCCCATTATTTAAAGGTGTAACGTACGACCTGTGGAAGTTATCTAACAGAGATTACAGTTCCACAATTGATGAACACACCTACACATACGCCTTCTGTACCCCTCTCCGTACACCATGTAATGGTAGGTCAATCGTAAACACTTTCTCTTTCACTTTCTCTTTCACTTTCCTTTTTTGGAGGTTTTGTTTCGTGTTTCAGAATCAATTAAACCTTATTCGTTTTATAATAACTTTTATTGTCTCCACATTATAGCAGCTCTTACAGTAACTTGTATTATTCAGATGCCACGACCTCTGGTTCCTGTCAAGGATCAACAGTAACGGACGCTCAGAAAGATAACGGACATGTTAACCAGACCTTAACGTACAGTAACGGTGTTATCATACTGACTTACCTGAATGGTGACGTTTGCAGTAGAGGTGAGTGTTTGTTTGCAGTAGAGGTGAGTGTGTGTTTTTAAGGAATGGGAGACTAAAAGTAATGTTTTTTAAATGGGTCAACCGAGAACCAGATTCCGGGTCAAATGCAGAGTTAATGATTCAATAATTGAATGATTATAAATGATTAAGTGATTAAATGATTAAATGATTGAATGATTAAATTATTAAATTATTAAGTGACTAAGTGATTAAGTGATTAAGTAATTAGATGTTATTTTGCTAACACACAGTATCCCAGGTGACATCAGAGAGACCAAAATAAAGATGGTTTGTGATCACAGTTTGTCCGATGTTGAGGTGGAGATTGACCAGATAGAGGAAACTTCTCACTGTGTTTACGAGGCTTTCGCTTTTTCCGGCCTTCCTTGCGATAAGGTTTGATGTCCTTAGACAAGTGGATTATCTTTCATGGTGTTCTATTCTGTGCATTTACATTGTTAGAAAATGTATAACGGACTGTCTGACTCACTGAGATGGAAATCTTGAAAACGATTTACATGTCATTTTTTTCTGACTGAAAGTAATAACGTGTTTGGTCAGAATAATGAATAATCAAAAGATTATTCCAAGTTTTGTCCTCTGAACCTCATCTAACCACAGGAAGTGTTATCACAGTGCGAGGTTGCTGGATACGACATTTCAGCTCTAGCATTAACACGTGGCAACTACTACGCTACCCACAATAACTTTACCTTCACTATAAACGCTTGCAGAGGGATAAACTCACCCTCTCCCTGCTCCTCTAACTCTGCTGTCTGCATGAGAAATGGAGTGGGTCAGGGAGTCAGGTGAGATGGAACAAAAATTTCTCGAAAACTTTGATTTTAAAATTTGAACAGTTGATATTTTATGAATTATGAAAATTTGAGTATTGACAAGAGTATAATTAAAACAGAATTTTATTTCTTACTGATTAGTAGATTTGACTGAACAGCAGCCACGTAACCAATCAGAAGGTTATATTTAATCAATTATAACCACATTTTCAAATGAAACTGCACTTAAGTTGAACCTCACGTCCGTTTCATTCAGCATAGGTGACGTTTCCACGGCGGTTCTCGTGTACGAAGACTCCAGCCTGAAACTCAAGTACAGAGGTGCAGACCTGTGTCCTGAGAGTGGACTACCTTACATGACTATCATTACCTTCCTATGTGACGCAGAAGATAATGTGGTAAGTTGCACGCTTTCAACAATGTCAACAATATCATCATTTTTAATAGTATCAAAAATGTTCTTTGTTTCACTTATATCCACACTTCATTAATTAACAATATCTACATTTTCAACAATATTCACATTTTCAACAATATCAAACATTTCCCCGATTTCCCGCGGAGTTTTGCGAAAGTGTTGGCAGAAAAGCACGCTTGCATCCACACTATGTCAAGCCTCCATTTACTGTGTCCATTAATTCCTTCCCCTCGAGGGTTTTACTGTACAATGTACATGGTGAGGCTTGAACTCAAAACCTCTCGTTTTCAAGCCTTACACGCTGCCACTACACGAAAAAACCCCAAATGTCGTGTCATCTCTTTGCTGAAGTACAGTTAGTTGTGGCTGATGGTTTGTCTCCTCGCCCACTTTACTGTGCTATAGATACTTCTCCTCAGACCCATGGTCAAACTGTAATGATATCGCCTCCGCACTTTCTTCTAATGATTCACAGTAGTTGTTGATTGTTGTAGAATGAAAGGTGTACTCGTCGTAATCTAACAGTAGCTCTGAGAGACAGTCCTTCACTTCTTTGCATGTTTGTTTTACGTCAATAGCTGAAATAGAGTTAGGTCTTTAAGATAGCTGAGGTTTTCTCTAAGCTCATTAACAACTCTAAGTATACAGATTACAGATTGGTGATAAAAACAAAATCAAGTCTCAGATTCGCTAACCAACAATAAACAATCTTCCCAATTTCCTAACACCCGAACGAATATCCTTGTTGGTTCAGTTCTACCTAAAGCTATGGTGGCATCGGCACGAATCAAGTCAGTTGTGTACTGAGCTATCCTCTGTTTTTCAGCCTTCGTTTGAATCTCTTCTAGAACTGGTTCCAGCCTGCATTTCTTTATTACCTGCCTCCTTGGTCGGTAACAAGCTCCGCCCACCTTGCGCAACTGCTTTACGTAAATTCTTAAACTTCATGACGGCACAAAATTTAGATTTCAGAAGGTGAAACTGTGAGTTCTAGTCAATAAAGAAACGAAACTGGGCAAATGAGCTGATTTAGGATGTTGGACTAAGCGGGTTAAGTGGGAGCAAAATGGGGAAAATTGAATCTGTTAGTGTGACATGGGATTATAGCTGTATAATGTTGTCCTGTTCAAACTCAATTTCTTGGGATCAACTTTAAACTTGTTAGATCTTACTTTATTCAATTTAGCGTGCCAAACTCTTGTTTGGAAAACCTGTTATCGTGGATTTCAACGCCTTATCGTTATGAATGTAAAGAATTTATAAATTGAACAACATCTTAATTTGAGAAGTTAATCAAGTTAAACAAATTTAACTAACAATAAACAATGTATTAGCAGGCGTAACCAGTGTGTAACTAGTAACTAGTGACATAACCAGTGTGTTAACTGTCTATATTAAATTGCAGAGACAGCGTTTTTAAGAGTTACTGAAACGGTAGTTCTCATCATTAGGACCACAAAATTGTTTGAGAGCGTGAGCTCCCCTCCGCAAACTGGCTAGTAATCACGACGGAAATGAACTTCAAAGTATATTTTTAACTTTAAGTATTGTGAAACTCTGCGGCTTCTTTACTTCTAAGTGATGAAATAATGGGGGAAATCAATAATGTGGTTTATCTCCTCCACTGATTGCGTTTACAGAATCGTTTATGATCCATCTTATTAACAGTTTGTCTTGATGAAGCCGCTTTTAGGCTTTATTAAGGCTATTATTTAAGGCTATTATTTAAGGCTATTATTTAAGGCTATTATTTAAGGCTATTATTTAAGGCTATTATTTAAGGCTATTATTTAAGGCTATTATTTAAGGCTATTATTTAAGGCTATTATTTAAGGCTATTATTTAAGGCTATTATTTTATGCTATTATTTAAGGCTATTATTTAAGGCTATTATTTAAGGCTATTATTTAAGGCTATTATTTAAGGCTATTATTTACCCTATTATTTAGAGTTGAGTGTTTTACAATTAAAACCAGTTTGATTAAGTACACTATTACCGACGTCCATTGTCCAGTTACTATACAAAACAAAATCACGCGCTTTGTTTAACCTCTTTTGACAGCTAAATTTTCAATTATAGAATTATTGACTAAATAATTACATTGTTAAGAAGTTTTTACAGTTTTTAACTGACCCATTCTTGTGCTCCTGAAAAGTTTCTATGAAGGGAAAACAAGCTGAACAGCAAGGAACATGGTTTACCCATTTAACGACTCAATAACGACCAATTAAGTATGGAACATTTATTAATGTTATTGGTAATCTATCAAGCAACATCCTAAGTGGGGGAGGAAGGAGGCGACCCCATTTTTTCTCAATTTTTGGTCAAATGGGTATCGATGGGAATCGGCTCAAAAACAGGTTAAACTTACGTTACTATAAAAATAAGCATCACCATCTTTTTCACCGTCCTCTAATTTAAGTAACTAGCTATATGGAACATGGCATCAGGAATATTTATTTTCGGTTTTGACCGAAAATGATGAAAATGATGACCATTTTGCCCATTTATTCCTCGACTTTTCATTAAATGGGCATGGGCATTGATGGCGTCCCCTCCTCTAATTGATATCATAAAACATCTCACAAATTAATAACATTGAATTCTGAATCATCCAAAGCCCCACTTTCAAATTTAACTTTTTGTCCCAAATTTCTATAACAGGCAGTTTGTCCCACAATACACATTCCTATAATTTTGTCAAGTTAAAACTCGCTACAGTCTCTAAAAGGTTTTATTACGTCTCCTGTAGAATCTCATACTTAGTCTCCCTATCGTACATCATTGTCCCTACAAATCCAACAAAAGAACAGAAAAGAAAGGTACCAACCACAGAGTAGGGGCTCACATAGAACAATAAATAGACACACGCCGTCCCGAGAACGCCCCCTATTTTTCCACACCCGTTAATGAAACCAGTTGCTGTAGATCGGATGCAAGTGGGGAAACTTTCTGGTATCATGATCCAAATTGTGGTATTTACAAAGGCCTCGACAATTTTAGCGATCATTGTTGTTGCAAAAGTGAATGATTCATTAACACACACAAACATTGTTGCTATTGATAGCAACATGATGAAACTTGCCACTCTTAACGGTTTGAGCCGGCCAATGCACTGTGCTAAAATCATGGCCGCTATTGCACCCAAAAGACCTCCTCCAGTGGCGATCGTTAACTTCAACAGATCATCTTGTGTCAGGCTTTGGCATTTGTGTCGTGGTGATTGAGCTGCTCCACACATGTTAGCACTGTACATGAGGGGTAGCCACACTATCAGGCCAAACTCGATGAAAATGTTGCAGAAGTACATGACGGAGAGGGCGATGGTTGACTTTCTGTTGTCCTTGTTCGAGATCTTGGTGTATGACCCCAATTCCTCATCAACAAAACAAGTCATTTGAATGTTTTCTTGTAACTCTTTTCCGTTAAGCTTGGCCATGGTCCTGACAGCTTTCATAGCTTTGTCCTGCTGTCCACTGACACAAAGGAATCGAGGGGATTCGGGAAGAGCAAGAATCAAGATTAAAGCAGGGACTGCAGGAAGTGAGACAATAATGATTAACCAATGCCATCCAACATTCTGTAAGAATATAAATGCCACTCCGCTGACTGCTCCTACACCACCCAAATTCGCTAAACAAAACACTAGGATACCGAAGGCTCGATACTTGCTTTCAGCAAACTCTGTGGTGTAGCAGGCTATGCAGCTGAGATTGATACCGACGCATGAACCAGTCACGAACCTAGTCGCAAGAAAGACCCATTTATTTGGTGATAAGGCGCCACTAATTGCTGCTAATAACAAGAAAAGTGTGGACCATTGAATCACAGTTTTCCTTCCGTATTTGTCGGCAACTTTTCCAAACAGAACAGCAAACAGTGCGTAGGACCCGTATACCGCCATGGTGATAGCTGTTTCAAAAGTTGAAGTTAGTTCCCACTGACACCTCAAAGAAGGCATGATCACTGAAATTAAAGTCAGTTCAGCGTAGTCGGTGTACGCCACTAGCATCACCAAGAGCCAGCACAGATACTGCGACGGACCAACTCCTATCACTTCATAGATCTCGTTTAGTTCAAGCAGCTTTTCACCCGACGCTTGTGAGGTTGACCCATATTCGGTGCTGGTGATGTCTCCATCGGTTGTGATTTCCTTTGTTTCGTCTTCTTCCATCTTTGTTTAACTTTATATATCTGCCTGTGCTGGTTAAAAGTTGAGCATCAGCCAATTTAAGATGTCAAATCGTAGAATGTAACGATCAAAATGTTGTGTTACAAGATACGAGGCAACTATATCAAGGAACTAACATAATAAAGACGAACAGTGAGCATAAATGTATTTTACCACTAATTGATGAACATTATGTGATTTCTATGAGGGAAAGATAAGTTAGAGAAGTAAAAGGAATACTCGACAGTAGTTACACTACTATACATCGGTACACGTACTCTAGTTCGACACGCAATCTAGTTTCACACGTACTGTTGTTCGACAATCCCTAAAGTTCGACTCAGTCGAACTAGACTGCGCTACCTGGACTCTAGTTCGACACGTACTAAAGTTCGACAAGAAAACTTCGGCTGTCGAACTAGATTTCGTGGTGTCAGTAAAATGGCAACAGATACATATTGCAGTAGTGCAAACATGAAGGAGCTTACAAATTCTGCACTCTTAAATATCGTTGTCTTTTGATACCACTTCAGAGTTATACGGGCTCCTGCTTGAAGAATGCAGACAACAAAGCGTTGAAAATAAAACCAAAAAATCAGACATTAATACTAAACTTAGTTGAAATCTTTCAGTCAACTTTATCTACAGCCTACAACCAGCAACCACTACAAACCAAACGGAAGAAAGAAGTATATTAGTCACATCCAGGTCATTTGGCTCATATAACTACAGGCCTGTTATTATGAGTGTAAAGACATTAGACCGGGATCGGACCTTTGATATGAGTTTGCACTTTATACACTATGTACACAACGCCGTTAGTTTCTTTCATAACCTCATGGGAAATGTTTCATTCAGAGCTCATATTTCAGGCACTTGTTTTATCAGATTCAATGAAACGCAATTATAATCTTTAAAAGATGGCACAATTGTTTCTTTTCAACAAATTGCCCTGTGCCTATTTGTTTCTTCACTTCTCTAGACTATAATAATATTAATACCTTTTGTAATTATAATAATATAATAATATGCATTCTGTTTATTTTCGCTCCTGTCATGGGACACTACCAAGACGCAGGGTTGAGGGTTTGCCTGCATACCTGGTTCTGGGGTTTATTAAGACAGACGTTTTATTATGGCTGCGGAATTGCACTATTGACCTTTCACCGCAAGTTTTTGCACCATTGGCATTCGGCCGTTATTCGGTCTATCAGATTTATGTAATCAGGAAAAACAATAAACAGACAGTTTATTATTATTATTATCAGATAGCAAGGTTCATTGATAAAACATCGAATTTCATACTTACAATAATTGTTTTAAAAAGAGGGTGAATCTTGGCAAATGTCCAACTTATCAACTTCAAGCTGGATCACTTAACAGATTGAAACTGAGTCACTTGAGTATACACACAATGTTTTGGAATCTTATATTGTTATAAGACGTTATAAAGTTATAATATTGAGTACTCTTTTTCAATTTGACTCACCAGCTCAACTAGCTCCATTCATCCTGCCCATCTAATTGTTAAACCTTCTACGACAATTCTACATAGATTTATACATCTTGAATTGTCAGGGAACTCAGTAGTCAGTATAAGTAAGACACCTTGTCAGTTAATTGTCGTGTTTACAAAAACAATCGGACCTTTACTGATAGTTGAAATTCGACATATGACGTCATCTAGCGTCATCTAGCGTCATCTAGCGTGAAATATCGCCAGATGATGATAGATGACGCTAGATGACGCTAGATGACGCTAGATGACGCCAATTAGCGACATTGTCGCTAAGTGCACGGCACCTTTCGAATGTCGCTATCTAGCGCTATCTAGCGCTATCTAGCGCTATCTAGCGCTATCTAGCACTATATGACGCTATATGACGCTATATGACGCTAGATGACGCTAGATGACGCTAGATGACGCTAAGCACGCAGCACTGACGCCAGGCGACAGATAGCGCTATTTTCATAAAAATTCTAGGGACGACATCTAGCGTCATCTAGCGTCATATGTTGCCGCGACATCTGACGCTATCTGACGCCATCTAGCGATATCTGACGTCATCTGACGACATCTGTCGCGACGACATCTGACGCAGGCGACATCAAGCGCTGGATAGCGGGATAAGTCAGTTTACGACAGTTCACGCTATCTAGCGCTATATAGCGCCAGATAGCGCTATATAGCGTCAGATGTCGTTGCGACATATAGCGCTAGATAGCGTTAGATAGCGCTAAATAGCGTTAGATAGCGCTAAATAGCGAAGAATTTTGGGTCGTGACAGTCCAGGCTATTTAGCGCTAGATGTCGCTATCTAGCGCTATATGTCGCTGCGTCAGATGTCGTCGCTACATATAGCACAAGATATCATATCCTATCACAGTAACAGTAATCCTAACTCTGTGTGTGTGTGTGTGTGTGTGTGTGTGTGTGTGTGTGTGTGTGTGTGTGTGTGTGTGTGTGTGTGTGTGTGTGTGTGTGTGTGTGTGTGTGTGTGTGTGTGTGTGTGTGTGTGTGTGTGTGTGTGTGTGTGTGTGTGTGTGTGTGTGTGTGTGTGTGTGTGTGTGTGTGTGTGTGTGTGTGTGTGTGTGTGTGTGTGTGTGTGTGTGTGTGTGTGTGTGTGTGTGTGTGTGTGTGTGTGTGTGTGTGTTTTACTGGGACCGTAAGCGCAGCCTGTCTTTTCCCACCCAATCTTTTTTGTTATTTTTATTTTATATGAAAATTAATTTTTACTGTGTATGAAAATTAATTATGATTTAAGTGAGAATGCAAATGATATAACTATAAGCTTGCGCGGCTCGTCGAAGTCACCCAACTATTACACTCGATTTATCAAATATTCGGCTGAGTGGAACAAAATATTAAATATCACTTAATCAAGGGGTCGTTTACATATTATAATTAGGTATATAAAGGGCCTGATGCCGCCGGCCGGGGTTTTCCAAATTATTACGCTCGCTAGTGTGATTGTGACATAATACTAATAGCTTAATAACTATGTATGGAACTGATTACTAACAATGAGGGGTCGTTCACATACCCCGTAATCAGTTTTACCATAGCTATTATATTTATGTCAATATTACACTAGCGTAATCAATAATCATTTAAATTTGAAAACCCCAACCTCCTCAGCTGATTACGTAATACTAATATGTAAACGACCGTCGACCCTTAACATTTCGGGATCGGAAGAAAGCGGCACGTACTATTTCGACGAAATTTATACAAGTTACTAACATCGTTGATTCATGATGCCAATCTTTCACAGCTCAGTGGTGCATTTCGCCGAAAAGCATTATTGGATACCGAGAAGCATTTTTGGATGCGCGGCGCGACACACTCACAGTAACGCATCGCGTTGATTCACGATGTCAATCCTTCACTGTTCATGTTCACAGCTCGGCGAGGCCCAGTCATGGTGCATATCGCCAATTTAGTAACATAGTTGGTCAGTTCGTACAAAAGTCGTAAAAAATTCGTACAGTTCGGCACGTTTTTTCAGTTTTTTTATAGTTTGGGAAAAATTCGCTTCATAAATTTTCGAAATATATAATAAAAAGCTAATTGCAAAAATTTGTGTTAAAATGGCGGGAAACGATGACGTGCGGATGCATGTTAATATTTTAAATCTGAAATGTAACCTCCCGGACAAAAATAACAAATTTTTCGGACTGAAGTGATTACTGATTAAAAAACAAAAATGTTTTTAAAAATTCGGTAAAAATTCCTCGACAGCTTTTTAAAATTTGTACAGTTCGATACCTTTTAAAAGTTTGTACATAAAGTAACGTACTGACCAAGTATGTTTAGTAAAGCACTAGTGGTTGCAAGAAGCATTATATTATTGGCTGCGCGGCGCGGCCCAGTAGTGCATCGCGCTACAACAAACATCGTCAATTAGATTACTCGAAGCTCAAAGCTGTAAAGTATTTATCCAAAATAATTCCGATCCCGAGGATTGTTACTGGGCCGCGCTCAGCCTGTCATTCCGCCAAATCTTTATTCGCCAAATCTTAATGTTTATGAACATGTACATAATTACATGTACATACATAATTACATATACATGTACATAAATAGCCTGGGTCCCCAGGTAAGAGGATTGACATAACTTATAAATTTATAATATATTAATTCTAAATACTGAATGCATCGCATTTTAAGGGTTTTGGTATTTTCGTAGCTAAATTGCACTAAAGCTTTCGCGCTTGCACTTCACACTTGCGCGTAGTTCGTAAACTGAAAACTCGTGGGTACGATATATGTGATTACTGAACAATAAATTCGGCTCGACTCTCATTACATTCTTTTAATAACTTGCTGTGCGAGATTTCAATACTATTAATTTGCAAATGCTAATTTAACATTTAGATCTTTACATCATCTTCTTTCACATAGCCATGTGTCTAAGCGTACTACTAGCGAGAGGGCTATGGTTAGAGCATAAACAGGTTATACTGGACGAAAAATAAAACCTATAACCAACGTTAGATATTTAACCTTTAACAACGTTTTATAATTATATGTAACCTACATACAACTTTAAAATGTAGTTGAATCTTAAACTCTGCTTATAGTTAGTAAGGTAACCTTGATCTGACGTCAAATAATATACGTTTTGCAACGTTAAAAATAAAACTTATAACCAACGTTAGATATTTAACGTTTAACAACTATAGCCATAGCTATAGCTGTCGCCGCGATATCTAGCGCTAGATAGCGCTATCTAGCGTTAACTGTCACAAACCGATATTCTCCGCTAGATAGCGCTATCTAGCGCTAACAAGCGTTATCTAGCGGAGAATGTCGGTTTGTGACAGTTTACGCTAGATAGCGCTATCTAGCGCTAGCTGTCGCCGCGATATCTAGCGCTAGATAGCGCTATCTAGCGTTAACTGTCACAAACCGATATTCTCCGCTAGATAGCGCTATCTAGCGCTAACAAGCGTTATCTAGCGGAGAATGTCGGTTTGTGACAGTTTACGCTAGATAGCGCTATCTAGCGCTAGCTGTCGCCGCGATATCTAGCGCTAGATAGCGCTATCTAGCGTAAACTGTCACAAACCGACATTCTCCGCTAGATAGCGCCAGATAGCGCTAGATAGCGCTAGATAGCGCTGCGTCAGATGTCGTTGCGACATATAGCGTTAGATAGCGCTAGATACCGCTAGATGTCGCAAAAAAAAGGGCGGAAATTTTATGAAAATAGCGCTATCTGTCGCCTGGCGTCAGTGCTGCGTGCTTAGCGTCATCTAGCGTCATCTAGCGTCATCTAGCGTCATATAGCGTCATATAGCGTCATATAGCGCTAGATAGCGCTAGATAGCGCTAGATAGCGCTAGATAGCGACATTCGAAAGGTGCCGTGCACTTAGCGACAATGTCGCTAATTGGCGTCATCTAGCGTCATCTAGCGTCATCTAGCGTCATCTATCATCATCTGGCGATATTTCACGCTAGATGACGCTAGATGACGCTAGATGACGTCATATGTCGAATTTAAACTATCAGTAAAGGTCCAAACAATCGTGTAAGGCAATGTTATATACTACGCTGTTGAATAATCCAACATTAGAGCTTACTATTTACAAAATATTACCGCACCTACATGTTGCCTTTGATGATTGTCGAGATATTGTGAAGTCAATGAAAATTTCTGGCTCATGCGGAGAAATCTTCTGCAATGTTTTAATTATTTCATGAAAACAAGTAAAAAACAAACATACGATATAATACAGATCTTTCATTATTCTATTATTTTATTTTACTCAGTTCATGCAACCGCAAGCAAAAGTTTTAGACATCGTAAAGTCTGAACCACCCTGTATGTCCAAATGTGGGTAAATTCCAAAGATAACTTTACGTTTCTTGAAGAATGACATCCTTGGTCTCCCTGTCGTAGACTAGCGATGTTATGAAAACACCTATAGAACTAAGCAAAAATAGACCTATCACAGAATATGGACTAGAGTAAAACACTAAATACACACATCCTGTTCCTAAAACTCCTCCCAACTTTCCCCAGCCGTTGATAAAACCAGTTGCTGTTGACCGGATGTTTGTTGGGAAGCTTTCTGGTATCATAATCCAAATTATTGCATTGGAACTAGCCGATAAAGTCCTTGCCAATACCACTACCACTAAAGTGACAAAATGATTTACACATATGAAAAGACCTGTAATCCCTAGAATAAGCAGTCCACTTGATACACGTAGAGGCAGCAAGCGACCAACTAACTGTCCAAAAACAAAAGCTGCCACGACACCAAACATGGCAAATGTACTGGCTAGTGTGATCTCGAGCAAGTCTCTCTGAGAAAGAAGCTGACATTTGTGTGCTGGTGTCACCGTCGCCCCACAAAATCCGGAGCTCAACATAAGAGGAAGAAGGACTCCGAAACCAAAATCAAAGAAAATATTGCTGAAGTACATGACTGATAATGCAATGGTTGACTTTCTGTGCTCCTGGTTGATGATCTTAGAGTATGACCCCAAGTCTTCCTCCTCGAAGCAGATCATCCTTATGTTTTCTTTCAACTCTTTGCCATTGATCTTGGCCATAATTCTGACAGCCCTCATCGCTTTGTCCAATTGTCCACTGACACATAGGAACCGCGGGGATTCAGGAAGAGCTAGAATCAGGACTAAAGCAGGGACAGCAGGCAGTGAAACAATCATGATTAACCAACGCCATCCCACATGTCGTAAAAGAAGAAAAGCCTCGGCACTGACAGCAAAAGTTCCAAACCATGATGATATGACAAACAGGGTAATACCAAATGCGCGGTATTTGCTTTCAGCGAATTCAGTGCCGTAACATACGATACAGTTTAAGTTGACCCCGATACAGGCACCAGTCACCAACCTAGTTGCAAGAAAAACCCATTTATTTGGTGATAAGGCGCCACCAATTGCTGCCAGTAACAAGAAAAGTGTGGACCATTGAATCACAGTTTTCCTTCCGTATATGTCTGCAACTTTTCCGAACAATATCGCAAACAGTGCATAAGAGCCATACATTGATATTGTGATGACTGCTTCGAAATTTGCAGTAAGTCCCCATTCGCATCTTAAAGAGGGTAGAATAACTGCCAAAAGTGTCAATTCAGCATAGTCAGAATACGAAACCAGAGCAACTAACGTCCAGTAAAGATATTGTGCAGGACCAAGACCAATATCCTCATAAATCTCGTTGAGTTCTTTAGTTTCTACCTCTGTAGAAGGCTGCCTTGAAGTAGATCCGTACTCTATATCCCTGTTTTCTTCATTTCTCACCAAGATCCTCTCATCGTCTGCCATACTGTATTATGTATATTACACATTCCTTCCTTTAAAACAAGCTAAGAGGAGAGGGGGGGGGGGGCGGAATATTAATTGAAATCAATATTTTCGCTCTGCAGAGGACTCCACAAATTAATAGGGGGTATTTATTTACTCCCGCTGTAGAGGAAAGCAAGTAAACGCAGGGTATGCTATTTGCCAATAACCGAAGGTTTCATCCAAAGACGCTCTGGAAATATATTGACTGTTAGTTTTACAAAAGATTTGGATAACATTGTCACATTGATAACGTTTAAAATTGTTCAAACATTTGAAAGATTGCAACTATTGCTTGCACTAAAAACGATACAATAAAATGGCAATTGAGTTCTTTTAAAATAAAATGATTAATATTATATACTAACACTACATTGCATTGCATGAAGACTTTTAGGGACTATTATCTAGTGTTGTAGTACATAAAAGACGGTTCTGCTCATATTACGAGTGCAGATCATAATAATATATATAATTCTATAAATAAATTTTCTAAAACAAGCAATTAATCCCAATAATTACACAGGGCAGTCCGGAATACCTGTCCAACGTGTCGTGTATCTATAACTTCCTCTGGAGGACCAAGTTTGCGTGTAAGGAGAGAGAGGTGGGAGATAGCTGCACTATACGTGACAGTCAGTCAGGGGAGGTTATCCTGGATCTCACCAGCTTGAAGGGAATTTACACACTTGCTTCTCCAGGTTTGTTATTGTGCAGAGGGAGTGGTTTTTCTTGAAATTGAGATAGTCATCTTGTTGTTTCGTGGCATCTCTACTGAACATCCCTTTTTGAAATTATACTATTTTAATTTTTCAGCTTCAAACTTATATGATAATACAATTTTGTTTAAACTCGATTTTATCCAGGGACAAAAGGATTTCGCGGCGATTTTGGCCAAATTTCGCGATTTCGTACATGCCGCGAAATCCTTTTGTCCCTGATTTTATCCAATTCAGGATCGACCGATAGTTACTCCGTAGCAGTTTGTGAGAAACTTCTAGATAGTGATTGTAAGAAAGATAGTGCAGTGTGTCTGTCAACTACGCAGAACAAACATGTCAGCCTGGGTCTCTACGAGTCTGATACCAGGTACAACTTAGAGATCAGTTACCTGGTTACCTGGTGACCTGGTGACCTGGTTACCTGGTTACCTGGTTACCTGGTTACCTGGTTACCTGGTTACCTGGTTACCTGGTTACCTGGTTACCTGGTTACCTGGTTACCTGGTACAACTTAGAGATCAGTCACCTGGTTATTCTTAGATTGGTCATTTCACCTTGACATTTATTTTTATATATTTTATCGATTGTACCGAGGAGTCTAACAAATATAAGAAACTTGGTTACTTACCATCTTCTCATCTTGATCATAATCTGATGCTATCGCTAGGTATCTTTAAAATATTGACTTCTCTATAATTTCTGATTTTTTGAATCACTAAGTTGTCCACTCCACTGAATACCTCTAAACCTGCCAGTATAGCGAGCACGGGAGTACGCAGCATCACAACCCTAACCTACCTAAACGGGGACGTGTGTACACAAGGAGACGGTTCCTCGGTGCCTTATCGTACTGTTATAGACTTTACCTGTGATAGAGAAGAGGATGAGGCTCCTAGTTATATCGGAACGGTACGTGGTTTTTAATTATTAGTGTTGTGGTTTATTTATTGGTGTTGTGGTTTATTTATTGGTGTTGTGGTTTATTTATTGGTGTTGTGGTTTATTTATTGGTGTTGTGGTTTATTTATTGGTGTTGTGGTTTATTTATTGGTGTTGTGGTTTATTTATTGGTGTTGTGGTTTATTTATTGGTGTTGTGGTTTATTTATTGGTGTTGTGGTTTATTTATTGGTGTTGTGGTTTATTTATTGGTGTTGTGGTTTATTTATTGGTGTTGTGGTTTATTTATTGGTGTTGTGGTTTATTTATTGGTGTTGTGGTTTATTTATTGTTGGTTTTGTTGTTTCCTATTAGTTAATGTCTGCAGTGATATCTATGGAACCCTCCAGACTAGATCTGTTGTAGAAAATATAGATATTGGCCTCGAATGATTTTATCACAGTAACTTCAACTAAATAAAAACGTATGATTTCCAATGTTTTCTTACCTGATCCTAATAAAAGTATGTTTTTAAATCAAAAATATCTAAATCCTTTTCTTCTGCCAGACGGAATGTGAGGTTAGGTTAAAGTTCCCCACACCCCTGGTATGTCAACAAGACGTCACATCTTGTGAGATCATCAAGGATGGTCACGTGATCGACCTCTCCTCTCTCAGCCATTCTCCTCAGTACCTGGTGAGAGTCTGCTGCTATTTTAGAGTCTTTAGACTTGACGAGCTGCTACAACGATAAAATTTGATATCCCCAGCGTCAGTTCACCTTTTGTGATGTATCACATTCCTGTTATTGACAAACCACTCTGATGCAGGTGTCCAACAAGATCCCGCTAGATGGTTACATATACCTGGCAGTGTGCCAATCCCTCCCCAACACTGGAGCTATCCCCTGTTCTGGTAAATCTGCTGCTTGTTACGCTCAAAGTGGTGGAGCTGGATCTACGGTTAGTGGTTTTAAAGCGTTATTTTTAAAGAATTATGCTGGTAATAGTTATCATTATATAGGGGGCTCGTGGTCCCCCAGCATAGCAAACCTGTGTTTTATTTGTTAATGTTCTAAGAAATTCTATAATAGAGTCAGTAGATACAAAAGTAATATACTTTGATAATCAACAATTTAATATTTCCCTTTTAACTAACACCAGCATAACAATAATCAAAAGTCCTTCAAACACCCCCAATCTTCAGAGGCAAAATTTCAGTGCAGCAAAATTTCACAAAATGTGCTTAATGCTTTAATCTGCAATCTTATACCCTTCTTTCCTCCAGACTATAGGACAGGTAACAGGACCGCTACAGCTAGGACCTGACGGTAACCCTGAACTACTGTACACGAATGGTGAAGTGTGTCCTTCTGGTGGGTCCTATAGTACCAGGATAACATTCCTTTGTGATAGAGATGCCCCTGTGAGTTGTTCAAACTGCCAAACTATCATTATTTTTTGTTGAAACTTTGGCAGCTTTTTGGAGATTTTGTTTTTGTGGAAGATTTTGGTTCAAATTATATTTTTAATTTTTTTTTATTTGAAATTGACCTGATTTTTCCCTCAGAGTATACCGTATCTGGTTGAAGTAGATGGGTGCGAGTACAAAGTGTCGTGGTACACAGACCGGGCCTGCGTGTCATCTGATCCTATCCCTGTACTCGGCTGTAAGGTATCTGATCCTGACACCAGATTCTTGTACGACCTCACCACTTTGACTCTCTCCCAGGAGTACTATCAGGTTAGCTTGGTTCAGTCCGGAGATCCTCTTTCAGGATCTTGTTCTAGAAGACGGAATTTTACTTTGCCTGCACAGATTATACACATTTTCACAAATTATTTGCACTCAATGGAAAAACTGTTCGGTTCATTAAATTCGTTCGGTAGTCATATATATACGTGGGAATTTTTTCAATTTGATGGCGATCGCACTCACCTTTATTTTGTTGCAAAACATAGTCATGAAGGTGTGGTACGCTTCTTAAAGCAGAAATAACAGTACAATTCTGTGCACTAATGCCATGATGCTACAAGAAACATGATATCATTGTGCTTCTGGAATGCCTTATAAGGTAGTCATGACATCACTTCAAGATAGGTTTACCATAAAAGGCAGTTTAAACATTGCGCAAATCCCTGTAATTGATTCATCACATCAAAATCAGATCATAATCTAGTGATCTCATAGATTATGATTCGATTTTAGACCCAATTCATGAAAATGACTAGATTCGTGGAAATGAAAAATATTATTCCGTTAAATTATTGAGTTTATTAGCTTCAAAATGACAGGCTTTCTTTAATATCTGTGTAATCAGTATTTGAAATTTTCTGTGAAAAAGTGAAGAGAAGTACATCGAGCTCAACTCTCTAATATTAAGAAGTTCACTTATTTCCATGGAATTTACTCAGTCTAATGTTTAATATGAGTACCAGCTATTTTGCAGCTGCAGCATTTCCTGAGGACAAATATTTAGTTCCTCACAAGGAGCCAACCTTATTCTGACTCAATGTTAAATAAGATATTTGATAGTGGGTTAGAAGGTAAGAATCTTCAGTATGACCTATTTTTGAAGAAGTCCTCCGAGTTCCTAGATATAGATCACTTCAAAATAGTACGTTTTTTTTCATCTATTAACACCGCAGAAAATAAGGGTTATATTTCTGGCGATTTAAGGTGCTGTTTTTATTGTAAACCCCGTGAACTTCAGAAAAAAAGACAGTGGATTGTGGAATGATCTAGACTTCAACTGTAAACTTAAGAAAAATACAAAATAAACTGCTATTTCAGACTTCAGTAGCAGTGGGAGATAACAATGTTTACATAACTGCAAATGTTTGTGGGGCGGTAAATACTTGTGGTCCTGATATTGCTGTTTGTGCCCAGAGCAACGGTAAAACTGTAAGTAAAACTTATGACTCATTTAAATTATAACTCCCTAGCTGTCTACCAAACATACAAAATATTACAAATTAAAAGTCCCTATTTTTATATTTTGTTTAAATGGTCCCATTATTTTAGGTATCCCTGGGTAAAGTGAGCACCGCCTCCACAGAACTAGCACAAGAGAAGGGAGAGGTCCAGATAATGTACACTGGTGGAACCAACTCAACTAAATGTAAGTTTTGGCAAAGTTACCCACTCATGTTCCCTATTCAAAGTACACTGCTCAATGCTCATACATTGTACTTAAGCCTTCATTACTAGGGTTTCCCGAATAGGGGAATATTTCGCTATTGTCTTGTGATTTGTATTAGAGTGTACGGCAATATAAAAGCGATACATAAGCTAAATACTAAATACATGGACATAGCCCCTCCCCTCCTCCCGATAAGAGGTAAATTGTGTGCCCAAAACCCACCAACTAACGTTCTCAGGTCCACAAGGAAAGAGCAGCAAGATACTGATCATGTGCTGTCGATCACAACTTGATATGGAGCTCCTGACAGTCAGTGTAAGTTATGATTGGAACTATCTCGCCTATATCAGATTACATTCATGGTAATCATAATAGACGTGGTTAATAGTGGGGAGGTCATGCATATAATTCACCTTCCAACAGCAGCCATTCAGCCAATGAAATCCTTGAATAAATGTCATATAAGTGTCAAAAACAATATGGACTCCCCACCAAGTTTATTAATTATTTATACGGAGAAAATACATAAACCGCCGACTGATTTTGTGTGTCGTTATTATTTTTCAGATTTAGGAAAGATTCATGACATCCTCGCTTGATTTAGTTCTTTCCTTTTTCAGGATGACGGATGCCTTTACTCATTCAGCCTGTGCTCTCAAAAGGTGTGTCAATTCAGTCCCAAAGAGTGTGTTTTCAAAATAGGTGGGGTTGTTTACGATTTCGCCCCTCTTGCACGAAGGAACGATAACTGGCTGGTCGAACAAGAGGACAGAACGTTAGTCATAATTTATAGTTCCGTAATGAAATACCGATAAAAGAGTGGATCAGTTGCAGCGGACTAATTATTTTAAATGGGTTTCGGATTATCTGGTTTCGGGTTCTGTGAAATTCAGCGCGTGCCGTACAGCGCTGTAAAAACTAGCAAAATTTTGTCTCAAATGTAAGGAAAGTTAATTTGTCCCATTTCTTGAAGTCACATGTTTGAGCTATACTAGCTAGTACAATACAGTCGCGCGCACGCTTGAAATTTCTCACCTTTGGCCGGATTTCGCTGAAGTGTATCCTTCGACTTATATGCTACAAATTACAATAAAATCATCATTACAGGTTCTCCATTAATCCATGTAGGGGTGTACATTTGGATTCCAAGATGTCTGGGTGTACTGAAAACAGCATAGCATGTATGTCAGAGAAATCAGTCCTTGGCAGTCTGTCTCTGGGTCTCGTGAGTAACAACAAGTTATTGACCCAATTGGTCGCCTGCCATGGTCACTGTGTTTATCATGTGAGGTTGTATTGTTCTAGAACGTAATTACGTGCACTTTAGAAGCACGCCAGTCGCCTTCTGTACATTAGTGATAATGAAACCTCGTGAGCTTTATTCTTTATGTATCATCTCATTATTCTTGGCTCATGTGATGAGACTAACGGACTTTGACTACGTGACTCGTGAGGACCATTACTGTTTAATTATTACAAAAATAGTCAACCGTAGTAAGTGCGTGGTTCTCAAGTGTTAAGTTCAGCTCTACTGTTGTTCGTATCATGGTGTGCGATTGAAGTGAACTGAATAGGTTTAAACACAGAAGCAGTGAAATGTAGCTGAAACTGGTAACCCTAGACTCTATCATATCACTCCCACAGATTGAAACTAGAGTACAAGCCCCCGGTATCGGTCCTAAAGCCTCCGAGATAGCCCTACGTTACGACAGTGGTTCTGATCAGGTCTGCTCGAGCAGGTCTTCTAAAACTGAGCTGTTGTTTTCCTGTGGTAACTCCCTCGGAGCTCCAGTCTTTGTGGACGACAGGTTTGTGCAGCTAGACTTGATAAAATATGTGGGGTTTATGGCAAAGTTTAATTACATTTTCGTTTAGGCTTCCAAAATAGATTTCTTGATACAATTTGTTGCAATTTCTTGTTAATACTGCACTGTATTAAAATACAGCTACAACCATAATCTTTAGCTCAACCCAATAATGAAAACATCTCTCCTCTTCCAGTGATTGCATTTATAAGTTTACCTGGAGCTCGTTTGTTGCCTGCAACGCCAGCACACGTCCCGTTGTCTCCAAGACCTGCAAATACCCCAACCCACTCACCAAGGACCTTGTGGATCTGAAGCAGATGGCAACACATCACTATAGCATCGCCAGTGTGCCATACACGGTGCATTTTGCCAGATGTGGTGATTTGTTGGGTGACGGGTTGGAGGAGAAGCGATGCAGTGGGAAGAAGGTGTGTGTTATTGATCAGAGGAACAATAAGGTTCTTAGTTTTGGAGGTTCTGAAGACGGAGTAGAGATCTTTGCTAGAGGTTTGTGGATTCATCTGCTATGTGAATCGTGATTGTTATTTTGTAAGGTACACTCATTTTCATTTTATCTCGTGATAAACGTTCTGCTTTGAATAAGGGAAATGCATATAAAGTATCAGATACCAAGATTTGTTACGATTATGGAATGATGACTATCATCAACTAGATCATTCTTTTATTTTTTAAATTTTACTTTCTAAAATTGACAGCTCATCTCTTTCTCTCCTTAGACGACTCATCCGAACAAATCATCAAATCAACCGTCCCGTGTGAGGACAGTGAAAGTAAGAGCTGGCAGGCTATAATAGAATACACGTGTGGTGTGGAGGAGACAGCCTACTTCAGGGGCATGTCTCATTGTCACGTGTTACTTGGTGTTTCTACCCCTCTCGTCTGCTCCAGGTTAGCGAGGCATAATCACCTGTTCTTGGTGCTCTTTTACATGATATTTAATGGCGGTGAATACACTGGGTGAGTATCACCAAATGATAAAACAAGAAGACTGAGTGGTACCGCGGTAATACCTGCTGACTGCTGAGTACTGGGTGGTACCTGCTGAGTACCGAATAAGTAGTTAATCTAACCTTGGAACCCCTCAGTTACAAATCTAGAACTACACACATGAGTTTTCTGTTAGCGGTAGTGCTACTGTTGGCAGCTGTGTTCCTGGCTCTAATTCTCCTTTACATCTGCATCAACCCTAATAGACGGTTAGTCGCGATTATATTAAGATTAAGTGACTATTTAATGGTTATTTTGGCACGTTTTACAGTATACTCAGGTGTTAGTGGTAGATTATATCCCTCTTCTTTTTAGGGATAAGGTTTTCAGAAAGATCAGGTCGATATTGCCAGTTCGCGGATCCAGAGCTCAACCGATGGCTTACAAAAGGGTGAGTTAAGAATATACTTTGTGAATTGGTTGATTTTTAAAAATTGTGTACTCATTACTCAAGGATGTATAATGTATATGTAACTTGTACTTTACGTTTTCGTTAACGTTATCCATGTAATATGTGTAATATGTTTAATATAACTTATGGTTAAGTGTGTTAAATTCCCCTTATAAGTTGTATCAAATATGTTCAGTGTACATCCGATTCAATCTATGACGTAAATATGTTTAGTCGTTATTTAATCGTGAAAAGGGGTAGCCGAAATTTAACATAATATCTATTCAATGAAACAATGTAGGTGATGATTGATATGAAAGACCAGGAAGCTGAGAGTAACATGGCTTGCGATTTTTGAGTGGACCGGTAGGTAGCGGCACTTGTTCTGCACGATGATTGGTTCCTTGCTGGCACACGTGACATGTGAATGTACTGTTCTCGCTAAAGCATGTTGCTGGTTAATGTTATCTTGGGTACGATTTCCAAGCAGTCTGACATTAACTTGGAAACTTTCATTAATTCACAGATTATTTCGGTCTGGACTGGCCGTGATTAATCTCAAAAGCATGACCTCTCCAGTTCTCCCTTTTTCTTGGTTTCTTATTTTAAACTTTGTGACTCCTTAAAAAGTGAATAGGTACCTTATATATCTGATTGTTGAGTTAAATGTTGAATGTTGATTCACATTTCACACTTTCCACACATTGTTGTCGCTGCAACTGATTATTGATTATCTCTATTTAATTCAGGTTTAAGCATACTTCTTGTGGATTGATTGCCAACTTTCTAAATTGTAAATATGACCAGCACTTATCCAACACTACCTCCCACCTGTCTAAATTACGTCCTCAATTTCAGCTGCGTATGAACGACGATACAGTCGATAAATTCTTCTCGGACTCAGAGTCAGACGAAGATATCGTCCCTCTATCAGACCTCGTCCCTCTATCCGACGAGGAACTCCTAGGATTGTAGCTCCATCCATCCCTTTACCAAGCAACCGAGGCCTGACCTAGCAAATCGCCACTGATAGTGGTACTCTATATGACGATGGGCAGTAGCAACATTCCCCAGAACAGCTGTACTATATCGGTGGTGTTATCAAATCCCCAAATCCCCTCCTTCAGAATCATCGTATTTGTATCGATCACGTGACCTGCAGATTTACATAATTGACCTATTAGTGGACATTGTACCGCATGTGATGCTGAAGTTTAAAAGCTGAGTCCCAGCTGAATATCAGACAAGTAGCCGGCTGCCGGGCTGCTGCTGTTGACGAGAGTAGTTATGATTGGACGCTGGTCGTCTTGTAACCGTTCATATTGAATTGCAGCCCTCATTGTTCTGATACCATGACAATTGTTGTGTACGGGGTGTTTTATTTTATGCTTGGTAGTATCTAAAATAATGTACAAAATTTTTTTATTTGTGGTGTGCTTTATCTTTTGCTGGATCAAGGTTTTTTGAAGGCTGATTTTGTAAAAATTTTGTATCTCGATGTGTATTAATGGAAGGTTTGGCTTGTTTGTGATTTTTGCCTTTGATTAAATTATTTTCTTATCTTCTACAGTAAATGATGAATGAACAGGCAATAACCAGACATCAGCAAACAGTTTTGTGCAGTTATTTATGAGTAGCTGTGTCCCATTATAGTGTAAGTTTTACTTTGCTCTTGGTTAATTTGTCTTTTGGGTTGTTGTTATTTGATGTGTTATTGTTAGTGAACTTTAAATTATTACGATTCAAGTACATGGCAATCCTATCTTGATTTTTGCTGAAATTTTGCTCGTTGACTATTTATGATTATTCACAGCTCAATCACTTGGAGTTTGCTTTCCCCTAACAATGTTATAACATATGATGTTTGATTTAAAATCTGACATCAAAATCGTTTTGTCGACTGCTCATCTAAATTTAAATCTAGTCTTAAAGATATTTTAGACAGATGTTTAATTCCTGATATAGCTGAAAGTAAATGTGTGTAATTACTCATAAAACATTAAATGCAAAATAGTGAGTAGTAAATTTCCATGTTTGGTTGTGTTTTTGTAATACTAATTAATAATGTTAAGATGGTTGTTCGATTTTGGAACATTTTATAATTTTAACGGTAGAATTCTTATTTCTTCCTGGTTCATGCATCATGGAAAACTGAAAAAATAAGGACCGACTCACGACTGCTCCATGCTCATAACTCGGCCATTTTTTAACAACAAATAATCTGGATGAAAATTTATATATAATGTATAAGCTAGGTTTTGCAAGGCGGCAGGTCTGTCATTCCGCCAAATCTCTATTCGGGCTGAGTAAATAACGACCTCCATCGCGCTGAAAAAAGTGCGGATGCTCATTGGAAGTTAGTGTGCGCGTGACCAATATTCACGTGATCGTTTAGAATCAATTGTGGCCTCGAAAAAACCACGTACACGCTAACTATCAGTATCAATTGGAAAGAAGTGAAGAATACGCTACAAGAGCCGCGCGCTGAGTTAGATTGTAATATTTGATTATTGGGTGGTAAAATCGAGCGATGCAAGTGTCATGACTACCAGTACCTCCCAATCCTCGATTCATGCAACAGTAATGTTTTCGCCGTATGTGGTTGACGGAGGTTACTCGTCTAAATTTCTTCGAAGTAGCGCGCACCGGGCCATACCATTAACAATGGTCAACGTATGTGGTGTCGACTTTTAATTTCAGTTTCACTTTTGCAATTCTTTCGATTTTGCCTAGGTCTAAAAGGAAGTACACTATTGACTATGAGGCGCAAAATTCAAATCACAAATTCACTCATCACTCATGCCGTCATGTGCTTTTATGTTTTTTCGACGAGATATTTCTCAGTATTTTGTTAAATGTTGGAGGACTTCGACGCGCCGCGCGAACTAGCATTCTTGCATCGTCGATCGTTGCTCTGCTTCGCAGAGCAACGATCTCGATGGGTTGACATCGTCAACCAAGTTAAATGTAGTTTTATTGCTTGGAAAAATACATATTGTAAGCAATCAGCCTGAAATTTGAGAATCTGTTAGTTTATTAGTCTATGAGGATGGATGCAAAAAATTATTGTTTTAGCTTAGCTTCATGAGAAATTACTAAAAATTTGAAAAGTTCTTAATATTTGTTGTAGGTTTCATGTAACCTACCAGGACGCGCGCCGAGTTGGACTCGTCGACGGTCCAATATATGGCACAGATATTTTACGAGTATCACCCGTCAAAATATTTGTTATTTTACGTAGTTTTTTGTTGTCATACGTTGTAATTGTATCAAATATGGCACATTACATACATAGGCGAAATTAATTAATTATTCCGAAAAGGTTTACCTGGGACCTTGACCATTGTTAATGATCTGGCCCGGCGCGCGCTACTTCGTAGCACTTGCCATCGAGAAGAAAGCGGCGCGCGCTACTTCGAAGAAATTTAGACGAGTATCATCCGTCAACCTGGGACCTCATGTTGTGGGTTTACAACCTACCAGGACGCGCGCCGAGTTGGACTCGTCGACGGTCCTGTATATGGAACAGATATTTTACGAGTATCACCCGTTAATCTTAGTACATACACTTTGCCGCGCACAAGTGCGCGGCTGTATTGTGGCTTTCGCCACGATACAATTTCGCCACTTAGTGAAACGACAATGGGCAATGGGGGTCACGACGTGATAAAGAACAAACGGACTTGGAAATGCAAATGGAATATATTTGGAATAAATATTTTACAAGTGTCACCCGGCCGTTAACGTTGTACTTGTCATGTAGCACTGGGCGGCGCCAAGCTGCGAAAGATTGATATCGTCATTCGTCAATTAAAATATTACGTACTCAGTTAGCAGCTAGGAGTACAGTTGTCATACGTTGTATGACCCGCCGCGCACGGAGTGCGCGGCTCCCCCTGTATCGTCAGGACGATAGTGAAACGACCGTGGGGGTCGCAACGTGATACAAAAGTACAGTACGTAATGCGTTTTTCATTTTAGCTAAACGTTATAATTGATGATTGACGATGTCAATCCTTCGCAGCTCGGGCTTGTCATTTACTTGTTACTGGGCGGCGCTCAGCCTGTCATTTCGCCGAATCTTTATTCTTTATTATCAATTATGTTTATGAACATAATATAGCCTGGGGTCCCCAGGTAAGCTTGTCATACGTTGTACTATATTATTATTAATATTATGACCCGCCGCGCACGAGTGTAGAAAACGCCACAGCCACAGGGGTTGTTTCAAACTTGGTGTCGTTTCACACTTAGCATTGCTTAGTGAAACGACATTGGGGCCGGCGGTCACGACATGATACAAGCTCGGGCGGCCTAGCCCAGTGCAACTGCAATGCACAAATACAATGGTGCATCGTACCGATCTAACGAGAATGGAGAGAAATTATTTCATATTTGATGCGCAGCATCTAGCATGACTGCCATGACGTACGGCCTAGTAGTACTAGTAGTACTAGTAGTAGTACTACTATTAGTATTACTGTACTATTACTAGTAGTGCATCTGCCACACCATTCTTGTAGGTTAATAATAATACATTATAGCGCAATGCACTACTGGGCCGCGCATCAAATAATGTTTCTCGCAACATGAACAACTTTGTTAGATCGGAAAAATGCACCATTAGACTAGCTGGGCCTCTTCGAGCTGCGAAAGATTAACACCATGAACCAAGTTAATATTAATACGTTATCATCAAACATATTAGTAATAGTATTACGTAATAACTGAGGGGGGGGGGGGGGTTCCAAATCCAATTAAATGATTACGCTAGTGTAATTTTGATTGATGACGGCGCACGACTTGGTAGGTTGTAAACCTACAATTTGAACTTTAAGGAGCAGCTCTTCCTCTTATTCTTAATACAGTTATATTAGATTCCAAATAGTAACACTGAACACGATTGACGATGAACTTATCGAGGCAACCTAAATAAAATCGAATTCTCTCGATAGGTCCAGATAATGAATCTATTTGAATTTCAGTTTAATACATGATAAGTTATATGATAAAAACAGAAATTAGGGTGGAAATGTGAACTGGTTTTGTAATAATTTCAAGAGATAAACATTGTTAATGTTAATATTGGGAGACATTTTTCGATTGAATATCTGTACCCGCCAACCACCACGTGTTAGTTCCAAAATGTGAAATCAGTACGAGCACGTATTTTATACGTACTTCTCGTGATCGTTTGTGTGTATATCAGCTTATCAGCCCTGTACTTATATTAATTAAGATCTCCCTTAACTTTGTGTGCTATTTCAGCCTCCCCCGGCTTAAATTGAACGCAGCCTTTACATTTCAGTCACCTTCAAAAACAGATAAACAAATAATTGGGTAGTTCACATTGAAAGTGAAATTTAAATATTCAAATATCGTTACACAGTCACTTATTTATAGTTCAGTTCAGTATACATCACAGTTCAGGTACTATATATCTGTAACACAAATACACACTCACCACTTACACAGGGTATGATTACAATACATACGATACCATACTATCAATATATTCAAAAGTAACTTAACTGTAAACCTTAAAACATGCAGTAAATAAACTTTATTGGCGGTCGATATAAGTTGATTTTAAAGGAAAAAGTTGATCTCGGTCATCAGTTATACTTATAGTTATAGTCGTATGAAATTATAGAGAAATTTATCTTTCAAATCAAACGTTATATTTTACATTGAGGTTTGATCTGGTTTTGGGATTGCATGAGGGCAACATTTTTGAGATCTAACAAAGGGTAATAAAAGAAGAATGTTAAAGTTCCATAATAAGTCACGACTTACTGTAAATTAATAAATCAATCATTTAAGAACTTATCAAAATAGATATGTAGCACATGATAAAATGAAGAGCTACGCAAAAACTGTCCAAAATAACTGATGAAATATCAGTATAGATCTCATAATGTCTAAAATTAAACACACCCATGATAAACGTACAGAATAAAGAAATTGCTGATAATATCATAATACTAATAAGCCGAACCAAAATTATCAATTCACTGTAAAATTGTAAAAAGAAGCACGAATGATTATTATGTTACATGGCGATAATAACTCTAAATCAACCTCAGCTGATCAGAGCCAAACACAACTGATCAACAATTCAGTTGTGAAGCTCATTTCAACGCAAAACATTTCAGTTTCGCCCAAAACAAGGAGCGGGCCCGACAAATGTGTCGGTAATCAATTACACAAGATTCGTTAATTCTTCTGGGTTCACTCAATTCCACACCACTTGCTTTCTTACTTCCTGCGCTTGCGTACGTACACTCAGACTCACAGCTCCTTCATCAAAACAATTCACCAAACAGCTAATTACAGGCCCATTATCACCGACAAATCACCGTACATAATTAGTTATTAGTATTTACTGATTAGTAATTAGCAGTTACTAATTACCAGGGGCTCAGTATTCTGGGTTCTCCAGACTGAGGTTGGTCGGCATGGACCTGTGTCTCTTGACGGAAGTCAGGGTGTTGGCAAGGTCGGTGGTGCTCAGTGTCCGTTTGATGGGGATGGTTTTGCGGGGTGATTGGAGGATCTTACAATCGCAGTTGTCGACACCCGATCCAAAACACGTGATCTGTTGGGTGGTGGTTGGTTCCGGGTCCATGACTAACACAATCGCGGTTATGTTGTCTGCTCGCCACCTGGAGAGACACATTTTAAAATGTGTAATGAAATGATGATTCTCAGATATATTCGACTATCATGAACTATAAATAGCCCTTCTCCCACTACTCCCAATTCCCTTAGTCAGACACCCAAACATCAATTATAATCTCACCCAGCACCCTCCAAGCTAGACGATACCTCTTACCCAAGTCTACTTAAAATCGTCAGTTCTAAACTAGGCTCTAATCGTCAGTTCTAATCTAGGATCTAAACCAGGCTCTATACCCTAGCAAGTAGAACTGGTTCACTTACCCTCGATCGTTCCATCGCCGGAGTGCCTCGAACACAAGTCTCCTAGCTACATCTTCGTACATCTGTTTGGAGTGTACAAAGTTCGTTACTTCTTCGTTCGTCATCACGTTCCAGATACCGTCACTCGCTATCACTATGTATCTGTGGGTAATTGGTGATTAATTGGTGATTAATCGGTGGACAAGTGGTGGACCTTAACCGTGTAACGAAGAATAAAGATGCACATACAAGGTCATGGGTGTTGGGTGTTGGGTATGTATACCATTAACATACGTACGACTTCTTCATGTCATGTAGAATGTTTAGTATGCTCATATCATGTTAAATAGTTTTGTCCACTGAGTACTGAGAACAAATCCCGTGCTGACTGTTGAATGTTTTTGCGCGGGATATTTGAACTTTGTGCGTTACATAGCTGCGAGGAAGTAAAACTGGTCATATGACAGTCACGTGACGAAAAAGCGCGTGTAACTGAAGTTGATGAGAGATGTTACCTGGCGTTGAGGTGAGCACTGATTTGTTAAATTCTGGTATAATTAGCGAGCAGTGAGTACATGCAGCACAGTTCAAGACCCGGGTGCTAATGTGAGCCAATGACAAATGTGTACACTTTAGAGCCGTAACTTTCGGTTGTTGGTCGTCAGCCCCCGTTGTGAGGCATTAGTACCCCTTTTTATGAACAATCAAGGTTTGCTCACAGTGCGATTACGCCGTTTTGGGCGATACCACTGCGGCTGAAACTAAGAGACATGCACCCTAAGGGTAACTACAGCAACCAATCAGGATCCCCAATTTAACGCACGTGACATTAACGACCAATCAGATGTCATTATGATGGTCACGTGGTGCCGCTCGCACCAGATGGTAGATAATGATGACTGTGTGTGGGTGTAATGAATGGAAGGGGGACTGTAGATCAGTAATGAAGTGCAGGTTTGTATAGAAATAGAATGCCCACTTTTTTAGTGAGATGTTATTGTCATCATGTGATTAAAGCGCGGCAAAACAGTCTCCTGTAACCAATGACTAAACACTAACAAACAATACCTCAACACTTACTAAAAACTGTACAATGAAACTTTCTCGAAATTATGTGAAAACTGAAAACTTTCTTTCACACTTCCAAAGAGAAGTCAAATTTTTAAACGCAGTTTTAATACGGTATAAGTACATAGCATTTGAGTATATTATCAGCTTTAAGTTGGAGTACGCAATTAACGTTGAAACCATTGTGGTAAACTACTTACAAACAAACAGATAAACAGACAATGTACAAACAGACAAAATACAAACAGACAAAGTACAAACAGTTGGTACTGACCTGTCTACTCCATGATTCAGGTCTCTGACACAGATATCGGGCTCCGGAGAAACAGTATATTTCTTGGTAAAGTAATCGTAACTCCACAGATTTCCCAGTGCTCGGGACACGGCTAGAAACGGTACCTGAGAAGAAATTTGGTCAACTGAGGTCGGATGACGCTGGAGGGGGGAGAGGGGGCCACGCTGGAGGGAGGAGAAGGGGCCACGCTGGAGGGGGGAGAAGGGGCAACACTGGAGGGGGGAGAGGGAACCACGCTGGAGGGGGGAAAGGGGGCCACGCTGGAGGGGGGAGAGGGGGCCACGCTGGAGGGAGGGAGAGGGGGCCACGCTGGAGGGGGGAGAAGGGGTCACGCTGGAGGGGGAAAGGGGGCCACGCTGGAGGGGGGAGAGGGGGCCACGCTGGAGGGAGGGAGAGGGGGCCACGCTGGAGGGAGGGAGAGGGGGCCACGCTGGAGGGGGAGAGGGGCCACGCTGGAGGGGGAGAGGGGGCCACGCTGGAGGGGGAGAGGGAGCTACGCTGGAGGGGGAAAGGGGGCCACGCTGGAGGGGGGAGAGGGGGCCACGCTGGAGGGAGGGAGAGGGGGCCACGCTGGAGGGGGGAGAAGGGGTCACGCTGGAGGGAGGGAGAGGGAGCTACGCTGGAGGGTGGAGAGGGGGCCACGCTGGAGGGGGGAGAGGGGGTCACGCTGGAGGAGGGAGAGGGGGCCACGCTGGAGGGAGGGAGAGGGGGCCACGCTGGAGGGGGAGAGGGGGCCACGCTGGAGGGGGAGAGGGAGCTACGCTGGAGGGGGGAGAGGGGGTCACGCTGGAGGAGGGAGAGGGGGCCACGCTGGAGGGAGGGAGAGGGGGCCACGCTGGAGGGGGAGAGGGGGCTACGCTGGAGGGAGGGAGAGGGGGCCACGCTGGAGGGAGGGAGAAGGGGCCACGCTGGAGGGAGGAGAGGGGACCACGCTGGAGGGGGAGAGGGGGCCACGCTGGCCAGTAGACGTGGGTACTAGCTGGTGCCAGAATCGACCATTACAGACAACATGTGTTAAATCTTTAAATGTAAAACAAACTTATACTCCTTCTCTTAACCCATGGTTAATTTCTGTAAAACTGGTCAGATGAAAAGACAGGAATTGATCAGTGATATCATGCCCGGGCAAGTTTTAACACATGTGCATTTATCAACACTACAAATTGAGAAGACTCTGTGAGAGCGGCGTGCCTGTTTTCTGGCTAACAACACTACCATATAAGTGGAACCACCAGTTAACAAAATAAATATTGGGTAACTGATAAAAAAGGGAGGAGATAATGATGTGACCAGAGTAAAATAACCTACCACTTCGAAGGTGGTACTGCGTCTTACAGGGCCCTTGTGAGGCTGTCTGACCCGTTTCCAAGCGACCCTGTGGACTGAGCCCCTCTTCTCAACCCTCCCTCCGTGTAACTCAATCCTAGCTTGTTCCTGGGGAGCGTTCGGCTTGTGTTCGTCTGTTATCTGTACTGTTTTCAGTATGGACAAATCTGAAATGTTATCAGCTGTTAGGATTAAGCGGGTACAGGTCACACATTTTACTTTTGGAAGGCAACGTAAGGACGTAGGATCACAGCGTGGCTAAGTAAAAAGAGTTGATGATAAACTAATAAAATAAACGTTCTATGCGGTGAAAAGGTCATGAGTAGTGAGTACACATTTTTTATTGATACCGGTATTTGTCGAATAATACGATTCACGTACTCTAGTTCGACACGTACTCTAGTTCGACAACTTAAGTTCGCCAGATATCACCCCTGTCGAACTTCGGTACGTGTCGAACTAGAGTCCAGGTAGCGTACTCTAGTTACTCAAAGTGAGGTATGTGGTAGATATTTACATAGCGTAGTCTACAATCTAGATCTATTAAACGGAGTACGAGTTACCACGATATTCTTTTATCTCTCCGCTAAGTCTACAATTCTGCTAACTAACAATTGAGTCGGATGTCAATTAAATGTTCATAGATATGGTCAAGGATTATAGAGGTTACATTCACACATAGTTGAACAGCATGAGAAAAGTGGGGAAAAAACAAACGAATAGATTTCAAGCTCGTAAAAGATCGCTGCTTGAGATCGGAGATTTCAAAACTCTAGTTCGAAAGTCGAAGTTATCTTGTCGAACTTTAGTACGTATCGAACTTGAGTACGTGTACCATCATTCATAATATACTGCATAATATTACACATTCTGGCGTTTGGTTTTAGGAATGGATAATGGATAATGGACAAAGAATTTACAATTTTCTCGTTAAACATATCATTGAAACAATGCGGAAGTAAGAATTTATTTTCACAAGTTCTCGACGCTTGTATTTAAAAAAGTTGAGTGTAAAATACCCAGTGAGTCAGCATGAGTGAAATATTTTTGGTAAATGGAACTTGAATGAACCGCCATTTTCATTTTCAATGGAAAATTGATAGCTCAACCTGGATCTACTGAATTCAATTTCCCTTTCACCAGTTAACGACATCAAATTAGATCATGTAGCCCAAACATAGTCATTAAACTAATCAGTGATCTCCAGGACTCCAACTTGTGCATTCCAGTAAAATGACGCAGATATTAACCGATCAGTCTCCACCAAATTTCAAACAATAAACAAAATTTCCAGGAAGGAAGTGTACATTTTACATTTCAATATTTTAATGTGCCTCCCAAAATGTAGGTCAACAACTCAACAGTCAACACACGGTGGCAGGATTCTTCATCGGTTCAAGACCGGTGAAATTAACCGTGACATTCTTATCAGGAATGTGATAGCTAAGTATGGGTACCGTTACAAAACAGTCTAGAACAATCTCCAGTTTTACAGTTTTACAGGTAAAACACAGCAGTGTAACGAAACAGTAACACGCTGATGGGACCTCCTCAGAGTGATTCTCAAACCTCACCAAGTGGCCAGTTGTTCAGAGACCTTTTCACAGTTATTAAAACATTGCGGGTACCATTATCTGAGAACTTGCTGCTGTGAAACAAAACCACTGCAGGAAACCAAACCGACCAAATTTTAACGAAAACGGCTGTTATTGAAAGTCACATGATTAATGGGGAACCAATAGCAACACCGAGATCATAACACGTGATACGCGTGTAACCCATAGCAACACAGATATCATAACACGTGACAGGGTTTAGCGTCACGTGGGGATGAACTCACGTGACACACAGGGTACTAAAAAGCTTCCTACAGTCGAGTGTATATATTCATAAGATCCGAAGTGAGGTGAGTTCGTAAATAAATAACTTTAAAAATGTTTTTCTCATCCTCATTACTCAGTAGTTAGGTAGTGCAGTTAGGTAATAGTGAAATACCTAACGTCATATTATGATCCCTTCCAACTAATCCGTCATTTTAAATATCTGGCAGGAACAGTCACACAATCAGATACTGAAAAATCAAGAGTACTCTCAGAAACCGGTCACTTCATGGAAATATTTAACGTCAAATAACCCATTTATTGATATAACTCGGTCCTTGACAGAGTCTTTATAAGCTTGTAGGTAAAGTTAACCATGTTATTTAGCCACTGACGTCAATGTAAAAATTAAATAATTCCTCTCAAAATTGAGAAAGCAGACCAATCTCCATCCGAGTCCGGATTTAACCGAACATATTGCCAAGATAAAACAAGTTACGGGTCACATTGTAAAACTTGGCACCAGCTAATCTACATGTCATATCACCACAATCACCCGCCACTTTATTCCCAAATCACTCATTAGCCAATTATTCCATATATAACGGCATTTATGGAGCCTACAAATTAGCAGAAAACACACTCACACACACTCAGATATAATCTCCTACTCACACTATCTCTCTCTTCTCTTGGAGTCCCATCTAGAGACGGGATAATGAGATATTTTGTCAGGGCAGCAACATGATACCCCCAACACAGTACACACACACACACACTAGACTGCTGCTGCTCTACCCGCGAAATTTAAATAGTAATACTAGCGCTATTATACTAGTACAGTGTTTACTATAACAAGCTAGTACCTGTGTAGTGTGTACGGTGTATTATCATAGTAGTGTGGTATATGTTAGCTTTAGTTTGGGTATTCTTCAGAAGACTAATTGTAGAGGACACTTCAACTTGTGTATGACGTGTGTGTGTGTGTGTGGTAAGGTATGTATTTAGGTACTTGTATAGTTGTACACAGTCATCATATTAAGTACCTTCAGGGCGCTTGAATAGGGAACTTTTAGTGGGAGCTAGCAAGTAGTGTATCAGAAGAAACTTCTAATTTGTGGTGTTTTAAAAGTTCATATTTGCGTCAAATACGGCTGCAGGATGGATCTAAGTGCTGGAGATAGGGCTTCTCGGAGGAATTCAAGAGTCGCATTTCTGCAAAATGCTTGCTGACAAATCTCAACGGCCTCCATGCTAATTCCCAAAGCTCACCAAATGTTGAGGTGAGGCGTGTCAGCTGCAACTTTAACATGCAGTCACTATGTGGTGGTATATTGGCTAGATTGTCTGATAGTGAATGGAGTCGCTAAATAGTGCTGTGAATTAGGTGTAACAATAACCCGCGTATTACTTTTTATTATATCACTTATTATGACAAAACGTTAAAATATGTACTGTCTCCAGCTTAACACTCAGATATGTGCGTAATTTCTTCAGTTAAACATAGGAATATGTACATAGCATCTCTCGTCAGAACACTACACATACTGTTCAACAGTGTACAAATATATGTGTTGAGTACTCAGTAAACAGGAGCTGGTAATTTGAGAAGTGTAAACTAGTATTCCATTTTGTAGTGTACACAGTCATAATGTATTTCCTCTACAAAATAGGTTAGATAGGTTGCCAACTACGACTGAGCATTGAGAAAATCTTTCTACCTACAAGATTGAAGGATCAGAAATCAAATCTAACAGCCCCCTGAAACTTAATTGTAGTGCCCATTCACACAGGGGGGGGGGGGGGGGGGGGATACCGCCCTTCCTGCACCCCCTGCGAACTGCTCCAGAGGGTATGAAGCTTTGAGCTCTGTGTAATTAGCACACTTCCTACCACGTGTGTGAGGTTAATCATGTGATAACAGTCACGTGACCGTTACCATGGTAACTGGTTGGAAGACCTCACACTTGTATCTCCTCAAAGACACACCCTTGTACGGGATACGTGAGAGAGGGAGAATATCCTTACTTCTTGGACACGTGCACATGAAGAGCGATTACCCTCCCAATTACACAAGATACTATCAAGATTGTAGCCCTTTGAATCATTAATGCTAATCAGACTTGGCAGATTGTTTCGCGGCACAGCTTCTTTTCCACACTTAATAACAAGTAAGGCAAGTCACACACCTTCTTAACAACACACCTTCCCGTTTATTAACAAAGTTGCATGAGAACCAGCCTACCGACGTTAATGTGGTTCTTTGCACAGGGATAGTGGATACAGGATGTAAGAGAACCAGTAATCTTCTACACATCCTGTCATCACACGTCCACCACAACCCATCCAACCTGCCCAATTATCCTCATTAACCCCCAATTATCCTCATTAACCCCACAATTGGGACCTGCCATGAGCATGTTCTAGCACGCTCCTCCCCGCACTAATATGTCTCCAGACACACACAAACACGCTAACAGAGACCCACAGGGTCTCCCTCACACACACCCCTGACATGATGACCTTGTCATGGACCCACAGGACTCTCTCTCCTGGTGAACAATCAACATAAAGCACAATCAGTGAGTAAGTGAGGGGCTCACGTGCCCAGTGCAGTACCCTGAGGAACCCAATTAGGAAATGGTGGTGAAGTGAGGTGGTAAGTAATTGTCTGACAGGTAATGAGGTAACTCCTCTTCACACTCATTTGGAATGAGAGGAGATGAGTGGTGTAGTGGGCGCGTCTCACGAATCTTTTATTTTCAAGACATAGAAATCAGGGCGCATTATTTGAAACAAGAGCTGTCTTATCGGTCTATTGTATCGATAACGTACACCATTTAATTGATGCCATGTTGAAGCCTAGCTGGCTCGATGGACGAATATGAAATCAGAGAGGGTATAATTAACCTCACCGTCGGTAAATTTATCAAAGGACGAAAGATAAACGCTGGTTTGAACTATCATAGTGGTCTGGAGAAAGCTCGACACACTGCTCTCCTTAAAATAGTTGGAGTGTGTGTCCGATGAGACAACCTACTTGAAGTTTACAACTACCAACTGAAATCTACGTACCGTTACGAGTGAGAGTGACGGTTGAGTCCCCCACGTGAGCTACTATCAGCTTGTTACCCCGGACAACAACCAGGGAGGCTGTGGATCCTGCTGTGCTGTTGTACAGACCACTACGGTGTTTGGACCACTTTTCTGAGGGTGGGGTCGAGTTAGGGATATGGAAAGACAGAGAGAGGTTGGTACTTTCCCTACTTTTCGATTAGAGTTTAAGTATTAGGTTATACAATGAGCATAAAACGTTATTATAGTTTTGGATCACCAAAATAACGATGATGTGATATTCACAGATACTTTATTAGATTAAAAATAAATTTTTTTAGTTTACTTAAACATAAAGAAAATGTAAACTAACCGATATTGTTCCACATTTCCCGCTGTGTCTCTGCAAACCCCATTTGTACAGCCGTTTTCACCTTGTCATCCTCTTTACTGTGAAACATCTTCTGCTTCCTGAGAATATCAGACTTAGTGATACGTCAATGTTTTCAATCAACTATAATTTAACTAAAAAGAGAAATTATTTCGATAGAAAAACAAAATCAAGTTCACTGTTGTACTAATTACTCGTGAAAATGCCCCTAGCAAACCTGATGTTATGCCAGAGGTTACGTTGACAAAAACTGGCCGCATCCTGACCACCATGGCCATCATACACAGCGAAACACGCCTCCTGGTTGTCAGTATCCACAGTTACGGAGGAGAAGTCCTCCATGTAGGCCCTGCCACCTTGGTGCTGGGACACACTTGCTCTCACTCTGAAACCTGGGAGGGAGGAGGAACTGTCAACAGGCTCCACAAGGGGAGAGGGGAATATGATACAGGCTCTACTACCTATCTACTACATAGATGTATATTAAAGAAAACTGTGTGCAGCAAGTGGGAAGTAAACACACTAGCAGAAAGGTTTAACCGTACGTATTTCGGGGGAAATTTGTAACTGGAAGCTGTGTCTTACCTTCCATATCCGGACTGGTGGGACTCTTCAATAACAGGGGAAGTGAAACTCTCTTCAAGAACAGTAGTCACGTGGCACAGGCTACAAACACAGGGCTCTGTAGAGGAGGGAGAAAGGAGACGTTCTACTGTTAATCAGTCATCCTAACTTGTCCTAGAGAGGGTGTTGTTAGTTTTTAACGAGTGTAAGGAATGTGTTGTAAGGAGTGTGTTGTAGGGAGTGTGTTGTAAGGAGTGTGTTGTTAGTTTTTAACGAGTGTAAGGAGTGTGTTGTAAGGAGTGTGTTCTAAGGAGTGTGTTGTAAGGAGTGTGTTGTAAAGATTGTGTTGTAAGGAGTGTGTTGTAAGGATTGTGTTGTAAGGAGTGTGTTGTAAGGAGTGTGTTGTAAGGAGTGTGTTGTAAGGAGTGTGTTGTAAGGAGTGTGTTGTAAGGAGTGTGTTGTAAGGAGTGTGTTGTAAGGAGTGTTTTGTTAGGAGTGTGTTGTAAGGAGTGTGTTGTAAGGAGTGTGTTGTAAGGAGTGTGTTGTAAGGAGTGTGTTGTAAGGAGTGTGTTGTAAGGAGTGTTTTGTTAGGAGTGTGTTGTAAGGAGTGTGTTGTAAGGAGTGTGTTGTAAGGAGTGTGTTGTAAGGAGTGTGTTGTAAGGAGTGTGTTGTAAGGAGTGTGTTGTTAGCAGTGTTGTGATGAGCAGGGTATATTGAGAGGTATGTTATAACCCGGTGTAATGAGTCCTTAGTAAAAGCTGGTGTTTGGTGAGGTGTGGGAAATGAGGCGGTTGTTTTGAAATGGGATACAAAGAGGGGGGAGGGGGTTATTATAGGAGTGTAGGATGAGTGCGAGCCGCGAATAGGCGAATGTTGATACGATTCCTAATTACACAACCAAATCTCATGTAGATTCTGCCAGGTTAAGTATGAATTACAGCAATAACAATGGTAAGTAATTCAGGAATATGGTGAATCAAATAAAATTCGGCAGTATTTTAGAAGTTTAAAGCAAAGCAGAACTAATTTTGACAATTACAGACTCAGGCGAGGAATTTGTTTCCGGTACTTATAAAACTAACTTATAACGCAATTCCCAACCGCTAACTATGCTGCAAATTGATTTACATATTATATATATATATTTATAGGTATGTAAATTAACAAAATATACTAAAGACGCTAAAGAAAATGAAATCAACAGGGAAGACGTTTATCATTTCAACATATCTGGTAAGCTGAATTGTTTCACTTTCTGTGGAACTGTTCCACAAAAGTGGCGATGTCTCTCTTTGCGTTGGGCTCCTCGGAAATATCCATAAACTTAAACGAAGTACACAAAATAGGATTTGGGTGCTAACCGTATATGTTAACCGACCTTAGGTTAACAAACCAAATCGCTAAAGTAAATTAGATATTTATGAAGGTTGATGGTGATGCTAAAACCAGACCTTTACTCATTGGCTGAAAGAAAGCATGCGGTGAAAATACGGCTATTTCATTGGTTGGAGTCTGTAAAAGCAGTTCACGAGACGACGAAGGCAAGTACGTCAGAGACAATCAATGTCAAGTTGAATATCGAACTTTTAAACCGTTAAATATAAATAGTAACGACTGAGTAACTAGTAAGCGATCACGTTAACACTTTTACCGAAAACTACCAGGTAGTGTGAGAGAGAGAGAGAGAGAGAGAGAGAGAGAGAGAGAGAGAGAGAGAGAGAGAGAGAGAGAGAGAGAGAGAGATAGATAGATAGATAGATAGATAGATAGATAGATAGATAGATAGATAGATAGATAGATAGAGAGAGAGAGAGAGAGAGAGAGAGAGAGAGAGAGAGAGAGAGAGAGAGAGAGAGAGAGAGAGAGAGAGAGAGAGAGAGAGAGAGAGAGAGAGAGAGAGAGAGAGAGAGAGAGAAAGAGAGAGAGTGCCAGCTAGTGCTACTATCTTCACTATTTTATAACCCTTATTGGGTTATAATAACACTGGAGGTGAGCTTCAATATAAGACCACCGAGTAGCTGTGATGAATTTATGTATTGCAAGCTTTGAGGTATCAATTTATGTCATACAAAGGCAGCTGTTTATTATACAGTATATGTAGGTAAAAACAAATCACCATATTCAGAAGTTGGATGATCAGACAACTTCACCAAGGCAATGAAGGAAAGTTCGCAACGGTATAATAACATTGATATCCCTGAATAAAGGAATTGAGCAACGTGTTTAGAAAAGAACTGTAATAGGAAACTACTCGTCTGAAGGCGTTCGTGGTGACTTACAACTCGATCACATACCGGTAAAATGTTGATAATTGAAATGTAGGACGTAATATAGGATGTATAATGTAATGTAGAATAATTTAGGATGTACAGTGTAATGTAATGTAGAATAATTTAGGATGTAAAGTATAATTTAATGTAGGCTGGATTGTAGGATGTTATGTATAATGTATGTATTATAGGATAATGTAGGATGCAAAGTGTAATTTAATGTAGAATAATGTAGTATGTCAAATATAATGTAGAGGATATTTCAATGTAAAGACTACCAAGCGTGAAATCTAATTATTATCAAAGGAGAGCAAGTAACAGAGCAGTGAGGCGTGAGCTCCAACCAGAGATATTAAAAAGAAGATCATTTCGATTAAAATGTTTTAAAGATTTTATTTTATTGTTCAAATGAATGCGAATCAAATGTCTGACTTTATTCGATGTAAATTAGGTAAATATTTGGACAACGAAATTAATTAAAACACAAGACGACTGAAAACTGATAAAAGTCTAAGAAAATCAACAGAACTTACCGTTTATATACACAGTTACAAAATTAGCAAGTACATATAATGCACATCACACGACTTTTTAGCAGCTGCGGCAGCTGGCCGAGGAAGCGTGAAAAGCGCGGCAATCTTATCACGTGACGTCACAAACCACGTGATGCGCCCACGTGGTACAGCCTGTTGTACACAAGCAAGGGTGCACACTGCACACCTGTTATTATACTCACTTCCTACTCTTAATACTTGCAAAGCAGTGCTCCCTGGACCAAGTCCAGCACACGCAGGGCCGTTAAGCTAAGATAACTCATTCCTGCACAAAATAAATAACAATGTTTAGTAGCGAGATGTGGCGGGAATTCGATAAATGTATTATTGGCACAAGGATTGAAATGTCTTAGTAATATCGTTATCTCAGAAACTCAATTTATAATGAATGTTCGCTCCACAAGTTACGTGAAAGGACCGGCTTGTTAGGGCTCGTTACAGAGCTGATAAACAAACTACTGTCGCCTGCCATACATACCCCGTTGTTTCAAGCGGCCGTGTTACAAAAGAAAACACACTGAGTATACTACATATAATAAACTATATCATATAGTAGGACTGCGGAGGAGGGCACAGAGCAATCAGCACAATCAGTCTGTAGGGGGTAACGGTGAAATGAGCTGACCGGGCTCTTATCTTATTATACCTAGCCCAGGGAAACTTGAGTCATGCACCACGTGACGTCATCACACACCACGTGACGTTATCAATGTCTCAGATGCTCTATCACCATAACAACTGGGCGGAGTGTCAAATGGTCTCCAGTTGTGGTTTGTTATTGGATCGGGTAGATGAAGAGGGAGGGTCCGGTAACTGGCAAGCAATAAGGTAGGAGGTGTGCTCGCCTACAATTTTAAGTAATAATAAGGGTACGTAGTCAGTATACATACATAGATACTTGAGAGAAATCCGTCCGTGAAAGTCCATATAAAGATAGTAGAGGACAGGTCCTACTGTAACTGTAACAGTGATCTAGTGATTCAAAGTCTAGAAGGGCGGGAGTATTCTTCATAAGCAGCACGATACAACATAGTGTATGTTCACCAGCAAGCATGTATCATAGCAGACTAAGACTGGTGAAAGCGGCTGTTTCAAATGGGACCGAACACACCATGAAACATGGCCGTTGTTACACCCGCATTGGATGACATAATATATGAAATACCATTAGTCGTTTGTCCGGGACCGGGGAGATGCGGGTCACTACCATCTGCCCACAATGCAATTAAAGTTCCTACTTTTCGAAACATTACGGCGGGAGAGTTCAAGTTGTTGAGACTCATTTTACTAGATTTATAGTAAAAGCTCTATTGAGTTCATCACAGGAAGTCTGTACAAGTTCTAGCAAAACTTCCACTATCTTAAGCTATCGCAGTATATATGATGAGACAACATTTACAAAGTCAAAAGGTAGATATTGTACAGCTGAAACAGGATTTCAAGAAATAAATTAGGCAGACGATCGTTGGGAAAGGGTGAGTCCCACTGTTGGACAGGTAATAATTTCAACACTAAACAATTCACAAAATGTATATTAAATTAGAGTCAGACAGCTGCTTTAAAAAGAAAGTTAAGCCCTATTAACACGCCCAGTGCTATACGCCACTAAATAAGTTTAGAAAAATTAGAAGGAGCTCCGGGAGGGCAAATCTGAAGAGACCCCACCTCGATACAGCTTATCTCTAAGCATATCTCTGAAAATGAGATATCTCGAAGGTGGTCTGAAACACAAGGGTGGCCTCATATCTTCCACCACTGAGCTTTCTTGCGAGGTGCGGAAGACTTTTTAATTAATTGCCGGGTAACACGTTTCATGGTAAAAGTGGGTATCACGTTTCAAAGATACTGGCAAAGTTAGATACAACATGGTTGCGATGCAACTGTCTTATTTTGGTTAAAGCTGGTCTGATCAAGTATCAGAAACCACATATTTCAGTTATAAGTGTAATTGCCCCAATCAATTGACAGCATTTCGCAAGAAATACTGATTACCCTCATTTTATCAAATACTGCTAATTATTCCACAAACTAGTGGACAGTGGTTGATTACAAAACGAAAATCAGATCAGATTTATACAGCATAGACGGTATGTAATTAGCTTGATAAATAAATTAAAGAAATCGAAACGACTGTTATAATATTACCGTAACATGAATTAGTATAACAACATCTTAAATTATCTTCAAGTTCTGGCTTGTTGAACGGATCTGGAGACTACTTGCGAAGGAATGCAAAAGACTACATTTTCAACATTTACTAACTCCCACTACGGGCAATCGGTACAACTACTTGATAATTCTTGACATTTGACAATTTACAATCTAATGGTCTGAAGAATTTAAAACAAAGCACGTGAAATGTTGAAAAAGAATGCGAGCCCACGAGAGAAGGCCGCATGTCAAAAGTCTCTCTCTAATTGGTCGAGAACGGCCTACATCTCACAAGATACACACATAACATACCAAGAAGAAGAGAAGAGGAGATAAGAAAAGTGGGCTGCTGTACAAATCCTGACAATTAGAACTGACGACAGGTTATTGATGACGACAGAACCTATCATTGATGACAGGCCGAGGATGTGTTAGTACCACAGATCAGTTTCGTTAGTGTACAGATGAAGGGGTATTATATTGTGTGTGTGTGTGTGTGGAGTAACATTCTACCATTGCAAGCGTGTGTAAACATTCACATTCATGACAGGCTGTGAAATGAATCGGGGAGTAGCTGCTGCGGGATATAATAGAATCACACAGCATTTGCATATTTTCCAGTGAATAAAAGGCGCCAAATCCAAATCTGACAACTAAACTTTTAAAAACGCAATCATTGTCACGCTGAAGTCGAGATATATAGGGAGAGCGACAATCGAGTGAACGCAACTAAAGTGCAACTGCAAGCACTGTGATTTACGATGTTAGCTCAGAAACTCTGATAGGTGAACTGTAACTGTCGTGGTGGGTAGTGAACATTTAAATAGATTACTAAAATATCAAGAGACTAATAAATACTGTAAATAGAGCAGTAGGTAAACAGGTAGACAATGCTACCACGGTTGAATCATTCCAACACCACACATACAACCACCCCAGCACTGTACACACTGCTGCAACTGGTAGGACACTAGCGCGCGCTCTGCTATATCCCACGTGCTACTTCCCTGGTAACCACGTGACACAGCTCGGGTACCACGTGACACCCTCGTCACGTGACGTAGACGTAGTTGTCACACAGATAATGAGAGGTATAATGAGAGAGGTTGATAGTGCAACACTGTACGGCAACAGTGCGGGCCGGAGTTAAACACAGGATGCGATGAGAGCACGTGGTGTCGTCACGTGGTTTCTGCAGCAACATCACGCGACTCAGAAATACCACGTGATTTACACGTGCGCCTATTGTACTGTACACATTACAGAATTGGCGGGCGATTCAACGTATATACAGCTGCTCCAAATATAGATGAGGCCAGCGTCGACCGTAAGCAGTTTAACAGAAATAAAATCTATGTTTATAGTTGGCTGGAAACACGACTACTAATACAGTATCACCCTTTCTGCTGAAATTGAAATCGTAAGGCAGGAACCAGAAAATTGGCTGGATACTATCCAGTGGATAGGAAGCATTAAAGGGCGTGGCCAGTACTGTAACATGACTACTTTACAGTCGTACGTAAACAGTAAACATATGCCGTCTTGCCACGCGGCGGAATGTAAGTAGAAGTAATCTGATGAGGCGTCCTACTGAGCAGCATGCACACTTCAGGAGCAAACTAGTGGTCCAATGACCTGGAAATCGATTGCTCTGTTCGTTGTTTCTGACATGGGAGAACCTAGAGGATGAACGACGTGGTCCGGGATCTAAAAAGATGGGCGATGGACATGAAAATACTGACAGTGCCCCAGGATAAAAGGAGATTACTGGACATACAGACCCACAACACTGACAGTACGCCGGTACTGTCCCCAGAGATACGTGCCCACACCCAGACCCTGCTCTCGCTCTCTAATGTCAGGTTAGTGCGGTGATTTTAGTGGGTTTAAAACCAATATTAGCTTGTCACACGGGGGAATTTTGGGTTGTCCTTATCTCTGAATGTGAAATTCTATACAGTACGCCGTATCAGCTGCAATATGATAGCAGCAGCATTATCCATTACAGACGGCCAGTTTCAACGGTGCAGTAGTTTGCGTTTCTTACTTTCTTATATTGTACGGTCAACATACTTCATTTGTTGTAAGGTGCCTTTATAACACTGCCATTGAATAAGCTTAACACTGCCGTTATCTTTAGTCTTAGCAACACTAAGCTCGCTGACAGTACTCAGTATAATATGTAGTTTTAAGATAGTGAACTTCATTTGCAAATTTCGATCGTAACGTTAGAGCAGGAGTTTTATAAATTGATAATATTTATATTGCTACGACTTTTTCTTTTTTCTTTTTGTTCGATCACTGCAATAGGCATTTCTTATACTAATTTATAGAGTTATATAACGCTCAACTTAATAATGAAATATTCTTTAAAACAGGCGTGTATTATTTAAACATTGAAATTATTAAGATAACAATTTTTCGTGTTAACTTAAATAACAATTGTTAATTGCACTGTAAGTCGACATCTCTAAGTCGCCAGGCTGTGTTTTGTTTGTGATATAGACCTACATTAAGAATAAGATATCCTAAAAGTGACCAAGTTCAAAGAACCGGTGATTTTTTATAATTATTAGCCACATGGGGTACATGATAGATAATTAAAATATCTTGTAAAGAAAAAAAGCCCATTATTGTAAACTACACACTATAGTAATCCACATAATTAATCCGCATAATTAATTCACATAATTCCTACTTGTTTTAAGCTGCTAATAATATTATTAATATTCATCTTACACTTGAAGTTACCCATTGTTCTAAAATGTTCACGTTTTAATGTTATTAACATAGTTTGGTTTGACAGTTTATTGAGCGAATCGTACGATTTTGTTGGATCTTGTTCTGTATTTATTATTATTTGATAGGAGTTGTATAAAGTAAGATAAAACAGCTAACCCTGACTACCTGCAGGGTACAGGGTAAGATGTCAGAGAAACCCCCACGTGCCGCCGCGCCCACCCAACCGGAGGAGCAAGAGCCAGACCTTGAACCCCAACAGATCTCCCGCCTGAGCAGCATCTCCGAGAGGGTGAGGGGGGTCACTGACAGCACCAAGAATTTTATCAAGAGAGAGAAAACTGTGACTCCTGCTACAAAGAAAACTTTAGACGGGGTCCTTATTGATGGGAGGCTGACTGAACCAACTGGTAAGTGGTTTGTGGCGTTATTAGTGCAATCAGTGAATTAGAAGCTAGTTACTTTGGTATTTTATAAATTGGATAATTTATGGTTTGAGAGATGACTAGCTCTAACAAATCTTAAACGTTAGAATCCATCAAAATTCCAAGTAAATTTACTACTGAAGATTTTGTAAACTCTGTACACATAAAGCCACAGTATTGAGTGAGACGTACCTAATCTAGTCTGTATTAGCTGTGTGTACAAACTACAACTCTACAAGTCCCTTTGTCTGAATGTGACTCAACTTTCAAATTGCCGCAACAGAATCCATTATACAAGTCATGTATAACACCGAAGTAACCAGTAACCAGTTACCAGTAACCAGTAACCAGTAACCAGTAACCAGTAACCAGTAACCAGTAACCAGTAACCAGTAACCAGTAACCAGTAACCAGTAACCAGTAACCAGTTACCAGTTACTTTAACTTCAGGAATCCTATACAAAGCTAAGATGATCGGGAGTCTGAGCGTACAATTCCATAAAGGAGACAAAATGGCGATTGACGCCATGCGAGACCTCAAAGTCATGGCCAAAACATCTGGACGACACAAAGCAAGGATCTACCTCCGAATCTCAATCCAAGGAATGCACATTTTAGAAGAGGGCTCAATGAAACAGATAGATATCCACGACCTGGATAAGATCTCGTATCTTGCGGAGGATCCCGAAGAAAAGAAAACATTCGGTTACATCTACAACAAGACGATCCGTAACAAGGCGTCTGGTAAGAGCACGACAGTGCACCGACTGTTTGCGATTAAGTCTCCCAAGTGCATGCTGATAGTGTCCAACATGAAGGCAGTATTCCACTACATGTACGACATGAGGATGTCAGATAACAAGCCGGATGCTGTTAACGTAGATATGGCGCTGGTCAGGAAGCAGGCCGAGGAGGAGAAGCAGGAGGCGTCAGCACCACCTGGGGAGACTGGCAGTTTAGTGGGGTCGGATGAAGAGAAAGATACTCTCGGTGAGTACTTGGGAAATTTTACTTACCATTCGAATTGTTAACAGCAAGATCTACAGAGCTTCACTTTTATTAAAAATATTCCGATTACCACGAAGTCAGATACAATCACTCCAGATTAGGTCTAGTTTATACGTATTTGTTGTTCAGTTAGAATATTGGTGTTCCGTCCTATCACTGTCATACCACCAGGTTTTGACTACGGTAAGTTGGTGGACTTTGGAGAAGCAGAACAGCAGATTCAACCAGTCGTAGCAGCAGATCCTGAGTTTTACCCCTCCGAGGAGGAGGCCACAAAGTCAGAGCTAGACCCTGGCCCGGCCATCAACTTGTACGTTACATCACCACGTGGCAATAAACTGGAGGCCTTCGAGGAGGACGAACCTGTTTACAGCACTGTCAGAAAAATCAGGGTGGGTAAACTAAAATTCATATTGACTCCGAAAAAGCTTCCATTCGATAAACTAAATTTGGATGAAATCAGATCGCGCAAGATAAAATCACCAAGATTTATGGATAAAATTCATTCGAACAGAGTTCAATTGGGTGGTACTGATTTCACTGTGGGTAAAAGAGTAGGTCAATATAGGAAGGTAACTTTTAATATTTAACTGTTATAGTTGTGGATATTACAAAAGGGTTGTGGACACCACCACACTATGGAGCAAATGTAGCGTAGTTCTGAGGTACATTCCACGAATAAGTGCTGGTGCACATTTCCTACATATTAGTTCTGAGAAGATTAAAGGGTATTTATGACTGTTGGAATGACGAAAAGATGTTAAGAAGTTGGTGGAAGACAAGCTAAAACATCAAATTTTATAGGGCACCATTTTGCAGCGGAGAGTCTCTCCATTTGTTTGCATGGATATTGAACTCTGCTAAAACTAACACCAGACGCATGTGGAAAAAAAATTATGCTTTTTTATTTTTGAAAGGCTGACTAATTTAAGACTTGTTTTACGCATGCTGCATAAACGTTTGCATATAATTGAAGTTGAGAAGAGTTGATACGATAAGCTTTTCACTGATTCCATATACGACCAAATTGAAATACCAACTAAAATAAAATTCAAATGTCGCTTTAACGTTTAAACCGATTGATTTTGAAGATGCGTCCTTGAAGTGGGGTATCGGATCAATAATGATGTGTTAGATTCTAACTAAACAAAAATTGGCATCAAGATATTCAGTAAAGCAGTAAACTTGGTAGAATAGCGCCTCCCACTCCCAGGACGACCCAGCAGAAGCAGCTCCATCTCGACCACCCCGAATCGAGGTTTCCACCGACTTTGGAACCGTCAACCCTTCCTGGAACAAATCTGCCGCCAACAGGTTCAATGTGCGATGTGCACCGATCAATGTATGTGTCAATCATGTGAACAATAGATCCGGATACTGGTGGGGAGGCGAACCTTTTCCAGACACGTGACGACAATTAACTAACTCCAGCATTGACCAATGAAAACCGTGTCAAGACAAAATGGTTCACCACCCTACCAGTACCCATATCTGTTAACAATTCAAATGAGATCTCAGTGGTTCTATTCAATCAATAAATAAAAATATATGTCGCCATACTGATCAAAAAATCAACCATTTCTAATGTGGGCCCTGTGCAAGATTTCCCCAAATTGGGTTCCTCCCATGACTAATGCATTACATCTAAAGAGGATGGGGAGACAACCATCAAGACCCCACGATTAGCATGTGTCTGATACTTAATACCCATCAACATATTAAAATGAGCTCTCTCTCTCTCCTAACAGTGACAATGAAGAGGACATTTTCTCCCTCGATAAATACAACAGACAGGAATCCAGCAGTTCGGAGTCCGACGAGGAGCACACATTCGGGGTGTCGCCCCCAGCTGCCCCTGCCAAGATCCCCAGTGCAGTATTCCTGGACAGTCAGGATTACGAGTGGGACATAGGGGATAATCCAACAAAGTAAGGCAAATGTTGGATAGTTGCTTAGTAACGGCTTCGTAGTTCGTATGGATTGCATAATACTGGACCCCGGTATCTGATTATGATACTATTCGATGTCAGATGATAAATTGGAGTTCACAACCAAATTACCGCTATCTCTCCCAGATACCACGATCAGGGAATGGGAGGGTTTGAGCTAGGAGAGAGCAGAGAGAGATTATCTACTGTGACTAAGAAGGCGGTGGCTTCCCTGGAGAGGGTCAGGGACGATCAGAAACCAGCTCAACCTACTGGAAGCAGTCTAATTGACTTTGCTACTTTTGAGGACAGGTGTGCATTTTGCCTTGATATATTAGAATTAGAGTATACACAGCTATAGTCAGTTGGTGGAAATACGGGGTTTTTATATTACAGTGGAGGGATATCTCCTCATACACTGTCCACGACTCTTCCATTTGTATCCACTGTTCAGTGTTCAAACAAGATAGTGAAATCTACCGTGAAGAATCAGTAAGATATTGTTGTTAACTAACACCAGTTACTGATTCAAGTTGACCCGTCCTGCAGATTGGAGACCAGTGATCCTGTAGACCTGTTCGACACACTAACGGTGAAACCTAAATCAACAGCACCACAAGACAGCGACCTGTTATCTCTGGACTTCTTCGGAGGAGCCCCTGCTCCTGCTGCTACTCCGCAGGTACGTTATCTACTTACTTTTGATACTTTTTATCTAGTACTGAGTAGTGATAGTGATAGTTACAACTTGTTTAGGATAGTGATGGACATGTTCTTGCGTGTCCAGGGATTTACAGGACTGTAATTGGGATTTTAAACAAGCTTATCTGTTATCGGTGTTAATGATAATAATTAGCAAAATGATGTGTCAACAGCCATTCACTGCAAATAATTCAAGATGCTGTACGTTTATGACTTGGATGTTAGTTTTTGGGTTAAATGGCTTAGTTACATATGACTGTTTTTCTAGGGTTAGGTGAGGTAACCGTCGGTTTAACGGTCATTGCTTCATTGAACAATTCATCTGATAATTTGAATACCTTGTAATGAATTCTGTTCCTCAATTCTGTACGTCAATCTAACATTTTAAAACTCGAGATGAGTTGTCTATCGGGAGTCTACCAGTAAGAACGCGACTACAGGGTATAATCTTCCCAATTTTCACTCGATTTTGAGTAGGTTTAAGCTTTTGCTCCAAACACAGACTGTTTATCTAATACCCACGATTGTTTGATTGATCATATCAGTTCAATAATATCCTTAATATAGCCTTCATTCCAGGTAACAGTCCAGCCAACGATCGAGACACAGAAATACAACATTGACATCAACTCCCTCCTGGCAGATCCGAACACCTATAATAATAACACTAGTAAGCGGCACATGGTCAATCATGAATTTTAATTAAAAGTTGCCAAGCACACAACTGTTGACTTTTATCACGTGCAGTTTATATTCCGCCAGTTAACGACTGATCGACCCCAAGGTACCACTTCATCAATTAGGTGACGTAAATCTCGGTTACAATCTCAAACTTCAAATAGTTATAAATTTAGAAGCAATCAGACCAATGAGGCTACGTTACGCATCGTTTAATTATTATCCAATTCCGAATGAATCCCGGTCCAAGAGGAGCTCATTATGCGAGGTTTTATTACTATTAGTTTCGAGCAAGAGCCGAGCAAAGTGCCCTTCAGGGCGACTCTATCCATCTCAGAGGGTGGTTGATGACAAACTCACCTACAGTCTAATAGTAATTTGCTTAATAATAGTAAGACCATCACCAAAATAACTTTTTAATGCAGGCAAAATTAGCAATTATCATTGGCAATTGAGAAAGTACGAAACACTGATAATATTTGATCTCAGGTTTAGCAGCAGGAAGTACTCAGAGTCTAAACTCGAATCCTGGACCGAACGCTTGGGTAGGATTCGCGGCTCCAATGGCGGGCCCCACCGCTAGCACCATGCCCCAAGGAGGTACTGGGATAGGAGGTCCCAACTACCAACCTGCATACAACTTCCCAGTGGCTTTTGGTGCTCCGGCGGATAACTTGGTTAGCTGACAGAACTTCACTATTTAAACTTATACGTATTATCAGTTTAATCGGGGTTTTATCCTCAACAGTATGCTAGAACGGTTTCCATGATGACACTAATTAGTATTATACTTACCCTTTTGGTACGATTTGACAAGATTTAAACATCCCAAAAACAAATTTGTAACTACCCAATATCGCAGTTGAAGCCAAATGCGCCATCGGGAGGTTCGTCACGGAAGACATCGACCTCAAGTAACCCATTTCATGAACCCAAGACAGCAACCACAAGCAGCTCATTAGATCCTTTCAGCGATCTTATGAACGATGCTATCTAAACAGAACCAAATGTAAACTAACTAACCATGTTCAATGTGTTGTACGATGTGGTGTAAATATAACACGAGCTAAACAGTAAACAAGCGCAAGAGGGGGAGATCTGGGTCGATAGCCCAGCTATCAACTATGTGTTTGTGTGTGAAAGAGCGGTTAAGCCATAAAATCAAGATTTATAATTAAGTAATATATGGAAAGAGTATTGTAATGGGATTATTATGTAGGAACTCACATTCAGCAGAGAGATCTTTTTATAGCGATCGTGTCATCCTTCAGGCTCCATGCTAAATTCCTAATCGATCGTAATTGACCATTAAAGTTACAAATATGTATAACGATCGATGAAATTCCCAAGTTTCCTAATCGTTATCGACGCCAATTAGAGGTTCAAATTAATCAGTATAAATGGTGTGGAGCGAGTGATATTAATGTAAACGTGTAATTATGATTGATGTGTGTTTCAGATAAAAGCTTGTTTACAGTGTTAATTTATATATGAAATATTTTCATTATTTTGGTTTTTTATGTAAGATGGTAAGTATTGACTTGGTTAAATTGTACATGTTTATTGATTTGTTTATATCTCACTCAGTAAAAAGAACCATTTCACTCAGAAATTTATTCAACAAACTAAGGTTATTCAACACTAAAAAACGTTCGACTACTTAAGCAAATCTAATAATTTAATGGACTCTATGAAACAAAAAATGAAATCATAAATGAAATAATGAGATATATGAACATAAAACAACACTTTTCATAAGAAATGGATCAAACACAGTTCCAAGAGTTCACTCTAACAAGTATGGTTTGAAGTGTGGTTCACTATAAAACCCCACTCTAATAAGTGTGGTTTGCAACAAACAAACTCTCGCTCCCACTAGCACCGTGAACATCCCCACAGTACTGTCCCAGGCAGGCCATGTGGTTGGCGTAGGCCCGTTTCTGGAGCTCTTTCTGTGCTGCTCCAACGTTTTCCTGCTTTCCTTGCCAAGCTTTGAGGACACTGGCTTGCAGAGCTCTTCCGTAGGAGAAAGCTAGCTTCCAGGGTTTGCGACCTGAGGGTGGGTACATTTTAGATTAAGATGGTCATGCTTCGTAATTACGTTATGAATTGTAGCTTTGATAACACATATGAACATCATTGTAGCCATTTCACTAAAGACCCTGAACATCAAAATGTGCTATTTCTTCGTAATGAGCATAGCGTCTACAGCATGCATACCTTCAATCGTCCCGCTTGGATGCAACGAATTTTCGTGGTATACTGTCGAAAAAATGGCTAGAACATGTGTTTCCAAACGAAAAAATCCCAATTATTATATGACACTCAATATGAGACAACAAGGAATTTGCCCTTTATAATTGAACTGTAAAATACAGAGTTAAGATAACATACCAGGATCCTGGTATTGGTTGATTGCGTTGAGGTTGAGGGTGGCGTTCTCCTCACTCTGACCACCAGACAGGAATGTAATTCCAACAACAGCTGCGGGAACTGTCCTCTGTAGGGCTGAGGGAAAGTGCTATATTTAGATCAGGAATAATTTATTTCCCCTATTAATTAAGTCAAATAAAGCGCCCTTTTCATGCCATAAATTTTATAATTTCTACGGCCTAACAAATATAAAATTACGTGCGCGCTGTATAAAACTACCAGGCGCGCGTTGCTACAAAATGTTTTAGTAGACCTCGTGCAGATAGAATATGCAAGAATAACAACGTGGCTCTAGAAGAAATGGGAGAACGAGATGACGTTAGCAAACCATCCCGCACCATAATGACACTTGACATAACATTATTCTTGTCCTAATTTCCGTGGTATATTCCAGAACAATACTAATATCGCCAACCCATCGACACAAAAGCCACTGCTTCTTACTTTAATAAAATCATATTGCAGTCACACTGCGTGTCCCATGAAATTATCTTGTACGATCTTTGATTGAGAGATCGTACGTGAATCTTAAGTCAAAGATACTGATCGGTGTGATATTCAACATTTCCCAACGACGCTAAGAAATGTGAAATATCCCGCCACAATTTGACACCTCTGTGCTCTGTCTACCGCAAAACAACCGGAGTGATTTGTTTACCCAAGGGTGTCCTAACTATCTAGTATCTAGTACGTAAATACGGGTCTTTCTGGATGTTCCCTACAACATTAGTCCTACCAAAGTTAGTTATGGTTGCCACGTATTCCGTGCAGATCACATTTAGCAGCAGGTAACCGAATAAAGATTTCCCGGGTGAGTGCCGTAGTAATTTGTACCTTGAAGCCTCAGTCGGCGCTAGACCCAGAAATTAGAATACAAGACAACAGAAGAGCAAGGATTGAAGATATTATGAAATTTGTGACGTAATAAACCCGCAGGTAATGAATAGTGAGTTAGTCTTTATAATAACGTACGTGGGGTAGCACAAATAACATTGTGTTTATTTTGTGAAACTATGCGTACTCCTAGTATTATTAATACCCACTGCAAACTTACAGCACCAGATGTTGTCAGGATATTAAACATACTATGTACATGTGATGAGTAACGTTACAAATTAGTGGTGGGCAAGCCTGGTTCTGACAGTAACATACTGCTCAAGTTCAACATGGCCATTACAATTAGTTCTTGGTAGAGCATTCATAACCACTGATGTGGAATTATTTCTACTTTTCTGAAAGGCGGTAGAATATTCAAAACTGTGCTGCTGTGCCGATTTAGAATTTTCAACTTGTGTACTATATGAGGGTCAGAATAAAAGATCTTAGTAATAAATACCACAGGCCACAGCTGTCACTAAGCAACACTGTAACATCGTCCAGATCATTCGATTGATAAGAATAACATGCAGCAGAGTGATATAATATTAGGAGTCCTAAAACTTTATTCATTTCTACGAAAATAGGACCATCAAAAATTATCTAAAATTATCTAGAAGGTTCAAGTAGAGCATAATATCATATTATATTTGTTCCAGAACTTCCAAGAAGTTCTTACGCGATCTTATCATGCTTATAATCATAATATTAAGGTATTATTAACTTAACTAAGTCGGCTTATCAACATTTTATTATGATTATGATGATCAATTTCTTGAACGTTCTGGAACATACCACCGACCTATAATAGCTATGTAAGACACTCAAAATCCATTTTTGCAGTATAAATACACGGTTTCATTTCATATTCTTATGAACATAATTCTAGAAGGTTGCAGAACAAACATCACTGAGCTGCGGTTCCTAATAGCATTGTAATGCCATTATTATGAGACGAGTAAGATGAGAGTCGCGTATAATCGTGGAACATAATACATATTATAATGCCCAACCAAACGGTAGTCTCGGTAATGTGTGATTTGTACTCTATAAATTCAATATAAATGAGTTCTAGGTGGTTTTGGAACTTAGCTATTCCTCGCGTTAAGTGATTTCCAGAAGGTTGTAGAACATTCCTAACATACTGGACCCAAATGAGGCGTGATCAGAACTAAATCTGGGGGAATTTGTGAAGTGTAAAGAACCTGCTCCATTCCATTAATTATAAACACAATTCTAGAAGGTTTTAAAAGATACTAAACTGATGTTCCCTACGAAGATTACACTGTAATGTTCATTAATAATTCACACATAATTATGTAAAATGTTAAACTCATAGCTAAACGGTACTGACGGTCGTGATTTATCCTTTAAAGAAACTCTGTACAGCGTTTACACAAAATCTAGCCACTAGGAAGACACATTACATATACTACCTAATATATTGTGATGTGTAATACCTAATATCTATAAACTTTGGAGACTATCGATCTTGGATTCTTGATTTAAGTGCATTCTAGAAGTAGAACTAGCAGAGAGAGCGAGAAATGTTACAAAATATACGGCGCTTGAAGAAACTGGTTTAATCTTTTAATGACCTTTCAAGTTAAGATGAAGGAGATTATTTGCATTAGTCAGTTTTTATAGTATATTTGGCGAGTCAAATCAAACTCTTTTCTTCCAGATAAGAAAAGGAAAAGAAATCCAAGCTACTTTTACCGCATCATATTGCGGGTAATCGACTACCACCAATAGGATACGTGTCACCAGTAACAACTGACTCATCAGATTGTGACGGATAGACAATTTAAATTTGGTCCCCCATTATCAAATTTTGTATTATAACTGGGTTGATTTCTGATTGATAACGCTGCTTATCTTTTAAAAGCAACACAATTTTCTGGGTTACATGGCCGATAAGAAGTTTTTTAAGCACATTTATAGATTTATCTATACTTTAACAGTTTTGATACATTACATGGCTGATGGCACATTTTAGGATTGAATTAACATTGTTATTAAAATGCTCATTGTGGCCATTATCGAAATAAGATATCAACCTTTAAAAATATAATATATGATAGAGTCAAATTCTGGTAGGATATTTTTATTTCTCGCATAACATTTGATGGCTTGATGCCTTCGCTAATACCGTTATCCCAAAATTGAAGCGAAGTACGAGGAAGGCTTTGATGTGGTTAGCGAGATATTTCCAATTCATGTAATATTCATCGACACTTTGCCCGATTAGTTGATTCCACCAGGAGATGGGATCAAGCTACAATAAAGATAAGGATCCTAAAGTTCTAATCCCAATTACTAACAAAAGATTTCACTGGCTGCTAAAATATTTGCTGCCTTATCAAGCGGTGGCGTGAGAGGGAACTGTAAGTGCCGGTCTCTACTCACGCCACAATCAGCAAGAAAGAAAGGTGAACATCAAAAACCACAAAGCGGGAAAACTTGAATACTCACTTAAAAGTTTCAATTCTCTCTACATTACTATGTAACGATTATCTTCACGCTCTCAAGTCTCATAATGTATTAAGAAAAACAAAGATTCCAAGCCCCATTTGGTTGTTCCAAAAACAATATAATACTCACTGATAACAGTGGCCTCAGCAACTTGCTCAGGAGTAGCCTGTTCAGGGCACTGCATACCAGCTGTAACCATGTTGGGTTTTCAGCAGAGACCCCTCCAGGTAGAGGTGATGGTCACTGCACGCCTGGGGATTGTTAGTTAATTGGGTAATTAAATACCGGGTAATTGGCTTATTGGGCAGTTACAGGCCAGGTAAACTGTACCGATTAAGTGAAAAATTTTTTGTTTGAGAGAAAGAAAGAGACATTAGACATAAAATTGAAATACTATCAATGTATAATGGACGTGTGCCATGGAAAGAGTTTTATTGACGCTCAGGCCTGAGCAGGGTTAAAAGTAAACAAGTAATGAGCGAGTCGTGTACTTTGTAGGTAGCAGCAAGTACTTTCTCGGTGACTTCCTGGCAACGAGCCAGAGTGTGTGTACCGTCACAGAGCACCTCCGGTTCCACAATTGGGACCAAACCCTCTTGTTGACAGATAGTTGCGTATCTGGCCAGAGTAACAGCGTTCTCTTGGATTGCTAGCTCTGTTAGATGTGTCATGATTAGTTTGTTATACTTTCTGCTTCACAGGCTGTAAAGGTATTTTAGTTAAATAATTTCTTGAGTTTACAATTCAGGCTACATTTTTCAGCTCAGATCAAAATAGCAACAATATAATGGTATTAATTAAACACAAACCAGAGGGAATGTTATCTCCGATCTTGATAACAGCTCTCCACTTAGCAAACTGAGCACCAGCTTGTTTGTACTTCTTACATCGTTCCGCCAGTCCGTCAAGTCCTTGAGTAACACCCTCCCCACCATTGGTTCCGGGCAACATTACAATACCCTTATCTACCTTGATACCTGGGCAAATGGATTGTTAAGTTTTTTACTTTTTAATTACATTGAAAGTACAGTATCATTAATTCTATGAAGTATAGATGAAAGAGTTTCTGTTCAATTTTAATCAGACCACCAGCCCACAAGTTGACCTTGTTCAATCTTTAATATCTATAAGACTGGCATCACGAGACATGACTTCAGCTTACCAGGGATGATGCCTTGATCTCGGAGTAGTTTCACCATTGAGACACCACTGGACGAATTCTGGAACAAAGTTTCTTCAAAGAGAATACATCCTCCCAGACTCGAGCCAGCGTTTGCCTCCTTTGGTAGAGTGAAGAGTAGTTCTCTGTAAGCTCTTCTGTTGTCCTGCGGAGTTCACAGTCAGTATATTTAATAAAATAGGGTAAATCAATTTGTGATTTCGTCACAGAACAATAATGATATCAACCCCATACATAAATTCAAGACAACTTTGGTATTCTAACAACATTACCTCAGTGTTCTCTACACCAATTCCACCCAAACGTTTTCCAATAGTTCCAGTGCTCTCATCAGCTGCTAGAATTCCTTTTCCATTCTCGACAATGGACCGTGCGATTTGTCGCAGTTCCTTCTTCTGGGCAGGAGAGAGAGCTTGTGGCTGAGACATCCTGGATGCACAATGATCACACTTACAAGGGAATATCATGCGGTAATATTTTGTGACATTATTGTAAAGTTTTAATAAGACAACCATTTATATTTATTATTATCTATAGTTTATGCAATCAAACAATCAAATTAATAAAACACGAAATTAAATTGGGTACACTACCATTTAAACAATGAATAGAAACGAATATTTAACGAATATTTATACATCAAGACCAAATAATGAGGCACTAGGGTGCATAACCTGGGCAGTTATCTAGCTACAGTTACACATGCCAATTATATAAAATCTTAAATCAAAACAGTGAAAAATGTTATCTTGAACAACAAATGAAAGATTAGATGTAAAAATGTCGTCATACTTAATAAAGATCGAAATTAATCAATTCAATTATTCTATACCTTACTCGGGATTATTATGACCGGGATAAAGTGGCGGGTTTAGTGTAATTTCGCCATATTTTTCCCGAACCACATTTTCACCGGTCGTTAATAAACCCGCCGTCTCAGCTTTTAGGGTTCCCGAGGGGTATGGGTGCTCATATTTTAATCGTTGTCTAATATTCACTAAAGAAGACTATTGGGACACTTGTTGTAGGTTTTTCGACTTCATTTGGCTAAAATTGCAAAAAATTCACCTTTTTGCCCAATTCTTGTCATATAATATCCTTATTGTCTAAGTTGATTTAAATATGCCAATTTTTAATTTCTTAGGTATTGACTATCTCTACATAATGAAATAGGACTCCAAGTAAAAGTAACAGTTAAATTAAAACTTGAATTAATTAAAACTGTCAATAACATGAATCAGTTTCATCAGTCATCAGTGAACGATGCATTCTTTCGAAGATTTTCTACAAATTGAGTCATAATGGTTATTTGATACACGTAAACATTTAATGCTAATTCAAAACAACGAATTTGCTAGAGTGCTAGACTACCAACACGTTATTTCTGTCTACTTTCTGTCTACTTTCAACAATTATTGATAATTCGACTTGTTTCACGCGAAAATTTCTAAACTTGCTTATCTCTAATAAGGAAATTTACATCTGAGACAAAATTTTTGAATCTAAAATTGAAAGGTTGGACACCGGTAAAATGGCGACCGGGAAAATGTGGTGGGTTTTGAGCAATTTCGCCATATTTTTCCCGAACCATATTTTAACCGGTCGTCAATAAACCCGTCGTAATAATCCCGAGTAAGGTAAATATCAATAAATTAATATATTGTTAAACAATTATACAGTAAAACCCCAATTTATCGTACACCTTCCCCTTCCTCAGAACATTTTTAGAACATATCTAAATTTTAGTTTTATAAACGGGATCATGATGTTAAGAAAGTTTGTCAGGCTTCGCCTATCTACACAGTACCCAGGTAACTTTACTGCTTGTCAACCATAACCCTTGAACTTATACTGTGCAAGGAGAAACTACCTCAATTCCCAAAAATTTGGGCGACAAAAAATTTGAGCGGGCCTCTCGCCCAAATTTTTTGCAGACCAAATTAATTGCATAAATCTTTTCCGTCTGCTAAATTTTTTGCTAACCAAACTTTTGGCATTTGGCCTGTGGCCCTGAAATTTATAGAAAGATGGCTTTTACTTCATATCCAAGTGAAATAATATTTGAAATTTTAGTTTTCTAATCTGTCATTCATGGCTTGACCAAGTAAAAAGGCTTATATTTTAAATGAATAGAAATAACTGGAATAGCTAACAGCTACTAATAAAACAAATGGCTAGAGGTACGGATAACTAAAGATTGAAACAAGATCTGCAAATGGATTATCATCCACCGTAAAGTCTGATCTACAAGCATCAGTTATACCCGACTTCTCAAAGCCTTTCCTTATGTCATCTGGCCTCCCTTTTAAATATACAAAAAGTTCGTTGATCCAACGAGCGTGTACTTCACGGATCACTGTCAAGCGGGTATCAATTTTCACATTGTCTGATGAAACTCCTCCATTGAGCTGACACACCTACATGCTTAAAATTGAAAGCAAAATGACTGGAATAATAAGGAACAATAATGAACTAAGGCAAATATCTAACTGAAATTTTTAGTGGAAAATCGTTCATTTTTCGAAGAATTTGTGCCCAAATTTTCGGTCGCCCAAATGAGTTCAAATTTTCTGCCCAAATTTTTCGGGCTCAAATAAATTGTGCTCAATATAATGGCACACAAATTTTTGGGAACTAAGGTATGTGATCCGACCGGGACTTCGATTTACCAAACACCCTAATTTACCATTTTCCTATCTCCCAAACTGTACGGTAAATTGGGCTTTCACTGTACTTCCTAAAAGTAAAAAAGTATCTTACATAGGTTTATCAGAGAGCGCTGCAACACCAGGCAATGCTTTGCCTTCCAATAATTCCAGACTTGCTCCTCCTCCAGTACTAATGTGAGAAAACTTATCGGCAGAGCTAAATTTAGTGACACAAGTAGCGGTATCACCCCCACCAATAATGCTAACACATCCTTCTTTAGTAACTTTCTCAACTCCCTCTAACACTCCTTTTGTTCCTGCTGAAAACTTTTCAAACTCGAACACGCCCATTGGTCCATTCCAGACAATGATCTTAGCGCGTGAGATGACCTCTTGAAACTGTTTAACACTGTTAGGTCCAACATCAAGTCCCATACCAACAGCAATGCCTTCATCTCTAGTGCAAGTTTTGCTAGGTGTATCAGGACTGAAAGATTCTCCAGTCACATAGTCTGTAGGAAGATGTATCTTTACCCCTTTCTCAGCTGCTTTAGCCATTATTTGTGGGATTATTTCTGCTCCTTTTGCGTCAAACAGTGAGCCTCCTGTTAAAAAAACAGAATTTAAGTTAAGTTGTTGTTATTCGAAAATATCATTCAATGAATGTTACACTCAATGCTATATACAGGATTAATTAGGATTATTCAGATTCAATTGGTGAATTCGATTTTAAAATATCCATGCCCCATCCATGCTCATTCATTCAATTAATTAATTTGCATTAAATTCAATTTACCTATTTCCATGTTGTGCAGAACTTTCTCAAATGTAAAGGCCATCCCTCCTCCAATGATCATCTCATCTACTTTATCCATCAGGTTCATAATCAATTGTATTTTATCTTCCACTTTGGCACCTCCCATAATACTAAGAAAAGGTCTAGGAGGACTCTCCATAGCTTTGGAAAAGTAGGTCAATTCCTTGTTCAACAAGCCTCCAGCAGCACGCTGCTGGCACTTGAAACCAACCATAGAGCTGTGTGCACGATGTGCAGTGCCAAATGCATCATTCACATACACATCACCTAGTTCAGAGAGCTGGGATCTGAACTTAGCAACAGACTCTGGACTGGACTTCACTTTATTCTTGTTTTCATCAACAGATGAGCCTTCCTCCTCAGGATGAAATCTGAGGTTCTCCAGCAAAATAACAGTTCCCTTGGGTGCTCCATTTACAGCACTTGTTACCTTCTCACCCACACAGTCCTCTAAAAACACCACATTGCAAGACAAAATATCCTTCAATGCAGCAGCTACAGGGCGCAAGCTCAGAGAGCTGGTAACTTTACCATTAGGGCGACCCAGGTGACTAGCAAGAACTAAAGTGCGACAGTTGGAGTTAAGGATGTGCTGTATTGTGGGCACTGCTTCATTTATCCGTTGTAAGTTGGTAATCGTATGTGTTTTCTTGTCTAATGGAACATTGAAATCTACTCGTAGGAACACACGTTTATTGGAGAAATCTACGTCTTTGTAGGAGAGTTTGTTCTTGAGGGACATAGCTGCTATGGTAATACAGTTTGTAAAAATGTAGTTCTTAACATCCGCAAAATTTCTGGACCTGTTATAATTGACGAGAACCTATCATGGGAAGATCACATTAATATAAAGCTCTTAAGCGAACTCTAAATCATTCCACATCCACTTTATGTAGACTTCGCTGCTCCCTTCCAGAATTTCTACATCAAAAATTATATTATACTCTATTCGAATCACATCTTTCCTACTGTATATCTGTATGGGGTGGGGCAGCTAAGCAACGTATAAGCTCAATATTTACTGCTCAGAAGTACTGTCTCAGAGTACTATTTGGTGATAGGCTGGCGTACCTTGATAAGTTTAAGACTTGTGCACGTACTAGGCCTATAGGACACCAGAAACTTGACCAAACATTTTTCATAAAAGAACACACCAAACCGATATTCAAGCATAATAATATTCTAGCTATACAAAATCTCTATACATACCACAGTTACCTCGAGCTCTACAAGATAATGAAATTCCGTGCTCCAATATCCCTAGATATGAGGGTTACACATGTTCGTCGAGGAAACCCTGCCTTCTAATCTGTCAGGTAGACCCACCTGACAACCACAACACTAGATCAACCAAAATTTTTAACATTTTAACCCCAAAGTTCAGAATGACTGACTTTACTACTAGTGTAATGTGCTTGCGAGGAAAACTTAAACGTGCGCTATTATGGTGTTTATTAAAAACGTTTTCGAGAATGTATTAGAAAATTTTTATTTTTGAGATATTTATCAACAAACGTATTTAAGATTATTTTATTTTTTCGATATCTTTGGGATATTTGAAATTGACTCTATCTTACTGATGCTATTATATTATTAATTCTTTTAATTTATGAAACATTGTTATGTGTTAACCGTATACGATTTTAACTGGATTTGAAATTTTCACATAGAATTGGGTTTTTCAACTTTTGAAGAGAGTTTGGTGCTTCAAATATTATAATTTGGTACCAAAAGTGAAACAAATTTAGTGAAACAAATTTAAAATTTTATCCTTTATTTTACAATCATAATATAATAATATTTATAAGCCTCAGTTTTAAAAGTTTTAAATTTTAATATATTCACATTTCTATTTAAAATTCAATTTAATGTATAAGTCAATAACTGGCCGCCAAAGCCGCGCATTCTTGAAAACAGGATTAAATTGTTTATGATTATACGTCAAATAGAAATAAATTTAAACTATCCGTGGTTTTTTTAAAAAAAATTATAATCTTACCTAAATTCAAAGCCTTGCTCTAACCAGAGCCCTCTCGCTTGCAGTAGTACGCGTAGGCACATGGCTATGTGAATTCAAAGCCAGCTTTGTAAAATTTACTATTAGATCATAATATATCGTCAATTCTCAATATTTACAATGCAACATTTCATTAATTTACATACAAGCGTACTCCAGCCCCTGCACGCATCCGTTCTTATGCGGCGCGGCTCAAGCCGCGCACGCACGTATTATTTTATACTTTTTGCTTTCTAATAAATATCGTGTCAATGTGTACGTCTAAATGTTCATGTTTTGTGTAAACCGAATCCAATCGAGATTAGTGACAAGGATAAGGATCCAAGTGCCTGTACGGCTTTTTCGGACCCCTGTGGACCACTACTCTTGAAATCGCTCTGCAACTATTGAACATTTATAACTGTTATAAATACCCCGCTGTGCAGGGTATATTATATTTTAGTTTGTGAAGCGTTTAAAAATTACGAGTATCACCCGTTAAGTCACACACAAGAAAAACTTCATGATTATGCATCGTTCACTATGTCTTGTCCTCACAACAAATAATACCACTTCTGATATAATATCGTCTCTTCAAATCATTCTTTGCCTTCTCTTTCATCTCCAAAACGAGCAAATGATGTCTGGCCAGGAAATCGTTTGGACAATGGTTCCCTGGGAGGCAATATTTTGCACCAGTGGTTGACCAGATTGACCCATATGTCACATGTGGTTATCGTAACGTTGTTTTGATGTGTGCGATTAATGATCTTAAAAAACCTGAGATCAAGAATACAGCTGATATTAAACGAAATGTATTTATTCCCTTTATTAAAAAGATTGAGAAAATTCATGCTATTAACCCTAAGGCACATGTATATGTTTGTCCAGCCCTGCCTACAAAGCTTGCTGAACTGAATAGAAAAGTTGTTTGCTTTAACCGCCTTATTCTGACATGGCTGATCCCTTCAAATTTTGGTGTGACTTACGTTGATGGGTTCGGTGGGTTCTGTGATGATGCTGGGCTTCTTAGCCAACAGTTCTCCAGAAACATCGGCCGAGACCAGCGACCAGATTATCTCCACCTTAACTGGAGGGGTACAGCTAAACTAGGCACTTTGATTCGTAACACAGTGCTTCTTAGAATGAATGGAGGAGTTGATAGAAGGAAAAGGAGAACAGACGAGGTTGATGGACGCTCATATCGGAACGTGTTGAGTGGGACGGGTTCTACTACTGCTGCTGAGTCTCGACACCAGGATGGTTACCAGCCATTCTGACTCCCCTGAGTAAAGAGGTATGCCTAGTCTGTGCGAAGTTCATTAACGTAGGACAATTCATTGTTGAATGCTGTGAATGCGACTGCCCAATGCACCATAAGTGCTATACCAAATCCATTAACAATGACACATTATCTGACGATTTTTACTGTCCCAAGTGCGTACATTTAGCAGTTATTCGTTACAATCCATTTCGACTTGCATGCACTAATTTAAGTGATATTGAAAGTAGTGAAGTGGATGACACTATCATAAAAGTAGATCAAATACTAAATAACTGCGTATCGTACAATGTCAAGGAATTCAACAAAGCACTAGATAATCAAATGAATGAATTTTCATCGCTTCTCTTCCAAAACATCGACGGCAATAAGTCAAATTTCGACACTTTCGCTATTGAATCCCATAGGCTCACCAAGAAATTCTCGATCATAGCCTTAGCGGAAACAAATGAAGGTCCTGAATCCAGCAGTTTGTATCAATTAACTGGATACAACAGTTTCTACCAAAACACAATACCAGATAAAAAAAAGGGCACTGGAGTGGCTCTCTATGTTTGTGACACTCTTAGTGCCAGAGTAAACGGCAATGTATCCCATATCACTGAACATTTAGAAACTCTTTTTGTGGCCGTAAGTAGTACAACTTCCCCAGTAACAGTTGGTGTAATGTACCGTCCTCCAAGTGGTAATGTCAATGTTGCACTATCTGAACTCTCTGACATCCTTGACAGTCTCCCCAAGTGTAGTTACCTAGCGGGTGATTTTAACATTGATTTACACGATAAGAATAGCACAATCGTACAACGCTATGAAGAAATACTATTAAGTAAAGGATTTTTCCCCCTAATTTCGTTAGCAACACATGAGAAACCAGGCTGCAAAGCATCCTGTATTGATAACATAATAACTAACGACGTAGAGAGTATAGTAGCTTCTGGAATACTGACTGACCGTATATCACACCACTCACCCATCTTCCAAATCTTTGATAGAAACTTGGACTCTAGCAGAATTGACCTGAAATACAAACAGTATTATGATTACAACAAACCGAATGTAAAAGCTTTTTTACAGACTCTGGAACATGATCTCAATAATAATGTTATCGACAATTTTACAACATTTCACGACATATTTAAGGACTGTATAGATAGAACTTGTAAGTTAGAAACCCCTAAATGCTCTAAAAGAACAGCACTGAACAACCCATGGATTACACCAGACCTTGTGGGCAAAATTTCATATCAGCACGAACTTTACGATAAATGGGTAAAGGTCAGAAAAGTTAAATGTAAATTTGGGGAAATTGAAAATAAAGGGGGGACATGCCAATGCCCAATATGTTGCTCAAAACGTGACAAGTATAAAAAATACAGTGACTGCAGGCGGAAGGTCAAAAAAGATCGCCGCAATGCTCAATCTAAGTTCTATGGTGGAAAATTTGCAGAGTTGCACGGAAACAGTAAAAAGACGTGGGAATTAATTAACCAAATACGGGGTAAACGAAAACGACAAACCAAACCTCTATTTACTATCAATAATGAAAAAATTACTAATCGTAGGGTAATAGCTAATGAGTTTAATAAGTACTTTGTCTCCCTAGCTTCTAATCTTAACGAGGCATACAATGAAATCGGCGAACTATTAATTAATGGCATCCCCAGTATCTATGACTACCTACCAAAATCCAACACGACCAGTATTTACATGCATGATTGTACAATCGATGAAGTATGTAAAATAATATCAGAATTGAAAAATGGCAAATCGTCTGATATCCCAATACATGTTGTAAAAGCGTCATCCAGAATTATCGCCCCCCTATTATCTGTACTATACAATGAATGTTTGAAGGAGGGAATATTCCCGGACGATTTAAAGATTGGCAGGATCAGTCCCATATACAAGAAAGAAAATGAAGAATTACTTGAAAACTATAGACCAGTCTCTACCTTAGCCGTATTTGGTAAGTTATTCGAGAAAATTATATATAGTAGGCTATACAGCTTTTTCCAGTCACAAAATATGATCTATGAAAATCAGTATGGATTCCGTAAAAATCACTCTACTAGTCATGCCCTGAATTTCTCAGTGAATTATATAGAATCATGCCTTAATAAAAAGCAGCACGTGCTCGGAATATTCATTGATCTAAGCAAAGCATTCGATACCATCTCAGCTGACAAATTACTGAGTAAGCTAGATAATTACGGAATTCGAGGCAATGCCAACAAACTCATTGCTAGTTATCTCTCTAATAGATATCAATACGTCTCGGTCCTAGGAGAAGAGTCTGACAAGCTTCCAGTTCTCTTTGGAGTACCCCAGGGATCTTGTCTTGGTCCGTTACTATTTATTATTTATATCAACGACCTATATAGGGCAACTGAACTAGGCAAGTTCATTCTATTTGCTGACGATACAAATATATTTGTCGCGGATGAATGTAAGATAAAGTTATATGAACGAGCAAACCAAATTCTCAAACTGGTACAACTGTATATGAAATGTAATCTCCTGCATATTAACATTAAGAAATGCTGTTACATTCACTTTAAACCAACGAATAGAAAAAGCAAGGTAGAACATAATGAAGAAGAACACGTACTTACTCTAAACAATGTAGTAATAAAGCAAGTCAAAAAGGTGAAGTTTCTTGGTGTTATTATTGATGATCAGCTTAAATGGGATGCTCATATACGGTCGCTCAACACAAAGCTGAAATGTGAAAGTGGGAAAATTTGTAGAATACGGCACATTATTCCAGAAAAACTCTACAAAGAACTGTACTACACACTATTTGAATCACACTTGCGATTTGGGATATCAGTATGGGGTGGCCTTAGTAACAACAGGCTTGAACCAATATTTATCACTCAGAAGAAATGTGTTAGAATACTATTTGGTAACCGAGAGGCGTACTTAGAAAAGTTTAGAACTTGTGCTAGAACACGAAGTAAAGACAAGCAAAAATTAGGAAGCGACTTCTATGAAAAACAGCACACAAAACCGCTATTTAAGAAAAATGGTTTACTAACCATACACAGTTTGTTCAAACACACATGTTTATTGGAAATGTTCAAAATCAATAAATTAGAATCCCCAGTCCCACTCCTAAATCTATTTAACAGATCATCAAGACGTGCTGATCGATTCATCACTCCAACCCCATCCACCTCCTTCATATATCAATCGACAAAAATGTGGAACGATTGTAGAAACACTGCTAGCAATATCAACTTCTCTACATCAACGAACCTTGTGAAATCCACAATAAAAAAGGAGTTACTCGGCATGCAGTCCAGGTACGACGAAATAGATTGGTGTGAACTGAACTTCGATTCCAACGAACTGAAATTCTAATGTCTACTCAATGAAGATATGCTGAGCGCTAAAGCCGATTGAAATGTTAATGTCTAAAGTATAAAATTTCGGCGGTCACGCCGCGCATTTTGCGCGCTGTGCCGCTATTTTTGGCCCATCTTATCAGATATTATTTACAATGTACTCGCACAGTACATGCAGGGCATGCCTCAAGATCATATTAGTGTAGGAATCATTATGTTTTCAACAATTCATTATATGTCGAATTCAGCAGTGGGTCCTCTCTTCGTCCGGTTTGTGTGTTTGTCGCCTGTCTGGACTCTCGTAGTCATGTAATTTTTAATTTTTAATTTCTAATTTGTTATTTTAATTTTAATCTTAATTTTTCAATTTTCTAAATGTGTGTTCTGCTCCGGGACTCGATTACCGTATCGGCTTTCTTGAGACTGTAAATTTGGAAAGCCAACTATGCGGGGCGCCTGCCCACCGGCACTGAAGAGTGATCAAAGAATTAACTAAAATTTCCTAATATAACGATTGAATATAGAGTTGTTTAACCGGCGCGGCCATGGGTGTGTGGCCTAGCTTTGGCTGCACACCTATGACTGCGCTGTTGCTGGTGGACAGGCGCAGTTTTTGTTGTGCAGTAGTGTTGCAAGAGAATAAAACCAACTTATTATGTACTAAATGGAATCAAGAATATTATTGACTATATTTGATAACGATGAATTGTAAATTTCGATCAATTTATATTTTTCGGTCTCCAATTATTGAACTGCGGAAGCTGGTTGCCTCAACAATGTTGACTATGCATGGTATGACTGAATTGTAAAAACGTGATAATTGAACGAAAAATAAATGATGAACATGATTCAAAAACTGTAAACCACCAAATGAATTATCGCTTAAATTTAAATAAGTATTTAAACAAAAACCACCATGTGCCGTTAAGCAGCAGGGCGCGGCTCATCTGGGCCACAGCAAATCGGCGAAAATGGGTTCGAAAAAGCCACTATTGGCACTCGAGTCCTTGATCTTTCCGATGGTTCACTGGGGCTTTTGAGCTGCCGTCCTTCAGCTTCTGTAAACTGAAATTACTACCAATCCAAGTTGAAGCAATCAGCCGACGCGCGGCTTTTATGGTTATATATGATATGTTTAATCTGTAATAAAGATCAAAATTCAAATTTGTTTCTCAAAAATTTGTTTCTCAATGATAATAATTGTCAAATGACGTTATAAAAGTCTATTTAATGGCGCTTATTAAATAGACTATTGATAAATTAGTTATTAAAAGTTGCCTCTAAGTGTGAAAAATACAAATTCACCGTGCAGAACAAATTTGTATCACGTTGCGACCCCCACGGTCGTTTCACTATGTCCTGACGATACAGGGGGAGCCGCGCACTTCGTGCGCGGCGGGTCATACAACGTATGACAAGAACAAATGACGAAAATTAACGGGTGATATACTCTTAAAATATTTGTTTCAAATATATTAGAGAGACCGTCAACCAGTCCAACTCGGTGCGCTTCTTGTTGAGTTAAAAACATACAACACATAAAGGTCAACAAATATATATTTTTAAATTAAGTATAACAAAATTTAAGTAAAATAGCTGATTGCGACAATTAAAAAATTATTTCGAAATAACTGAAACTGCACTGGAAGTTATACATATATATAATATGCCAAGTACTATAAAATTGCAATTTTTGCGCAAACAAGGCGCGCGGTGACCAAGCGTCGTGACATGAAATATTTTTAGCTAAAATTATTTCGCAGTGAATTTGTATTATTCAATTTTTTGTACCAAATTTATCAATATCAAACTTCGGAGGTAAAACATTTTTGCTAACTCATGGCCCTTATTACATAAACAATAAAATTTCGTTTTATATTTTGATGATTTTCCGTTTATCAAAGCTTTCTTTGGGAATAGAACTTTGAATACCTCAATTGTGTCTTGTGCCATCCTAAGTAGATCTGTATGCTGTAAGATCATGCAATGGTCATTGAATATAAATTCAGTCAAAACAGTGAAATTTCGGTCAAGGGGACGGCATGGCAGAAAAGCTTCCTTTTGCTTTTAATCTTCGAAAATCTAGAATAAAAATGTGTCAAACAGTATGTAATTATATACTGTTTGACACATTTTCATATATATACACATTTTCATATATATACAATAAATTAAGTAAATTGATGCAATTGGCAGAGGTAACGGAAATTTTCCACTGCTACCAATATTATATATGAAATATCAACAATCAGTTATTATTATATACACGTCTAGTCCATCTTAGGGGCAGGGATGAGGTTGTAAGAGACTTCTGACAAAGTTGTCTCATATTCTTTTGTCTCTGTAACCTCGTAGAGCGATGAGTGTTGTCCTTAACATGGCGAATCTTATTCTAGTCCTCACATGCCTTACCACATCGCAATATCTTTTTTTCCTTTTCCTGGCTATGAAGTCTGCTACTCTGTTTACAAACCGCTTACACTCCTTGGACATGCCTCCAGTTGTGAGAAATACAGCCGGGTAAAGGTGAAGGATAGGGGTAAAGTGTAGTGGTGAAGGTGGCCTTCTCCACGTTCAACACTCTCTCCCTTTTTCTTCTTCTCGTTCTCTTCGTATACTTCTTGAAGAGTTTTTGTCCTGTTTGATAAGCAATTGGGGTGTGAAACCCTTATGCCAAGAAAATCTCTTTTTATATTGTGACGATTTTCCGTTTATCAAAGCTTTCTTTGGGAATAATAATAAATTTTTTTAAAGAATACTAATTTGAATTTATATCTTTATTACAGATTATACCTATCATAGATAACCATAAAAGCCGCGCGTCAGCTGATTGCCTCAACTTGGATTAATAGTAATTTCAGTTGACTGAAGCTGAAGGACGGTAGTTCAAAAGGCCCAGTGCACCATCGACAAGATCAAGGACTCGAGTGCCAATAATGGCTTTTCTGAACTTATTTTCGCCGATTTACTCAGTGGTCCTAGTGAGCTGCGTCCTACTGCTAAATGGCACATGACAGTTTTTGTTTTAATGCTTATTAATTTAAACAATAATTCAGTTGATGGTAACCTTTCTTGGATATCTTCTTGTTAGGTGTATCTGCCTTATTTAGTCAGGATTTAACTTGCAGCTAAAAACTTCTGTTTTTACTCCAGTCAAAGGGAGATGCACGATCTCTACTGTCATTTAGGTATCATTTACTGTTGAGCATAAGGGTTAGATTTAAATTATTTAACCTTTTGGTGCTGTATAAAAATAACATTAATTTATTATTATTATTATATGGTTTATAAATTATAAATGATGTTTCTTTTTCGACTAATAATCACGGCTTGAAAATTCAGTCATCCTCAGTGGCCCTGTAATAATAAATAAATAAAAATTCAGTCAAAACAGTGAAATTTGGGTCGCAGAAAGCTGAAATTCAAATATATCCTATTAGTAGGACATATTCGAAATTTTCATTGCATCAAAGTTTTCTCCGGATATACTGCTTCCAGAAGTGGCGTAACATTGCCTGTTGGTGCCACCCCCGCTGAAAAAGCGCCTCCCTGTTGGCGCCCCTTCCCCTTTTGGCGCCCCTCCCTAAAATTGAACAAATTAGATGATTTTAGAGGGTACGCCGGTAAAATCTCTAATTTAAACTGTGTTTCTAGAGCAAAACGTGCAGTTTTGCTAGTACCGTAGTTTAACTTTTTCCAAATTGTCCCACATTCAAACAATGATTTGGCATCTAAGATGGTACCCCCGGGGTCGACGGTGCCCTTTGTTACGCCACTGTCTTCCTGACTCCAGTACCTTGATGGCGACTTGTGCAGTGGCGTAACGTTGCCTGTTGGCGCCCCCCTGCCGAAAAGGCGCCCCCCTGTTGGCGCCCCCTCTCCTTTTGGTGCCCCTCCCTAAAATTAAACAAATTAGGCGATTTAAGAGGATACGCCGGTAAAATCTCTAAAAAAGTGTGTATCTAGAGCAAAACGCGCAGTTTTGCTAGTACTTTAGTTAAGTTTTCGAAATTGTCCCACATTCAAACGACGATTTGGCGCCCCCCTAAGACGGCGCCCCCCTGCACAGCGGGGTCAGCAGGGCCCTTCGTTACGCCACTGGACTTGTGTCACTCTCACTGATTGGTCACTGGTCAAAATTTCAGTCAAAATCGCGAAATTTCAGTCAAGGGGACGGCGGAAAAGCTCCTCTTCAAAAATCTTCAAAAATCTCTTCTTATATTCTGATAATTTTCCGTTTATCAAAGCTTTCTTTGGGAATAGAACTTTGAGTACCTCAATCTTGTGCCATCCTCAGTAAGATGGTCATTGAAGAAAAATGAATTAAGTCAAAACAGTGAACAGAAATCACTTGCTATGTTAACCATGTAAATTATCATAATTTATATTTCGGACTTTATGGCTGAGATTGCTTTTGGTTCAAAATTCAAAGAGAACGAAGAATATTTCATTTCCTGTTCAGCAAACATACAATAATGAAATAGATTAGTCTTCCAGCTCATTGTTAAATGTTAATCAATCAAACCGCAAATATAAATGAATATGCAAGTGATTTACCATCAGGCTCTTAAAGGTTGCGCATAAATAATAGGTGCTTACATCAGTTGACAATCATCCACTATAAGGCTAAAACTCCAATACTTTTAGCCTTATGAAGGATGATTGTCATGATATCTGTGAAACCTGACCACATGTTATTTATGAACCACCAGTAGTTTCATTCCAAAATTCGAACAAAAAACCCAAATTTTAAACGTTTGACTTTTATAACAGATAGTGTTTTGATTGAACTTTTCTCACTTTAAGGTAGAATGTCGTATCTGATTCTGGGTGGCTGTGGGTTTATCGGCAGGAACTTAGTATCCCACTTACTGGACAATGAACTTGCTGAAACTATTGTTGTCATCGACAAGGTATGTGTTTCTAGTGTAAACTCGTTTAGTTCATTAGTCAATTAAATGTATTTTAGTGTCCGTTTTATTTATTTTACTTTAGATTCCCTAAATTTTTTGATATTCGAAAAATTTCCAAATATGGTAAAATCATTTCTTTAAAAGCGGAGTCCATGAAATTAATGGAATGTGGTACTGGACTCACAGTAATGTGACACAATAATCAGTAAAATATGTAACCTGGCTGTAAATGCTGTATCCTAATATGATCTAATAGTTGTCGTGATACAACCTGGCTAGCTTTGATTTTCTCTGCGGAGAAAACGGTATAGGCAGGGGTCAGGGAAAATGTTGTTGTGATTTTAATTTACAGCTTATATAGTACGGCAAGGGAGAAATTTATTGCCATATTTGATTTTATCTTCAGACCGAAAGAAAAATTATCAGTTAAAATCTAGCTATAACTTCCGTTATTTATCATCTGACCTGCTTTGAAAGCAAATGGGGTTCGATCAAATCTAGTTAAAGTTATTAAGTTATGGCTGTTTTGTAAAATAATAAAATTGTAAAATGTGTAAAAACTGTCATTTTTGGGACATAGCGATTGAAATTTCTGTATGCAATAGAATTATACATCCTTGTTTCCTTTTAACTAACCATTACTGTAGCAAGTATCTGTTCTACTCACTCTATTCTTAAAGTTAGCGTGTATTCACACAAAAAAGAGTTGTGGTACACTGTATAATACTACAGGGTTTGAAATTCATGATTACACAATTTATAACCGTGTGCTATCATTACTTCCTTAAATGTGATCTCATATTTTAGCAGTACAGGTTGTAGCAATGTTGGGTGTGCTGTGTGCTCAAGTCACGATTTGGGTGGCTTTTTTGAGTGGGTACGCCGTTTTCATCCCTAGTTTTAGTACAGTGCTGGGCTTTTGACACGTGAGGTTATATTGAGGCTTGGTTTGCTGGCTATTTGGAGCTAGGGTGACATGTTAGTTTCATCTTAATAACCAGGAGAATGATCTATTTTCTGGACTATTCTTCAACAGAAAATCAAATCATAATAAATGTTTAATAACACAACTATTTAAGATAAAACTTATACTCTGCAGTGTTTAATATAAACCTCCCAGAAATGTACTTGTATATTGTATAGTGTATACTTGGTATGGATGGACTGGACACCTATGCTTGAAAAATGTCGGTAATAATAATGCATAATATGAAACCAAATATTTAAAGATCTGACACCAATTATGACTAAAATAGTTTATCGATAAAGTTTCTCAAGTTCGTGAAGTGACGGTTTGAATAGAAAAGTTTTTAGAAGAGCAAAAAACAAATTCCTTTCACATAAAAAGTAAATATTATAAGTACCCTATGTACTTCCATTCACTTACATGGTTTTGATTTTACCTACACCTAGAACAGTTTGATAGGTAGGATGTCAATCTATTTTTATTACTAATATACTTACAAATAGCCATTAGGTTTAAGCTTGTTCCCAATGAATCTATATTACTAAATACAAATATTTGACGTTGTCGTCTAGACTTGAGACCAGGTACACATGATATTATAGTACCATCACGTTAGCTAGAATATTGCACAATATCGAAACTTTCCTTTTCCAATTTACGAACTTAATTCTCTACATCAGCTTTAAAACCACTGAAAGAACTATTAATTCGTGAGCTAAACGGTCTGGCTTATTATAGGCATTATTATGAAATTGACCTTTTTGAATATCACTATCTAAAAAGGAATAGGTGTCAATGAAATAATATTTCGAACCATTTTATGAGCTCTAAATATTCTACTATCCTTGTATGTGCTACTATCCTTGTATGTGCTACTATCCTTGTATGTGCTTGTATGTGACTGCATTTGAGCATTATGTAATATGTGCTCAAATGCAAATGTAATATTTGTACGGGACCACTTTTAGTACTGACACGACTACCACTATAACTAGTTTCTCGTCGTAGAGTTGCGACATTTTGCAGATCTGCGATATTGGTACGCTCTAGCCCAGATCTCTGAGTATGCAATATGTTACACAATCGCACTGCAATATTGCATTTTACTGGAGTGGATTGAGGCTGTCTCAGCTGCGAATTATTACTTTGGTAAAAATTCAAATTTCTTTTCAATAAAATGTAATATCGTGTATTGCCATGTTCACGTAAGTGAATACGGAGGTCTAAGATCTCAAAATATAGTGCGTTATTTGTATTAATTTGGGTTTACTTAAACTTGCAAAGGAGTAATGAATGAGAGCAAGCAAATGTTCTACCATATTTGCCTCCCAATTCCCTTGTAAATTTGCTCGATCTTCTTAATTTAATGTATCGTAATGAAGATAACTTGAAATAATCTAATTACATGGTCGTCATTAACTGTGACAGTGACAGTAACCTTAAGTGTAATAATAATTTGTACCAGATCTTAACATTAAATATCCTCTAAACTAAGGGCTTCTTGTTGATAAGATATTAGGTATATATATTATCTGGATCAGATTACTACTCACTTGCTGCAATGTAGTGGAAGAGAGCCCAGGTCAATGATGCTGGACTAAAGCCAAGCGATGATGATTAATAAAGAACAATGTTACTTGTTAGACTGGCAGATGTTTGACAAGATGATGGTTGCCAATATTGTTGTACAATTATAAAATATGCAGCAGTTTGGTGGTTGTAACCTTAGATTAGATAGGGTAATGGCTCGGTTACAATTATCAAGTTAGTCACGCCACATGGCGAGTGCATGTCTCACCGCACCAATATACTTGTAATAGGATATTACAGCTGTAGTCTTCACTAACTACTCAATACTCCTTTATCTTTAGTTAAACCCTCAAGGACTGGCTACGAGTCACTGAACATGTTCAGATATGTGGTACAGTGGTTTTATGGTAATATGGTATGTATGGTATGTGGTAATATAGTGGTATGAATAGTAGCTTCTCCTAACGCTCCTTTATAATATAACATTATAAGAACTGTAACAGAAGAGCATCTGTGTAAATGACTTCCTCGTGTTGTTAACCTATTGTATCAGGTATATAAAATATAGATGTAGACTTATGTTCCTTATTAGCGAGCATTCTCATTCGCTCTCGAGAAAACCAGACTTACTCAAGAATGCACATGTTCTGTACTTCTGTATTTTGTTAGGAAGATGGAAATTTAAACAGAGCATACTTCATTGTATACCGTTTAGTCAGGGTACGTATAAAGTGGTTTGAAGAGAGCCAAATGAAGTGGTACAAATTAAAAAGAGTGCTCATTGCCGCGTGTTCATACTATTTTACTGCAGGAGATGTACCTTCACCACGTGACCAAGCGAGATCTTCTGCAGATCTTTGCACTCTCTGTGTACATAATGCATCCATAAAGGTCATTTCTTAGGAGGAACTTAATTGGCTCCCTTGCTTGGTAATTATCGACTATTATATTGTGTTAGTGAATGCTGGCTCCATCAAAATCTCAGTACCGTTATTGCTTTGTTTTTATGATATGCTAAGTGAACTGATTTTAGTTAAGAATAGCAGAATCCCTGAAGATATGGTTCACATTAGCCATAAAATAGATAAAACAGTTACAATTTCACACCTTTATTTATCTTTTAGTCGTTTAATTTGTCGTGAAATAACACCAGGTTACTTTTTGCGACATCCAGAGTATAGTCCTGGTGTGTATTGAAGATCACACTCGTCTTGGTGGTCATTGTTTAGCCCATTAACTTACATCTGTCATTTACTGGACCACTTAATTCCCATGACAACAGATTAATCTCAGTTATTTTACAAATTCACGTGACTTACAGGCGAAACTTGCTAGAAAATCAGACCATGGTAAAAGTTAGGAAATATGGTTTGAACTTTACGCAAGACGCGGAATTTTAATTTGGTACTTGCGCACGCGAAGTCTCGAGCGCGCTCATGCCGATCTGTATATTATACCTTAGAATCTAGCTTAGCTGCATGCTGCACTTACCGCATTAACGAACAGCTAGCCAGCTGCAGATCGTTTCATATAACTCAGTAGACTGTTCTGTTACTCGTTCAATTAGGAAAACTTGATGTTGTACATAGACGGCATCTGCATTACATTTACAACAATAGATACGCTGGCATTATTTCGAATATAAATCTTTATAAACACTACAACAGATAAGCACAGAGATCAGAACTTTCTGCTATTAGGTGGAGCGTTGTCGATATAGAATACATGCTGAGATGTCCAGTTGATGTCTACGATGGATGAACCCGTTTTTCAGTTCTTAAATGTCGTGCTTAAAATCATATTGATTCACTTTGAATTTGAAAATTAACTGTCTTAAATAAATACTTCTTCTCATTACAAAATTAACAGTCCAATAAATTGTAAATTTGCCAAGGTAAACGTATATTTACTATCGTAATTAAGTTAGCTCAAACCTTCATTCTGATAAACATAAAATCCACATCCTACGGAAGTCATTTTTGGCTATTAAAGACCCCTCCCTTCCGAAAGCCATTTTACTTATAGCTATTATGTATGAATTACCAACTTACCAAGCAACCTCCTCTTAGCCTTGCCCCAGACTGGCATACATATCATGTGAATTTATATGTGAACCAACATGTGAACCAACATGTGAACCAATATGTGAACCAACATGTGAACCAACATGTGAACCAACATGTGAACCAACATGTGAAACATCCCTAAGGGTACTTTGGGAACCTGTGAATTCTCTGCTTTTTAAGAATCTCAATGAAACCATAGAGTCTATCACACGCTTTTTCCCCACTGATATCTTTGAAATCCATGATTTAATTACAAATGATCTACTTATGTAGACTATGGCGTTCGTTGTGGAGTTCAAACATACGCTAACAGAAAAGGAGAAGTTCAGCAAATGATAACGTCCCTCCTCTTCGACATCAGCTCCATGGAATGCGTTTAAGTAACCATCAAAAGCAGTGGTTCCGGTTGTCATTTGGAGGAATGCAAATATCGTGTA